CTTGGGAACACTAGTCTCAAACGTTTTTTCTCTTTTGACCAACTTATATTAATTTGATTACACTTATTACTTTAGTAGAAAATTTTCATTATTAAGAATTGAAAGCAATAACAGAATGTATTATACTCACTTAATATACTGTATTTGGACTGACGATGTGTTTCTTCTTTTGATAATACTTGTAAGGAAAAATGCAACGGATAAACCAAAAAAAATAGAGCAACCAATCCTACGGTCGAAACTAAGGTTCAAGGTCTAATATTAGGGTATGGTCCATCTTTACACTTATTGTTTTACTATCAAAAAATTGACATCTTAACGGATTTTAGGATAGTTTGAATTACATAGTCCAAAAATTCTGATCTTTAGCAGGCAAGATAGAGTTTTAAATAGGAATGATAAAAATTAAGAGATTAAAACTCTCTCATTAACTAACTGCTAAGTGCTAACACATAAGAAAAAATAATTTATTATCCTCTGTTTCAGCTAAATATTTTTTAGCCAGCTCATATGAATCAATAGGTGATTTAAGGTGGGAGTGTGCAAACTCATTTTCTTCAGCCATGGACCAAAATAAAAAGCATCGTCTTAGATTTTGCTTAGTCACTTTATGTCGTCACTTTATGTCAGTGGACTTATATGATTTTGTCATTTTATTTTTGGTTCCTTAATAATTTTGGAGGTGAAAGAAAACAATGAAACAAAGGCATGAATGATTTCATCACTGCCCAAGTAACTTCTATATCACCAACACAAAACACATATAAACACTTAGACTATTACTTTAAGACGCCACAATTCCGTAAACCCCTTTTAATACTCTATTTCTCTCTCTTTCTTTATTGTTAGCATAAGACCCCAAGAAGACAATAATAGTGTTCTTGATTTTTTATTTGGGTTTGAGATGAGGAGATTTAGCTTCAATAGCTTTGGAAATGGTGAGAGCTTGAGAGGATTATAAAAATCAAGGGGTTTTGTCTTCTTTTGCTCCTTTTACTCATTCTTTTATATCAAGAAAACGTCTTGGGTTTTGATGGGAGGTGTGTTCGTGTTGAGGAAACCCAGAAACGGCAATAAATGCCGTCGTTTCGATCGATGCAATACAATGAGACAAACAGAAGCAGAGTTTTTCTCAGAACAAACAAGAATGAGAACAAGAGAAAGAAGACGAGGAAGAAGAAGAAGAAGAAGCTTCTTCTTAGATATGATATATTTATTTCGTCCTTGTTCCTCCAACATTCTCTTCTTCTCACTTCTTATCTTGTCTTCTGCTACTTCCCCTGCCCTGTCCTCGGAAACAGAGAATCTCTCACCGAGAAACCAAACTCTCCGGCCGCTCGAGGAGCTTAATAAGCTCAAAGCCATCAATCAACATCTCAGGAAAATCAATAAACCCTCCGTCAAGACAATTCATGTAAGTGGTGTTTATCAAACTATATTCTTCTTTTTCCTCTGTTTGTGATTCTTCTTCCTCTGTATCAGAAACAAAAAAAAAAAATCTCTTCTTCGATTATATGTGCTCTGTTTAAGAAAATAAAACCTTCTTCTTTTTTTCTCTGTTTTCGGAGATACATACAGTCTTCGTACTCTGTTCCTTATTTTTTATCCTCTGTTTCAAGAACACGCTCTGTTTCAGAAACACACACGCTATTCTCTTCCTCCTCTGTTTCTGATTCTCTGTCCCTTTTTTTCGGGACAATCTTCTTCTTCCTCTGATTTATGATTTTATGGTCCCCTTATTGTTGCAGAGCCCTGATGGTGACATCATAGACTGTGTTTTATCACATCACCAACCAGCATTTGATCATCCCAGATTAAGAGGACAGATGCCACTGGTACACATACATATGTTAATCTTAATTAACACAGTCATTAGACCCGTTAATCATAAACTAATTAATACGTGAGATTAATCACTGAAGGATCCCCCTGAGAGGCCAAGAGGGCGTAATAAGAGGAGCGGAATGAGGCCAAAGAGCTTCCAGCTATGGAGAATGGAGGGAGAGACATGTCCTGAAGGAACAGTCCCTATTAGAAGAACAAAAGAAGAAGACATTCTCAGAGCAAACTCTGTTTCTAGCTTTGGCAAGAAACTCAGACACTTCAAAAGAGATACCAGCAGCAATGGCCATGAAGTAAGATTTTCATTCTCTCTTTTTTTTTTTTGAGGTGTTTGAATTTTTCTTAAAATAAATAGAATTGGTCATTTGGGTGTCATTTGAATATACAAAAGATATATATATATTTTTGTCTAGAAAATTAAAATTTAGATATAGATCTATGGTCCAGCAGCTATAACGATAAGCACATTCTAAAGAGAAATATATCTTGTCCGGACTGTTTATAAATTCAAAATTCGAATTCTTAGTTTTAAAATGTAAGATTTTGAAATGGTTGGAATATTTCATTTCTTTACCATATTTGGACGAGAAGAAAATAAAAAGTGGTCAAAGAAATTGGCAACTGTTTTCAGTTTCATTTGTAATTCTTTATGAATTTCATCTTTTGAGAATTGTAGAAAAAGTAAAGATAGTCAAGCTTGTCGGTTAAAAAAGGAAAGAGAGGGGAGAGAGTATTACTACAAAAATCTTCTTTTAAACTCTTCTACATTCTGTCAGCAAATTTCTCTTATTTTTTTTCCAAATTTACATTCAGTCTGCAAATTTATTTTCTATTTTATAACTCATAGTAAAATAAAATCCTTAGTTATCTAGATTTGGAAAACACAAACTCTCACGAAATTAAAGCTCTGCCAAGTTTCTATAATACCACCCTTTTATTTTAATTATCGACACAACCTGCCTAAAATAAAATAAAATAAAGGAAGAGTTCTATTACTCTAATCTAAGTCTCTAACTAATGAAAAATGATCATGAATAATAATAGAATTGATTTGTGGTAATCACTGATTTTATATAGCACGCGGTGGGATACGTGAGCGGGGAGAAATACTATGGGGCAAAAGCAAGCATAAATGTGTGGGCTCCAAAGGTGCAGAATCAATACGAGTTTAGTTTATCTCAGATTTGGATTATCTCTGGTTCCTTCGGTAATGATCTCAACACCATTGAAGCTGGCTGGCAGGTATACTCTTTTTTTTTTCTTTAATACTATTTCATAATTATTAATATAGACCTACTGATAAAGTTTAAAATTAAAAATTGCTAATTTTGGACCATTTTTTTATCTGCCATTAGGTGAGTCCAGAGCTCTATGGAGATAATTACCCAAGATTCTTTACTTACTGGACCGTAAGTCATTCATTTCCAGTGCTAAGCAAAATAAACAAATATTACATCTCTTGTATTTTTATTTAAGTTTATAAACTAATAAGCTCTTATGTTTTGGAGACAGAACGATGCATATCAAGCAACAGGCTGCTACAATCTCTTGTGTTCCGGTTTCGTCCAAACCAATAGTCAGATTGCGATTGGAGCTGCAATCTCTCCCTCGTCTTCATACAAGGGTGGTCAATTCGATATTACTCTGCTTATTTGGAAGGTACATATCCCTAACTTATATTCTCTCCTCTAATCACACTCTAATTACAATATTCATTCATTCGATGGTTTTTGAAATAGCAACCTTTAAAAAATTGGGTATATATAATAACCAATCTATTGCATATATACTTTTAATTAGAAGATGCTTCTTTCTTTTCTCCCTTTTTATCATTTTATAGAGAAAAAAGGCAAGTATACTTGAGTATCATACCACTTATTACACACTCTTTACTTTTGTTCGAAGTTATTCTTTTTCATATTTTGATACATTTGTCCCCAGATAGTTCAACATACCAACTCTCAAAGCAATACTAGGAGCATGGCTCATGAGTTATCAAATTAATAGTACTATTTTTTTTGTTCTAGCCTCACATGGGTCATAATTAAAGTCATTTTTTCCTATTAGTTTTTATTTTTATTTTCAAGGACTCTATATATTCTTTATTTTGTGGCCGAATTTGATGCAGATTATATCATACATATTTGATCAAGATTAATTTTAACAACAAAAAAATAAAATTATGTGTACTTAGTTATTAATTAAAAGTGAAAATTTCAGGATCCGAAGCATGGGAATTGGTGGCTTGAATTCGGGTCGGGTATTCTAGTCGGGTATTGGCCATCGTTCTTGTTCACACACCTGAGGGAGCACGCGAGCATGGTCCAATACGGTGGCGAAGTTGTAAATTCAAGCCCACTTGGGGCCCACACTTCGACACAGATGGGGAGTGGATATTTTGCGGAGGAAGGGTTCACAAAATCTTCTTATTTCAGAAACATCCAAGTAGTTGATTGGGATAACAATTTGGTCCCTTCCCCGAATCTCCGGGTACTCGCGGATCATCCGAATTGCTACGACATTCAAGGCGGGTCTAATCGGGCTTGGGGGAATTATTTTTACTACGGAGGACCAGGCAAGAATCCTAAATGCCCTTAAAAAGAAAATTTAATTAGGGTTTAGGTACAATATGTCTGGTTACAACGGGGGCTGATTTATCATTTTTTTTTTGTTCTTAATGGTTTTGATCGTGTTCATTTATGTGTAAATGTGAAAAAAACGTATATTGGAAGGAAATTTAGAATTTATATCGACAAGAATTCTTTCTTTTTTAATAAATCAAAATGTGAGTGCCATATTTTGTCTATTATTAGCACATGCAATTCAGTAATAGAAGTTAGTTGAACCTTCTACTTTGTAACATATTTTGATCCAATATAAATAACCATTGTTAATGAATTTATCCAAATGAAAGTATACATTCTTAAATCGCAACTCTGTAAATGGAATACTAATCGTCTTATTGATTTACTTATTTTTTAAAGCTGGTTCATTAATAAGTATTTTTGTTTCAAGCCTTTCACTAATCTGTAAACTATGGTTGATGCAGTCGATTGCGCATTAAATAGAGAATACATCAAGATAATCATATACTGTAGATGGTTCTTATTTTGATTGAAGCAAATAGTAAAGTTGGTTAAACAGTTTATGCATGGTTTTTAATTTTGAGTTTGACAAAAGGTGTTGCAATATTGTTGGTTTCCTAAGCAAAGAGGCGTGTTGGGGCAGCAATAAAAACATCCTAGGTCATTATCGCACTCGCCAAGGACGCATATAGTTTCATCAATGTTCTCAGATCTTTGTATCCTCACACCTACATATTAATTTGAAACACACATATCAACCAAACTCTGATGACTCTAAGACAAAGAGAAAATTAAAAAATCTATACATATTGAGACAGCTTTAAGTAATTATAAATACATTGATGTAGATGGAACAGAGAGAGAAAGAGTATGCAGATGAGAGATGGATGTGACGATTTCATTGTTTTGAATGTCTTGAAAGGATATGATGATATGATTTTTGAAGTTAACAATCTTGAGTTGTTATAAAATCCAAAGCTTAATCGATATATTTATAGGAAATAGAGAAGCTTATATTATGTAATTCTGTATTTTTTTTTTTCTTTTTGACCTCTATTATGTAATTCTGTATTAGAGATAATATCTTCTTCTTTTTTTAATCGATCGATCACGATCTTTGAGCTTTGGGTCAATTTCCAAATATTTCGGTTGATATCTTTATCATCCATTATACACCTTTTCATGTTTATTACTTTGTAGGATCAGTTGTTTACGATGTCTTTCTATTCGTGTATTTATTGCATACATGATACATTTTTGTGGTAGAAAGATATATACATAGAAAACGAGAATAATGTATTAAAAACTTATGCGGTAGAAAGATTTATTTAAAGAAGTCTTTTGGCATTATATAATTTGAAAACTCATATCTTTAGCGGTACATTAGTTTCCTAAAAAGTTTAAACTTACAGGAGGACATTTAGGATCGGAAATGCAATCTTGTTGCTTATCCGCACAAATCTTTCGATCTTTCCAACAGCACCAACATCCTTTTAATAAACAAGGGTAGTAACATTTGTCAGGGACACACTTTGGAATAAAGCGCTTGCTCGAACTCTCTATTTCTCTAACATATATCTGCATGCCTAGACATTTGAAACCACACATCTTTATATAATTATCAAAACATTGACAGTGACAAAAACAAAGAGACAGTTGTTATATATACATGAAGAAACTTTCACATACACTGATGTAAAACAAAGAGAGAGAGCATGAATATGCATATAAAAGCTGTCTGTGATTTCATCTTTTGTTTGTCTGAAAGGATCTAATGATTTGTTAGCCTGGTCTTGTTAGTTATCTGATTTCACTACAGTATGTGATTTTTATTTCATTACAGTAATATATACATATATATATATATATATACATAGATTGTGATATTGAAATGAAATTTCTTCTTAAATGACATACTATCTTGTTCCATATCTCATCATCTTAAAGAGGATCGAAACGTATATAGTGTCATTAACATCCTTTAAATTAATAGTCAGCTGATTTTACTTTGCTTAAAAAGAACAAAAAGTCAATTCACTTTGCTTAAATTACGCTGTCTTTCTTTTCGTGTATTTATGACATACATTTTGTGGTATAAAGATATATACATAGAAAAAGAGAATAATGTTCATTGGGTGCTTTAAATAAGTCTTTTGGCATTATATAACTTTGAAAACTGATATATATATAGCGGTGCATCAGTTTTCTAAAAAGTTTAAACTTAGAGGAGGACAATTAGGATCGGAATCGCAATCTTCTTGCTTAACCGTACAAATCTTTCGATCTTTCATACAGCACCAACAGTCTCTTTTATTATAAGGGTAGTAACATATGTCAGGGACACACTTTGGAATAAAAAGCTTGCTCGAACTCTCTATTTCTCTAACATTCATCTGCATGCCTACACATTTAAAACCACACATCTTTAATTATCAAAACATTGACAGTGACAAAAAGAAAGAGACAGTTGTTATATATACATGAAGAAACTTTCACATACACTGATGTAAAGCAAAGAGAGAGAGCATGAATATGCATATGAAAGCTGTCTGTGATTTCATCTTTTGTTTGTCTGAAGCGATCTAATGATTTGTTAGCCTGGCCTTGTTAATTAGTTATCTGATTTCATTACAGTATGTGATTTTTATTTCATTACAGTAATATATACATATATATATATACACATAGATTGTGATATGAAATACTATATTGTACCATATTTCATCATCTTAAAGAGGTAAAGTATGTAGTGTCATTAACATCCTTTCAATTAGTCAGCTGATTTTACTTTGCTTAAAACGAACAAAAAGTCAATATACTTTTATCTAAAAAAAAAGTTAACTTTACAAAAATGGTTTGTATCTACTGTATGTAAATGAATTGGCAAGCAAAACAAATATATGATTTTATTTTGTTTTTAAAATGCGGTCACAGTATTATGAGACCTCGTAATTTTGTCACATAACAAAATAATTAGTAAAATCTATTAAAAATAAAGTATTGAGAATTTTAAACTTATTTTATAGATTTTCGTTCCAATTCAGGCAGGAATTTTATTAAAATTATAGATTTTCTCTTACTTCATATTTGAGAATTAATATTCTTAGATTTAAGATTTTGTCTTACTTCATATTTGAGATTATTCTTAGTTTAAGATTTTCTCTGTGAGTTAAGTTATATGTAAAAGCAAACATATATAGAATAGAATAGACGTCAGACGTCTAGTTTATTTTATTTTATTTTATTTTATTAACCACAATAGTCAGAAAAAAGGGTCCTATTACAAGCAAGCAGCGTAAAGAGACTGCTTGGAAAAGTTTGCAAAATTAAATAAGTTTATCAATGGTTTAAATTTACGGACGACATTAGTTTACACTGTTCGTTGCAATAGCTTTGGCCAGTTTTGCCAGACCAACAATGGTGTAAATGTTCGCAACACCAACAATTAGTTACCAAAGGATGGCATGGGCCATGGTAACACGTTGGTACATCGATTTTGTTGTTCGGGCTCTCCGTTTCTCGAACATCCATCCTCACACCTACACATCAATTTAAAACACATAAAAAAATTATGACGATGAAAAGACAAAAGAGACATTAGAAATACATATACGTATATATATATATATAGATGAGAAAAATCTTTACGTACATTCATGCAGAGCGAATAGGGACGGCATGGCTACGCATATTAGAGCAATATGTGACGATTTCATGGTTTTGATATCTCAAATTAAGGACCTCGTTGTGACTGGTGTTTGTCTTATTGAGCTGTTGTAATTTGTAAATACACACATATATATATATATATATATATCAAAAAAAGAATACATAAATTTTAATTAGAAAAACAATAGTTGGAGATAATATCTCTTGATTCCGGTCAATTTTCCAGCAACTCTATTAAGTAATTCATTTCATTTTTATTTGGTTCATGTTTAATTAGAGTGTCAAAAGTAATAAAATTTTAGTTTGACTTCCAGGAATAACTTTCGATAACTTGCCAATTAGTCAAGTCAACAACTCTGGATTTTCAGAAGTGTGTAACTTTATTTGACCATACTCTAAGCTTAATACTTAATACCCTAAAGAAATATGCCTGATTTTCAGTTATGCTATGCACAATAGCCAAAATACACAAAAAAAATCTCTAACTTGTTTTGTTCATGCATATTTTTCGTGATTACAATCTTTTTTACTATTACTATTGTTTACGACATATTATCCATCCACACCTACATAGTCACTCTGTATCATATTACTCTATCAAAATAATGATTCCAAAGACGATGAATGTTTCGGTTGATATCTTTCTCATCCATTACGATATTTGAGATTTGGGTCAATTTACATATATTTCGGTTGATATCTTTATCATCCATTACTCCTTTTCATGTTTCTTACTTGGTAGGATCAGTGGTTAACGCTGTCTTTCTTTTCGTGTAGTTATGTGTGTGTCGTCTCTATTTTTACCGGAGATAAAAGATTTCGTAATAGTAAGATGAATACAGAGAATCATATATTAACAAATTTGTGGTAGAAACTAGAGAGCTTGTTTATTATTTCACATTCATTACGAAACTAAAGCCGTTTGTGTGTCAATTTTGTACATTAGTTTTCTGAAAGTTTAAACTAATAGGAGGACAACGGGAACTGGAATCACAATCTTGTTGGTTTTTCCAACAAAGCTTTCGATTTTTCATACAGCACCAACAGTCTCTTTGAAAAAAACCTTCTCCACATTGGGCAGGGACACAATTTGGAATAAAGAGCTTGCTCGAACTCTCTATATCTCTAACATCCATCTGCATGCCTACACATTTGAAACCACACATCTTTAACTAACCAAATTGACAAAAACAAAGAGACAATTGTTATATATACATGAAGAAATTATCTTTCACATACACTGATATAAAGCAAAGAGAGAGAGCATGAATATGCATACGAAAGCTGTCTGTGATTTCATCTTTTGTTTGTCTGAAACAATGTTATGATTTGTTACTCTGGCTACTTATCTGTTTTCATTACAGTACGTGATTTTATTTTAAAGTCATAAATAAGCATAGATTGTAATATTGAAACGGAAACTCATCGTACATACTATATTGTACCATAATCTCATCATATATATATATATATATATAAAGAATACCGGAAATAGATAAATTTTAATTAGGAAAAACAACGATTCGAGATAATACCTCTTGATTCCGGTCAATTTTCCAATATCTCTATTAAGTACTTAGTTCATATTATGAAATCAATTTTGTTGGTTCATGTTTAATTAGAGTGTCGAAAGTAATAAATGTTTACTTTGACTTCCAGGAATACACTTGCCAACTAGTCTAGTCAACAACTCTGGATTTTCAAAATTGTGAAACTTTCTTTTGACCATCCACACATAAATAAATCACTCTGTATCATATTACTCTATAAAAAAATAACCTTGAATTCCCTAAAGATAAAATAATGAATCCTTAGACTATGAATGTGATGTGATTTTTTAAAATAATCGTTGGACTAATTTGTACACAAAAAGCGCTTCTATGTGTTTAATATTTTATTTTTCAATGGTAAGAATGGTTAAGTATAAACTATAGACCAACTACAATGAATATGATTTTAGCCAACCAGTATATTACTACTCCGTATCAATTACACCCATTTAAAAGATTCACATTTTTCTATTTAGCTCTGGGGAAGTGGAGATGGAACACCATATGCACAGGTAGATGGAACCTAGTGGAATCCCCAAACTTTAATACTCTTGACCGGTTTTGCAATATCTTAGGCTACAAGAAGCAGAATTATTATTTATATCAAGTGGTAAGTCCACGTTTGCATAACATTATTCTGAATCTCATAATTTACTTGCACGACAATTGTTTCTTGCCAAAAACGGAAAAGAAAGATTTTCGATATTATTTTCAAACAACCAATTCTGAAACTAACAATGAACAAATCCAAAAAAAGGTTTCCGAATATTGTTTTTAAAAAAGGAAACTGCAAGCCATGTGCATTAGTTCCTCAAATAATTCAACAATACACACAATGAAACCTTCTTTAGCGCCAACAGAGTCCAACTTATACTTAACCTCCACATGAGGCTTTCCCCGTTCTCTACATCTTAACGACACCAAAAAAAAGTTATGATTGGTGAGTTTGTAACGGCGAAACTAACAACTTGTCTTTCGATAATATATATTCATAGAAAATTCCACAGTTCATGAATAAATAAAATATCGATCGACACTACTTCAGTAATTCTTAAAGAATGTCATTCTAACATTTTTCACACATATTAAAAAAATTATTAAAAATACAACTTTGTTCTTTATTAATATATTAAATAATTTGTTTTTATTTAATACATACATTAAATTAATATGATTAAAACTGAAATATTGTTTAAAATTTTGCATTGAAAATATAAAACGACACTCTTGAAACAAAAATAAAACTTTAAAACGACACTCTTTGTAAAACGGAGGGAGTAACATTTGATGTAGAAATTTTTAATACGAGTCAGTCGATTTAATTCAATCTGAAAAAGAACCATAAAGTGAAAATTTGAAAATCCAAACCAAGATAACACCCCTACCCTAATCCATGATTTTTTTCATATAATTATCCATTTTCATACTTAAATTTTGGATATGGGATCACATGTGATAATTTGCACTCACAGAGGATTGTATTTATAGTAAACTAAATTACTGCTTAAACGGAAAATATGTTATTACTATGATTAAACGGATAAGGTTACAGAAAAGCACAAGATACAGTTGGGAATTATGAACCAACCTTCCAGCGCCGATCCAGCGAACTTCGCCGTTTCTCTCAATCAATCACAATTCACCAAAAACCATAAAAATAATCGAAGTTGACGATTTTTTTTTAATAATTTCTTTCTTCCCCAAACAAAAATTCAGTGGGCCTTGAAATTACAATATTTGCGGAAACTCGGAATTTATAGGAGAGGTCAGGACACATACACATGGCGTGGTTGAGCTAAAAGATTGTAAATTTTGAAAATCAATCCTTTCTAGTATTTTTCTTTATTTTGTATTAAAAAATAGTTGTTTGGTGAGAGGTGGGCAGCTACAAATGGATGACATAACAAATTTCCAGGAAATTGGATAATAAGAGAGACGACGCCACTTTCTCTTTCTCGAGAAAATTCAAAGTTTTCTCATTTCTGGGTTTTCGCCAAAGGAGCATCCTTTAATGTTCTTTTGAAGAAGGCTCACGAGGATCTCTTCTCTCTCTGTTTTGTCTCCCCTGTTCCGGGGAGATTTAAATTTCTACTTTTTTTTTAAGGATAAAGGAGATTCTTTTATCACGATCTTGGCTTCCGGGTTTTCTGGTTTTATTCTTATCTTGTGGGAAGAAGAAGAAGAAGATGATGATAAAGTTGTGGATGGGGACTTCTCTTCAACTCGCTGAGCTCTTCGTGAGCTCTGTGGTGCATTTGCTTTATGGGTTTTATATATTCAGCTCCGCCGTCGCCGGAGATATCTCTCAGACGTTGAGTGATTACTTGTTCAAGCCCAATGTCGATATCAACGACGTCGGAGAAACTGCTCAAATTCAAAGCAATGTTGAGGGTCTGCCTCCAATTGTGTTGGTCCATGGGATCTTTGGATTTGGCAAAGGGGTAAAGCAAAACTCTCATCTGTTTGTTTTGTTGAGTTATGTTCTGGTTTTGAGGTTTGATCTTATTGTTTTGTTATCCCCCAGAGATTAGGAGGCTTATCATACTTTGGTGGTGCTGAGAAGAAAGATGAGAGGGTTCTTGTTCCTGATTTGGGATCCTTAACAAGCATCTATGATAGGTATTGAATTCATTTCGTCTCCCAAACCAAATCTGCAGTTTGTAGGATTTAGTGATTTTGATGCATATATTGATGGATTATGTGTTTCATTGAGCTGACGATAACACAATGGTCTCCAGGGCAAGGGAGTTATTCTATTACTTAAAAGGAGGAAGAGTTGATTTCGGCGAAGAGCATAGTGAGGCTTGTGGACATTCTCGGTTTGGAAGAGATTACGGAAAAGGTTTGGTTTTGATCTGAAAAATTCTCATTAATGTATCCAAATGAATGCAAATCTGAAATTGGTATGTGTGTGTTCAGGGGAATACCCTGAATGGGATGAGGATCATCCTATTCATTTTGTGGGCCATTCAGCGGGTGCGCAAGTTGTGCGTGTGTTGCAGCAAATGCTTGCAGATAAGGTTTGAGTTGAATCCTTGTCTTAACGATAGAATGTCTTTTTGTTCATAAGCTCTGTTTGATGATTGATGCTAACACATATAAGTCTCAAACTGTTATGTTTAGGCATTTGAAGGGTATGAAGAAACGAATGAGAATTGGGTTCTGAGTGTGACATCGTTGTCCGGAGCATTCAACGGTACTACCAGGACCTACTTAGATGGCATGCGGTTAGTTTTCCTTCCTGAAAATCTCAATTCTTTACAACTGATTGGACTATTCCTGTTTGTTTCTGTGTTTGTGAAATAAAAGGTTTGGTCTTGGAAGCAAATGTATTAGAAAAACCAAGATCTTTCGTCTTTGATTGTTGTTGATTCTCATCGCTAAATCTTGTTGTTGCTATTACAGGACAGACGATGGAATAAGCATGAAACCGATATGTCTGCTGCAGCTATGTCGTATAGGTGTGATAATGTACGATTGGTTGGACATTTCATGGCTAAAGACATACTACAATTTCGGGTTCGATCACTTCAACATATCTTGGAAGAAAACCGGCGTGAGAGGTCTCCTTGATTGCCTAATGGGAAACACTGGTCCTTTTGCCACCGGCGATTGGATCTTACCGGATCTCACGATCCAAGGCTCAACAAGTTTAAACTCCAATCTCCAGACATTCCCAAGCACTTACTACTTCAGCTACGCGACTAAACGCACCCGCAGAATCATGGGCATGACGATTCCTTCGGGTGTTCTTGGAATCCACCCGATGCTCTTCCTCCGCGTCTTTCAGATGAGCCAATGGCGATTCCCTCAAGATGTTTCTCCTCCTTATAAAGGCTACAGGTTACACACAAAGGATCAAAACTTTTCAACAAAACCCAAAAAGATCAAAACTTTTTAACATTCATTCTTGAAGCTCTTGATCAATTCTTTGTTTAAACATTGCAAAGTAGATAGCACATTTGTTCTAAGAGAAAAATGTTTCTTGAATGAAGGGATGAGGAATGGCAAGAGAACGATGGGGCATTGAACACGATATCAATGACACATCCGAGGCTACCAGTGGAGCATCCGAGCCGGTTCGTAAGGAGCGATTCGGAGTGCCAAACTTTACAACCTGGGATCTGGTGAGTGAGTTTGTATATATGTTAAACAAATGCCATAGAGGGAGATGAATGTTGGATCTAATGAAAAACGGTTCTTTTTTCTTTGGCAGGTATTATAAGATAGTGGAAGCAGATCACATAACGTTCATAGTGAACAGAGAGAGAGCTGGAGTTCAGTTCGATCTTATATACGACAGTATCTTCCAACGTTGCAGGAAACATGTTTTCAGGAAGATTCCTCAAACTCTCCCCAATCAGTCTCCTCGCTCTCCTCGTTGACAAAACCCGGTTTAAAAAAAAAATAGCTTTTGTACATTTGATCATTTTTCTCTCCAAATGTTAGAGTTGAGACGTAGGCAATTTATTATTATTGTTACAGATACTCCATTGTTCTTCTTATTCTATCTCGATTTGTTGTACTAGTGTAAACAACTATCTTTCCATTAAAAAATCTATATAATATTTGTTGTTTTGTCAGATTCTATTTACCGTATCTTATTCGTGTGACCGTGTCATACCATTATAATGATATATATATATACATCATCACCCCCCAAAAGAACAGTCTATAATATCTATGATTAGGATGACCTTCAAAAACTCCCTTTGTTAATCCTTGATAATTGAATTACAAAAGCCCAAATAATCATTACACTGGAAATTGCCACAAGGAGGATAGGAAAAACTGCATGCCATTTGTTGTATAGTCACCCATGCTACATGTCGTTTCCGTCCGTGGCATGGACCACAGGAAAACGAACCGAAAGAACATAGTGCCCATCAAACGAAAATAAAAAGATTGCTCGTTGTTTGACAAATTTTAACCAAAATATAAGTGTCGTAAAAAGCTTACAGGAGAAATAAACAGAACATCATGAAACAATTCACAAGAAATATGGCTTCTAAAACAACCTTCACCGTAAATTTCATCAGCTAAAATTTTTCATATCTTTTCCCTTTTCTTAGATCTTTCTCTGCTTTGTTTCGTTGACAATGACTCTCATATTAAGAAAAAAAAAAAAAAACACAGATCTCATATTACATGAGTCTGAGTTCGTACTCACCAGCCATGGTTATATATCTCACCCATGGAAGAGCTTGGTACCCACTCTTCTCAATGATTTTCAAGTATCGCACCTGCAATAACAATATAATTAACACGCATCAGGATTCTCAACTTTAAGGTTTTGCCTTCATATTTCAAGTGCAGAAACATAGAAACCCAATATATATATGATAAAAAATTGATCATTGTTAGGAATACTGACCTGTATTCCTGAAACAGTGAAATACGGAATCTCGAATTTGACACGGATTGGAGCTTTTCGCTCAGGCGTTGCTTCCTCTGCAGTTATACTTGGAAGATGGAACTCCGCTCTCAACATGTACTCCTACATCGTTTCAAAACTTTATGTAAGCATTCAGCTTTTGATGGTCAAGCGTTACATAGTTTCATTAAACTATAAGCACTTACCTTGTTCCCAGGGAAAGATTTGATTTTCCAGACCAATGCATCTTTTTCGGGAGCATATGAGGCAGACCCAAGGGATGTTCTTACGGTGGGGTTGGATGCATCGGTTGGTACAGGCAATTCAATTTCAACATTTGTTGCAGTGCTGCAGAGAAGGAAAATCATATTGTAAACTTTTGAGGGATTTTAAGCAATGGATTGTAAAAACTAAAATCAAACAAGTCACACAAGGGTTAGTACCTTCTTTCCTTGAACTGGCTTCTAGCTTTTACCAGCATCTCAACACGACTTCTAGAATGCCTCTCTATCTGAGCTTCCACCCATATAAGAGGCTTCACCTGAATTATGTATAGAAAGAAATTTTATGAGATTTAATTCGTATAAGAAGGGGTAAAAACCATATGTGCAATATTCCACATTTCAAACCTGGGTACTGAGTCTATATGTCATTAAATCAAAAGCTCCATCAGGTGGTATGAAAGATATCGTCCTATCATTCTCAAAACGAGCCAATCGAACACACCTACATTTTGAAGATAAAGACTGTAAAACTCAAGTATTGAAAAAGTGGTCTGGAGAAGTGACTGTCAGAGAATGTTCGGAGTAGCAAGAGAATAACGTACTGATGAAATTTGATGTCCTCCAAATCAATGGCTTTCCCTTTTGTCGCCCGTCCTTGTGCCTCCAACAATACTCTATCATTGAGGCCTAACTTACACTCAGGCATTCCACTGTAATAACACGGATTTAGCAGCAGAGAGTCAAAGATGAGAAAATTTTGATCTATCATGTTTTGGTTGATTAGGAACACTAGAGAACGCACCTTAAGTATGTTCGCATCTTCAATGCTCCAACGACATCAGACCTCACAATTTGCCCATTACTGTTCACAAGGATATTTACACTCTCTATTACGTCCAAGAAAACCTGGAAAACAAAACAGCAGTCTGTAAACACCTGCAAACCTAAACAGTCGAAAAAAAACAAAATGTACCCTGCTTGTAAACTATGCACCTACTTCGTTTTTCTTAAACTGTAACCCCTCACTCCTCCATGAGACAGCATTTGTGACAGCCATTGGAGGTCTCTGTGTAACTTCCATTCTATACGCATCAGTCTTGATGAATTCACTAAGGATTCTTGCTTCAGTATACTGAGGGTAACCAAAGTCCATCATCTCGTCAAGTAACTCATACTGCCAACAACATAAGTCAAAATTCAGCATCTAATATTAGAGAGATTCTTTTGTCAACATATATCCAGCCCATGCAAGAGAATCAACAACACCTAGTATCAAAGAAGTATTATAAGAGCACATGGGAGAAGCATTAACGTACCACTACCACAAAGTTATCCCTCAAAGATTCTTCCTCTAACTCCTCAAAGTAATGCTTGAAGACCTACAATCAGTGCAAGAAACATGTCAAATGATCGGTATCATATGAAAGAGAACCATTCGTTATGTTCTTTTTCTTCCAATCCGGGAAGCAGATGGAATTGCAAAAACTGAACCAGGAGGGATGCTTACATCGACTACGCGATGCAAGAAGAAGAGAAGGCTGGCAGCATTACAGTTCTGTCTGGACGCTATCATCAGGTAAATGTTACTATGCTGTACAAACATGTAGGTCACCCCATTATCGTAAGCAACCGGATCATTTGACTGTGAATCCCCCTGAAAGATTAGACAAAAGTAAACAAACCAACAAAGAAAAAAAAAAAAAACTCATTTCGTTTCAGAAGTAAAACTATATTTCGGAACAAATCCAAATCCACCGATCAAACTTGTTCATTAGCTCCAAATGTTCAAAATTCAGTATGGGTAAATCACGATCATCTCAGAAAGACCAGTGGCATCAGATCGCGGATACAGGTACCAATCCATTTACTATCTTAGAATTTTATTTGAAACTTCTGGAAGGTTGGGCGTGTTGCTGTTTCGAATTCTATTGGCGAATCTCTTAGAAATGGAAATTGGAAACGATAGCATGATTTCTCGTTCAGTGCATCGAAGTAGTCTTCCATTTTCAAAGCATCCAAGTACCAAATCAAGCATTGAAAATAGAAAAAGATAGACCAAATAAACATCTAGAAATAAAGATCAGAGGAAAAATCGCAGAGAAACCTCTTTCTCGATGAGTTTGGTGAAGAAACGCTCGGCTTGAGCAGCGGTGACATCGCCGCGGTAATCGCGCCACACGAGAACACGGCCCTTGATATCGAGCAGAAACAGCGCGGAGGCCGCCCCTGCCATGGTTCTTCTTCCTCCCTGTTTCTCAAGGATTGCGAATCAGATCCGATCAAAGAGACGGATCAATCCACGAGATCTGAAGAATTTGATGCTTCACCGGAGAAGAAGGACCAACATCAAAGCGAAAAATGAGCTAAGATCATCTGCAGCTGAGTGTTGTCGATAAAGTCTTATTCACGATCTGACGATTTTTGTTCGTGGGTGGGTTCATAATAGAGAGTCACACAAAACTAAAAAAGAAAAAAAAAACCGATGGGAGTGAAAAGAGCAGCTTTTAACTTTCAGCTTCGCATTACTCTATTGACAAAAAAACATGTCATTAGATTCCCGCGAAACGGCATCGTATTTACATTCTTATTTGCATTCCCCTAGATTTTACGACAATGTGAAAAGAACAAGCAATACAAAAATACAACTATACGATTTGTGTTTGAAAATAATATCGTCGCAGTCTCGCAGATCATCAATACTCAGAGCCAGGCTAAATAGGTCTTCTAACTTTTGTTAAGCAGTTACGATCTTTGATATTTGTGTGAAGTTCGTTTCATTGGCCAATCGAGATATTTTGGGATGTAAATAAGTATTATCATTTACCAAACACTTTTCACCTAATTTTTATCCAATTTTTCATTACATCGGCGAGGGAAGAGAGAACAAATACAATGGCAATTGAAATGATCAAAGAAATCTTCTGTACATGTTTCAAAACCTTTGTCTTTGACAAACAATCAAACTCACCCAAAACTCAGACTTCACACTTTGACTCGGCACAAATCCTTATGTTCAGTTCCATTGATTCGATCTCGAGGTAAGGCAAAGCAACAAGCCAGCTTAATTGTGACCATAAATGATGTTTCATGTTCCTTTTTCGTCGGTGCCTTTTGTGGTAATCTTAGACTTGAGTGCTAAGCTACTTATATCGTCGTCACCTTCGAGATCACTGAAAGAAACATCATCCTCGTTGACTGTGTACATTGGAGCCCAAGTATTAGAAGAAACTTCCTCTTCTGGCCAATCATCATCATCCTCATCATCTTTGGGTGTTTGACTTAGGCTTGCACTCTTCTTGTCACTCTTCTGAATCGGTTTTTCTTCAATAACAGCTTTATCGATGAACTGGGCGTTATCAGAAACGCGATTTACCGTTTCGAAATCGTGATACATAATTGAAGGTGGTTCAAAGGCATATATTCGTGGAGATAGAAACTCAGGAGGAGCATGGTGGTAGTAGTTTGAAGTTGATGGAGTAATGTCCTCATCAAGAATATCTCTACCTTCTTTCGAGGAATGGGTTTGATTCTGAAGCTCTTTCATCCACAACGCTCTTGCTTCCATCACCTGCAAATAAAAAAAAGGGTTTTGTCGAGTAATCATTTCGGTTTGTGTGGACTTGATTCAAGAAGATTGAGTGAGGTTTACCTGTGGGGAAGACAAAAGAAGAGCATCGTGTTTATTGAGCCTCGAATGGAGAAGAACAAAATAGACTTTCCAGAAGTAACCAACACTCATATGGCATGGACAAAGCTCTATTCTCAGTGCAGCTAACCTCGGAGCAAGACGTTCTATAGCTAAAGCATGGCCTCTTTGAGCATCAGACATTTCCAAATCTACAAGAAGAAAATTCAAAAACTTTGATACGTAATCCATGAAGATTAGAGGCAAAAAAATTTGGCCAACAAACTTTGTTTTTCTCAATTTTTGAAATTGTACGCAAAGCCAACGAGTCAATGTACGTTACCATCAAGATCTTCGTCGGGATCGAGAGGAAAATCCAACCAAGTTTCTGGATGCATAGCTATATTCCTCGCAAATGCGAGCACTTCGTCCGTAAGAGCAACCGCATCTTCTTCTTCATTATCCGTTTCCTCTTCTTCTCCTTCTTCTACCTCCTCCGGGTCATTGCACACATCTTCCACCCCTTTTTCTACCGACGCCATGGTCTCCGAATTCCAGCTCCTAATTCTATCTCCGTTCTCCGGCGTACCACTTCCGACACACGATTCAGACCGATCTGAAGAACGCGATTGATTCAGTCTGGGATCCGAAGACAGCGATTGATCCAATCCGGGATCTGAAAACCGAGATTGGTTCAATCTAATATTTGACAGATCGGAGGAAGATCCATCTGGTAACGGAGCGAGAAAGCTAGCCACGCCCCGAAATTGGCGTGTCAGGGTATGACCGAGTTCCGTCAGGTCATCTTTCACCCCACGCGCTTGAGCCTCCTCTTCCAGTGAAATCGAAGACAAACGATCGGTGTTTATCTGAGAATCGTGTATTTCCGTTGAAGATTCCCGGTTGCTCTTGTTCTCCTCATCGTCGGCGTCATCGTCTCCGTCTCCGATGCCCTCGTATAGGCTTTCGAAAAAATTCGAAAACATTATGATTGAATTCTTTTTTTTTTTCCTTTTCTTTTTGCCTCTCTGATTGTTGTATTCATTAAACTTCTCGGGTTGAGTCAAAGTTACACCCAAAAAATGTTTTTTATTTTTCCCAACAAACCCCATACAATTATACAAATTATATATTCTGTAGTTGTAATTTAGTTTTAAATTTTCTCGACTAGAAATGAATTAATTTTTTCTCGCCAACTGGAACCGGATTTAACACCAAATTTAACCACAATTTTTATTTTCTTCTTTGTTTTAAAAGTATTTTTTATTGAAATTGGGGCATTTTGGTTAACATTCTCAATTTTAAGAGTACTGTATTTTACTATTTTCTCTAGGTTAGTTTTGCTGGTTTTCCGATGTACCATTTTGTTTTTTGCAAAGATTGCAAACTAACTTTTTAATTAGTATAGGTTATACTTCTGAGTTCTGACAATGTCACTAATCTACCTTGCAAGATTTTGGAGCAAATCAAATTGGACTTTATGATTATGATACTTTGAAGCATAATCGTAATATAGCATTGTCAACCCTTTTGACTTACTGCTCTTTTACTGAATTTTATATTGTTATACAATGTGCTTGAGATCATGAGTAAATTTTAAGATGAGGATTTGTGAATTCTATATTTTCCAACTGGAAAGATAGGTTTTAGGTAATATGTAACTTTTTAAATTCAGATTCGAACAAATTCACCAAGATGATGTTCAACCATCAGTCACTATGTTCTTATTCACAAACAGAAAATCAACAATGTCTAATTTGAGTTCAGATTAAACCACAAATGTCGAATCAATGAACAAAAGACTGGACCTGGAAAATAAGATTGAGATAGTATATATATGGAGGATGAAACTCAGAGAATCCAGTTACCTCCTATTTCGTCGATAATTCTCTCTACTTTCTGCAGCATATCTGGATAATGAAGAAACAACTTGTTACATAGATGGTAGATTCTTGAAATTTATTAATTGAAGTTGCAGCTGAAATGTAGAGCTCGAATCTAAATAGATTATTATTGTCTGAGTGAGTATTGGGGAGAAAAATCACCTTGAAATGAAGAATCTTCCATGTACTTCTGCCAAAACAAAAAGTTGGAATCCCAAATCAGAAGAGATCATTAGAATTGTGTTTGTGTGTAGAAAAAACTCAAGTTTTGTTATGCTGTACCAGTATCTGTGACTTTAGATCAGGATCCTGCTTTACAGTTGTTTGGCCTGCATCTATAGCGGATTTCACGGGAAGGAAACTTGGTAAATTTGTATGAAAGAAGCCATATTTCTCAAACTAGAACAAGCAAGGTCAATGTGATTGTTACCTAGAGTTGAGTTGGGAAAGCAACCAGAGAGTAAGGTACTGAAACTCGGAGGAAGGTTAATGGAAGCTTCGTTAGAGATTTGACTAAGCGTGGATTGTGGTGGGTATAAGGTTTGTCCAGCTCCATACTCAAGTCTTGGTAGCATTTGAGGAACATAACTACCAAGATGTTTAACCATGTTTGGCTCTTCCACAATGGCGGATTGTGGTGGGTATAAGGTTTGTCCAGTTTGATACTCAACCCTTGGTAGCATTTGAGGAACATAACTATCAAGATGTTTAACCATGTTTGGCTCTTCCACAGTGGCGAATTGTGGTGTGTATAAGGTTTGTCCAGTTTGATACTCAACCCTTGGTAGCATTTCAGGAACATAACTATCATGAGGTTTAACCATACTTTGCTCTTCCTCAGTGGCTCTGCAAAGAAATATTTCCCATATCTAAATTGTTGGCTAAAGCACTTGTACAAATTCACAACACTGTAATGTGATCTAACCTGGGGATAATCTCATCTGTAGTGTTGTAATCTGACTGTAAACAAATCTCGGACCTAGTTTCACTTCTCTGGATCCCAGCTTCCTCTAATCCCTTGAGTTTCTCCTGCAAACAGAAGAACAAAACAGGACTCATTAGCTATGATTCCAAGAAAATAGTTTATAAACCGAAGTCAGGGTAATGCAATATCATCTCAGGGTAGTGCAATATCATCTCTATCTGATCAACATGGTAAGCAGGTCTTTGCAGTAATGGCTGACCTTAAGAGCTACCACAAAGGTCACCGCTGCATCACATGTGGAAAACCTTAAAGCGAATTTTTGAGTCTGTAGAAAGAACAACAAGCACATTAAACAATATGATTTCGATCACACATCTCAAGTATATAACTCATGGACATTTATCAAATTCTTCTTAGGTTACACTATGAAGCTTTTTATATATCTGTTTATTCCAGAAAAACCCAAAAGAGATTAGAGTGTTAGGAGAGTTGCCTCGTTTGCAGAATCCTTGTAGCTAACGAGAATCGCTCGGCTACCACGAGGTGGGAACCCAGAAACGCACGTCATCTGAGGCCATGAGAAATTCAGCTTTGAAATGTAGTGTTCTTCCTGTAGAATTTGAGATTCCCCAATCATCCGAAAAACAACCAAAGACCAGGGAAGTTAAATTAGTCCATAAACTTATAATCAAACATGGATTAGATCCTAAATCACGAAATCTATTGAGCTTAAACCATCGCGAAAACCAATCTAAACAAAAAGCAGTATAGCAAATCCGATCTAAAGAACAACATAGAGAGAGGAAAAATCAACTCACAAGGACTTTCCCGCCGAGTTCTACGGAGAGAATCACGTCGGATCTGTCTAATTCGTCCACCAGCTGGAGAGACACCGTCGAAGAAGACGTCGACAGCCACGTCCCGTGGGGCGATGGATTTAGCTCTCTCTTTCCGAGAGGAATCAGTCCTTGATAGGTAGAGGGATAAGATGGATACGGAACAAACCGAGCAAAACCGATCAGCCATCGGGAAAATTCAGAAGCCGCCGTGTTTCCTCGGTGGTGCTCGTGGATTGATGCTGCTAGAGATCCCGCCATCTTCCTTCAGATATTTCCTCCGTTTTTTGAAATTTCTTTTCTCAGTCTTCCTTTTTTTGAAAAAGCGTACTGTACTAATAATGTACGTACGGAAATTATATTTCCGCAGTTCTCTATGCTCAGATTACTACTATTGGGCCCAAAGTAAGGCCCAAAATATACTTTGAGGTTTCAAAAATCCGGTTCCAGTTTGGTATAGTTTTCCATATTGTGCTTTTATTCAGATTTTAGTCAAAAGTTTTTAGCTTAAAAAAAAAAAACAAAGTTTTGGGTCAGTTTCTTTTTTTTTATTTGACAGTTGATTCGGAAGCGATTTCAGTTTCTGAGCTCTGAACTATGAAAGGTAACACGACTCTTAGTAGAGTATTTTTTTTTTCAGTTTGGATAAGACTAGTTTAGCTTATACAAAGCAAACAAAACCATGCCGAACCAATTGGAGTTGATTTCTGATCTTTTCTAATATTGAATAAATAAATGGAAAATAAGAAAGTGCAAACACTGCATCGTGTGATTCTTCTTATTTTAACGTTTTATTTCCAAAGCAATTTTCTGTCTCACAAGTGCAAAGAATTGAAATGAAACATTATTACATTATTGAAATTCCCTACATAAAAAAAATACAACCTCTTAAACGGCAAATGCTTCCATCGAAACTATACACCAAAGTTCATAAATCAGATTTGTTTAAAACCAAAAATAAACTCGCAGCTGGAATTCTACTCGAATCACGGAAGCTTAAACTTGAAGTGCAGAAGCAATGGAACCAGCGAGGCTTAGAACTTCAAAAGGAGGTTTGTTCATCACCTCTTTCACAGTCAATCCACACGAGTCTGTGATCCAGAAATAGCTCAGACCTTCCGCGGGATCACCTGCAACACGAAAAGACAGATACAAATAATTTTTTACTTTGACACAAAGAAAAAGGAATGATTCGATTTAGATGGGATCATAAAATTTGTATAATGGTTGTAACCTTTGGTGTCAAGCTTGAAACGTTTCCATGAACTCTTGGGGAATATGCCGTGTGTTACATATGCGCTTATTTTCGCTGCTCCATGTGCAGCTAAGACTTTCTGCAGGGCACAAAATACTAGTGATGAGTTATGAAAGAAGTGAGAATGGAGTTATACTTTTGAAAGAAAAAAATTAATCTGAGTACAGAACCTGGCATTCGATTAGTGTGCCACCCGACTGAACCAAATCATCGACAATCACGACGTGCCTTCCTTCAGCGTCTCCCTCTTTGATACGCACTATTCTTTTGTCTCCCATTCTAACTTTGTTGCAAACAATCTGAATGACAAAGGGGATTACTAAGTAAGCCTCCTGATGCTAAACTTAGGTTGCTATATACGAAAACGGTCCACATTGGGTTTACTGTAAGATGGTAGTGAGATATGCCATTAGAAAGTATAGTACCGTTGGATAATGTTGGAGTTGTTTGTGGAAACGTTTCCATGCTCCATCATCCGGGAATGCAATAGATATCTGAAACAAAAGAAGATCAGTAACCAACAAGAGTTTAATCTTGAACGGAACTCTAATTTATAGTGAGTTTTATGAGAAAAAAAATAATAATTCAAACTTGTTGATATCTACATGATGGAACTGATAGAAAAGTGACAGCCAAAGGAAAAGAGACTAACGTTATCGGAATCAGGTAGAGTCTGGAGTCTGTTCTTGAGCAATGGTATACCACTTTCAAAGCATGGAAGTATAGTATCTCCAAAGTAGAATCTTTCCTACAATCCAAAGACACTCAAAATCTAGATAAAACCTTCCACTCAGAGAACAAAAAAAGAAGAAGAAGAGGCATTGGCATTGATAAGAGTAGAGTTGTAATGAAAACCTGCAAGGCGTGTATATCGAATGTCACTAAGCTAGTGGGTCCTCCTCTCGAAGCAGGTATGTTTGAGAGTATCCTAGCGAGAGTGAAAGCAGTAGCCACGTCTCCTTCGTCTTCCATTCTCTCAGAAGTTCCAGTGGGGAAGAATGGAAGAACAAGTGTAAATGACGAAACGAAAAGCTTGGGCAGTGCATAAATAACAGAGAGCTGCTCGAAGATCACAGCCGGTGAACTGAATGAAGCCAAGAAGGCAACATGCTGCCCACGAATGCCTTGCGCATTTTGAATGAACAAATTTGGGAATCCATCGTCAAATTTCCTAAACAAGCACGATAACTGTGATTACTTTGTTAACAAGAACCCAAAAATTTCCACACTTTAGTTATACATCAAACCCAATTCTCCCCTCAGCTAATAAGCCTAGTCCTGGATTTTTTTTGTCCGATCTTGTACAGGAGAAGAAACACTAAGGGCTAACTTATCTCAAGGTCTCGACTTTGAACTCTGACCAAAAACATAAAGAAGCTCACATTTAAAAGTTCAAATTTTTAAGAACCAAGACAAAGTAAAAGCTATCACAATTCTAAAATCAAGCTCACTAATATGAAATCAATCAAGACTATAATCATCAAAATAGATAGAGAGACGAGAATTTATTTACTTCCAATTGATGCTTCGTAGCTCGATGCAATCAGATTGCGCGACTATACTCTCGGCGAGATCTCTAGTCTCGTCGCTGTGGAAGAGGCAAACGCGCTTCGAGCACTTCGCACCGGATTCCGACGCCGCCGCGGCCATTGATATCGGAGATGACGAAGAATTCGGATTAATTAGGCTGATCGGATCTCCATTGGACAAGAATTCGAGGGTCCGGTGACCCGACTGGTGGTTCTCTAAGCTTCTGACTCCACACCTCACGCAGCGATTACCGACTGTAGCAGTTTTGAAATTCAGAGAAACCGGACACGAAGACGAAGAAGAAGAAGAAGTAAACTGAGGCAGAGATAGAGAAGCAGCGTTGGTTGCACTCGCCGGAGAAATAGCCGCCATTTCCGAAGATGAAGGGTCAAAAGTACAAATTTGCCGGCGGATATCTTCAAATTAAAAAAAAAAAAAGAAAAACGAATTTTGCGCTTAAAATTGAGTCTGACATGTGGCGAATACAGTAAAGTGACATGTATGCCCCTATCTGTCAAATGAGACACGTTGAAGATGTTGGAGTTGTTCCACGATTAAGTTCCGGTTTGATCAGACTAGGTTAGCTAACCACCGGTCCAAGTTAGTCTCAGATCTGAACTTTACAACCGAGATTACACGGTTTATCTCGGTTTACTTAGAATGTCGATAGGGAAATTCGGTTAGTTTTCGGTTAAAGAGTACGAGGAGGCTCCCCTCAACAAACTTTGGAAGGTACACGCGCCTGGGAATCGTTTTATGAAGAAAAAATGTGTTTATTGAAACAAGTAATTAACCGGTAAACAAGAGGCTGCTACTATAAGGAGATTGGAAACTAATATTAAAAAAAGGAAAACAAATAAACAAACCAGTTTTCTTGATGGGTACGGATGGTTTGTGGGTAATTTCTACATAAATTTTCATATCTTGTAATTGTTTTCGTATGAAAATCATCAACCATAATTATTACATGATGATACATTTTGTACTTTCATTCTCATCAATATATTATAATAACAGAAACTTCGATAGAAAAGAAGACAAAAAAATAAATAACAAAACCTAGAAATCGCATATTTGTTGTTGCCAAAAGACACCGACAAAACAAATTGTAAAACTAATCACAACCATCACATTGTCATTTAAGTGAACTTTAATTTAGCTTCAAATCCCTCGAAAATTATTTGACCGGTGATTCGGTGAAGATTAGAAAGTCAAACGTATGACCGCCAATTGAACAGGTGTGGGCAATGCAATGTAAACTAAATAAAAAAGTCTGAATCTCAACAACTCTTTCCACCTCGTTCCTCCATTTATTACTTGCATATTCTACAGGATATATCTTCTATTTAATACATTGAAATTATTTTCTTATAAACTGTTATTTAAATTTACGGAGCTTAGGTCACGCGATTCCTCGGGTTCCCTATTATCATTTAAAACTCATTTTTGTATTTTCAATTTCTCATTTTGGTCAGGTGTCACGGGCTCTCTCTCTCTCCCTCTCCCTCTTTTCATATGAACTCTCCTCTCAATCACAGATACTCCAATTCGTTTTGAATGAATATGTCGTTTTACCATTGTTCACAACTTCACATGATCACGAGTTTAGAAATATTGGTATACTATAAGACCGCTTTTCAAAACATCATCAGATGAGTGTATCAGAAAACAATGTATACGAAATATGCAAAACAAATACTATTTAGCACTCTCTTTTTTTTACCAAACTATTAAGCACTCTTTTTTTACCGAACTATTTAGCACTTTTCAATGTTAATTCTATTTTTTCGACTTTTCAATGTTAATTCTATTACATGTACTTACACATTGTTACTAATATTAATGCCAGTTATCGTTGGCATATAAGTAGTATGAAAATAGTAGACACAATAAAACATTACACTTTTTTTTGTGCAAAACAAAAAAACATTACACAAGTTTAATTTTTTGTAATACGAAATATATCCAATATTCAGGTTGATTTGGTAGACGCTTTTGTACGTAAATTCACATCGACGTAAGTGTATGTGTGCGTGTGTATCCTGTATCACATACAATGATACAAACTGTTAACAAACTAACCTACGTACTTAACAATATCGTGAACCTAAAGAGAAAAAATACTCGTCCATCACTTGTTATATAGGAATATAGGATATATGATCATATGCGCAATACTCACAAATGGTAGATCCTGATGATAACTTGATTGTTATATAACACTCAATTTTTTGTGTCATACTTATTTTCATTCATATGAGTTGGTGAGATTTTTGAATCCTTGCAACTTCTCTCCCAGCCTTTATTCCCTGCACTTTCCCCTCCGGTTCTCAGAAACGAATATAATTTTTTTAAGTACAAGTCAATCTCACAGTCTTTTTTTCTTTTAAAACATCTATCTTCATTAATATGAATATCAAATTACATAAAAACAACAATACATGAAACTAAACATATAAAATAGTAAAACAACGGAGATGAGTTTAAATCATTTAATAGTATTATGTTTGTACAAAATATTTCAATTTGAAATATATTATTATACAAACCTTTTATTTTTATAACATTTTAATCAGAGTTTGTAAGAAGAGGGAAATTACCGAACTGAATACCGATCTGATGCATTTAATTCTCTGTTGACTATAAAACCGTCCTCTTGAGAAAAAATGTCCCCTTCACTTCACATTCGCCACCAAGTTAACAAAAAAAAAAAGTAATTTTGAGAGAGAGAGAGATAGGGGACTAATCCCAATACCTAAAGCAAACATTTGATTCATTCATCTTCTTCAACAACAAAACTTCCTCTGTTTTTCCTTTGTAAACACCTCCCCTGTTTTCTCTTAATCTACATTCGACAAGACAACTCATGGGATTTTCCAGTAAACCTCACCACCAGCTCGACGGCGAGATACGAGAAATCACCGACGGTAAAAAATGGGTCATCGCCGGACTTCCTCCACGTTCGCCGCTCAAGCCGATTAACCTATCATCCGGGGTCATAATCACCGAAACAGAGGATCAAGACCAATGTCCGACAACTCCCACCGCGGTTTCCGTCAGAATTCCAAGGGTCCCTCCGTGTCCAGCCGCACCGAAGAAGCGGAAGCCGTCGTCGAAGTGCAGCTACGGTGCCGGCGGTAGAGATTTCTTCTCTCCGCCGGACCTCGAAACCGTTTTTATTCAGAGAGCTATTTAACTCTGTTTTTACAACTCTTCGCTCTCTCTTCTCTTTCTAAAGTTTTTAGGGTTTTTAATTTCTTCGTTTCGTTTTAAGCTTTCGGTTCTGGTTTAGTCTTAGATTTCAGAACTTTTACTGTATCTGTTTCTCAATTCTACTGATGGTAGGAGTTAGGACACTAATTACGTGAAGTATTTCATGATTATGTACATTTATGTAATCACCATGTTTCCGGTAGAGTTGATAAATATTATATATAAATTTTAGCTTTATTAATTGGCATTTTTTCTGAATATAATTGATCTGGTTGTTTTCGTTCATCCTTTTGCATTCATATTCATTGAATTTTGTTGAATATAAAAATTCATTCTTCCTCAAAATAGTTTCTTTTCTTGGAAGTTTGAGATGATATTACCAAAATATGGTCCACAGATCAAAAGCTATTAACTTTTTATCTAACTTTGTTCTTTGCCATCTTTTTTATACTCTATAGAAAAGAAAAAAGAATCTTCGTTCTTCAATTTGTCTAAAAACTTAAAGAAACTTTTTTTTATCATAAATAACTGAAAGAGTTCAACAATGCAAAATAAATCAAGAGTTTACAGAGAGAATTGGAGTTCAGATCTTAACACTCTCTCCATTATTTTTGTTAACAAATCTCTCTACTTTATCCCAAGAACAAGAGCATCTTCTTCTCGTTAGGTTTCAAGTTACAACAATCTATTCTTTCTACGCAACATTTGTTTGGATCGAATATCGCAACAATTTTCCAGCACTTAAAATGTTCAAAAGTATATATGTGTTCATATAAGTACACGCATTTATTGTTTACATCATTTTCATAATTGGAGATTGTGGTGAAATATTGTAAAACTGAATCTGGTGCCATAATTTTTGTTCCGAAAAATTCTTGTGTTTTTCATCCGAAAAAGTTATAAGACTGAATATAAGAAGGTTTCATTTCAGTTCGAATTAGCTTTATAACACAAATCTATATTAAATATAAGAAATTTCAAAATATTTCTCATTTGATTTTTACTTTTTTATCTGGTTACATTTTTTTGGGTATCAAATAATTAAATTTATCTAATTTTATAACCGATTTTTTGGATTGTTAAAGGTTTCTAAAATTTACTGTATGCACAAAAATATATGCAATTCATCGGTAATATTTTAATAATCATCCATTCATTCATTCGATGATCAGTGACAGCCACCGACGCAAGTGGAATCCAAGAAAAGAATACGCCAAAGAGTTTTAGTCCTATTCTCATTTCATAAAATTCCAACATTTTGGAAGTCTTCTATTTTACACTGATGTTTATTAAATCCGGTATGTGCTTCTCACTATTGTATGTTCATGCGTAGCAATTATATATCATGTTAATATCGGAAAACCCTTTGCCATAAACCTATACAATACACTTAACCCGGAAAGTAACTCTTTCACAGTTTTTTATTTTTAATTGTATTGAGAGAGGGAGGGAGGGAGGGAGAGAGAGAGAGATATTATTTTGTGTTTGTCTTTCTAAGTAACGTGATCGTACATACGCTTTAGTTTGAAATTTTGAATGTGACCTGACCAATAATAACATAACAGGGATCAGAGGATCCGATAACGGAATCTTATCATAGTATATGCTCCGAAATCTTATTATAGTATATGCTCCGAACCTTAGTATAACATAAAGAATAGTTTACAAAGGTTAATATAAATATTCTTGTAAGAAACTGCATATGTTTCTAATCCATGACAAATTCATTAAATAATATTAGAAAGATTATTATATATTTTTTGTCGCAAATTAGGAATATTTTATCAAAACAACGGTAATAAATACTCTTTCTGTTTTATTATAGTTGATTTTCTAGATTTTTTTTCTTGTTTCATAATATTTGATTTCCTACATCTAATTAATGCATGTCTCTTCTTTAAATTGAATGAATAATATTAATGTATGTTGCTTTACTCCATTAAAAAATAAAAAGTAATACTCTCCCTGTTCAGAATTATTTGATGTTTAAAGTTTTTGCACACAGTTTAAGGATTCATTTAATTTTTATTTTTCCTATACTAAAATATTATTTATAATTCATTTAAATATCATTCAGTCAATAAGAATACAATCTACAGAATATAAAAGGTCAAAAACTATAAAAATTTATTAAATTTTGCATTGAAAAGTGAGAACATCAAGTAATTTTGAACAAAAAAACCTTCTAAAACATCAAATAATTCTGAACAGAGGGAGTAATAAAAATAATGAAATCAATTATAAAAATAATTTAATTAATAAAAATAAATATTAAATAATTATACATTTATAGCTTTCTTAATTTCTGTATAAATATTCAAAAAATTAACTATAATAAAATAGAGGGAGTAAAGAAGAAGAAAACCGGTCTCGTCAAAACGACTTCAAAATAAGAAAAGTCTCATGAAAGCGTCACATGTTTAATTAGTGGACACCACATGGTTAGAGATCCCATAATTTGGTGATCCCGGTGCGTTGTACTTGGAAGAGCCCATACTACTTAATTTAATATCACCATTAATCTCTACTTAATTTAATCTCATCCTTAATCTGAATGTATTTTGATTTATTTTTTGAGTTTAAAATATAATAGAAGAAACTGAGAAGGGATAACAAAACGAAAATACCAATTCAAGAAAGAAAGAAACTGCTCAGTATAATTTTCAAATGCATTGACACTTGGTGTGTGTTTCTAGACACGTGGACTTATACGTCATGTTGGATAATGGAAAACTTTTTTTAATGGATAATGCAAAATTATTTGTAAGAAAAACAAACTTTTATAGCCATGTGAAAATATTAGGGAGTTCAATATAAATATCATACGTCTGACCAAATTTGGAAGTATCTATAGTCAAAAAATCTTTTCGTATTGTTTCCAAACTTGGAACAAATACAATTTTCTCTAGAATTTTGCAGCGTTAAAAAAAATGCAAATGTCTCTTTCTAATGAGAAGTACAAAAAAGTGTTTTTTTCTGACCAAATTTCTCTGTTCTCTGACAACAATCGACACGCAACAACTACGTTTTTTTAGTTAATTAATTATAACAAAAAATTATATACATAATAAAAATCATACAAGGCGTGTATTATAAGCAATCATGTTGATTTAAGCTAAAAACATGACAAAAGCTTTGAGCAATAGCATTGTGACTCACAAGAGCTTTACCAATGATTTTTATTGGACCAAGTCACTAGTAGAAGGCCCAATAATAGGCCCATTTAATATAGCTATACCAAATAGCTTTTATTAAAAACTACTAGTATGATATACGGACCCTATCATATACACATCATCTAAAACAATGTCTAGAATAAATAGTAATTGTTTGGCAAATGAATATATAACCAGAGTGCGCAGACAGAATAAAATTTGGAAGGATAAAAGGAACGCATAACGGCATAAAAAAAAACAAAAACATAGCATCTTAGAGTGACGCGGACCATTGGTCAATTCACACAATTCATTATCGTAAAAAATGAGAAAAATAATAAAAACGTGCATTTCTATCTTGAAGCTGCGATGACAACTAGGATAAATAGATAAATATACGAGAAAAAAAATCTAGTTAAACCTGAATTTAAAATCCGACTGCTTGACTAGCCGTCAAATTTCTTTCAAACGTCCGAACAATGTCTAACGAAACTTAACATGGTAAAGAAATACCAACAAAATTCGATATAAATGATTCCAACTTCGAAGATTGCATATGACCAAAATATGCGGACCCATTTTACAGTAATCTGCTTTGTATATAATAATCATCCATTTACTTAAATCCCTGAACTACTTTTCAGAAACGGTACACTTACATTTACAACATACATCTTTGTCAGGAATTACCAAAAAGAACAAAATGGTCATTTCAGACAAACATGAGAATCTAGCAACTTTATATCCCACGGTCACGACTCACGAGTGCGTTGATGCAACACCAAACTTTTAGTGGCTGAACCGAATACTTTATTTGAAAAAAAGGAAGAAAGTGGGAAACTTTGAGTTGGACTATGACTTGGATCAAACATAAGATATGATATCATCATCCAATAATTATCACCTCCACCTTAAAAAATAAAATAGAATCACCCTCCTTATATGTGCTCATATATATAGCCCATTTCTTAGATAGAGATTTCACCCAAAAATCTTTAAAATAAAACCTCAAAAACAAATAACTCATAAAGAAACCCTTAAGGGAATGAAAAATATTTCCGCAGCCAGAGAGGCACCACCAGAAAAAATGCAGAAAAACTCATTCAAGGAGGATACAGAGGAACCTCAGTTTGAAACATCTCTCCAACAGTTTGTTTAGCTTGGCCATGAGAAGCGAGGAGACAAAAAAAAAAGCATTGGGTCTTATGGTAATGGCAAAACGGCAAGTCATATATCGGCATCAGGCTCGGTTCTTCGAGTTCTATTGATTTGATTTTGGTGGTAAGATTGATCTTGAACTTGTTTAAGATTTGATTGCTACAGTATGAAATCATCTTTAATACTTTGTTAATACTTTGTATCAGTAAGAAAGAATATTGTGGTATAGATCGTATTGTGCGATGTGTTTTTCTTTGGGAATAAAAGGTGGACAATGTTTGCTCATTAATCTTTATTAAGTTTCTAGTTTTGTGATAAGAAATTCTGTAAAAACTTGTATCTGGAAATCTTGACCGTCCTTAAACTGTTTCTGTTTATTCCATGGAAATTGTCAAATCCGTGTTTTACATAACGTAAGAGACTTCGATTCTCATTAATCGGAGTTTGATAGACGGAAATACTTGAGATGATGTCGCATGTTGTCGACGGTTCCGGTGAGGAACGATGAGCGAGCAACATGCTGATCTGTTAGCCACAACGAAAAATCCTCTCTCCCTTTTCTTTTCTTAATTCATTTGAAATATAAGTGGAAACTAAAATGAATCAATCAATTGCTATTTTTGTTGTTGATTAGACTAAGATGTTAAACTGCATTAACTAACCAGTAAAAAACATGTGTGTCCACAAAAACACACAAAAAAAGAGCGAAAATTGCAGGCAAGAAAGCTACTTTACCTAGCGTAGATAAGCTCTATTGGTCGTTGACTGACCTCTAAAAAAGGAAAGTTATAGAAACCTGGATGCAAACTTTACTTTGTTTCTTTATTTTAAAAGAAAATCCCATGGAGAAGTATATGGTTTCGGCCCAAATCTTATTGCAAACGCGGAGAGTTTTGGATTTGAGTTGTCTTCGTCAACTAGCAGCGCTTTAAATTTATAATATTTTCGAACATATACCCAAATGCAAGGCTTCGTAAAATTAGTTTTTGGGCTTAGATCGATTTTAGGATCTTACGGTTAACAAACAAAAAAAACTTTTTCATGAACCAAAAATAATGAATAAATTTGTGTATTTCACAAATTACAATTTTTTGTCATGATTACAAAAATGAATTTCCCATACTTAGAAGACTATCTTATCCAAAATTTGTAGTTGTATGACCTGTCATTGTATATATCTTTTCCAATTTATTTTTTCCTTTTAATTTTGATATACGCTCCGGTCTACTCAATTACAGTAATGCCAGGTAATTCCTACATAACATCCAAGTGTAGAAATTCAATCATAAAGAAGAAATAAATAGAAATTTTGAAATATATGTAAACAATTTGTTAATTAGTAATACTTAGATTTTGACAGCTGGATGTCCTGAAAAAGGGTAATACATAAGTGGCATATCTCTATTTGAATAGAATGCACTATATCACAAGAAGGTCAGTATGGTACTGTCATTCCAGTCATTTTCCAACAACCGTAATATTAACTGGCATCTCCTAGGATCATTTCCCTTTTATCATTGAATTTCTATGCCAACAAATATCATTTATAATTTTCTTATCAAAATAAATAATTATTTATTTCCATTTTTATATCGAAAGTGTAAACAAAGAATTGTAGAAATTTAATAGACAATAATTAAGATACAGAAAATTTGAAATATATGTAAATAATTTGTTAGTCATATTTTAACACTATGTAGAAAAATTTATCTCCTTTTTTTTTTAAAAAAACCGATTTTTTCTGTTAACGATTTTTATATTATAATAGAAAAACTATGAGAACATTGTCCCTCAAAAAGTAAATATAACAATCATATATAATTTATATATTATCTAACGAATAAAATAAGTATATACTTATATCTATTTTCATAGAAATGTAATTAAACTAATAAGAGTAATGTTCTCATATTTTTCTCATAATTTTTCTATCGTAATATGAAAAAAAAAACAGGTATAAGAAAGAAAAAAAGGAAGATATCAAATTTCCCTAATTATTAAATTTCGGTCATATTCATAGTACCAAACAGTTATCACTGAAACTATTAAAGCACACAAAATATTTCTGGCCGGCCTTACTTTTCAAACCATGTACAAATTAATTAGTCTCTTCATTGTCGTAAAACATTGAACTTAAAACCTAATCTACTCTCCTCCACAAAGTTCCCTTGACCTTCCTCTTCTATTGTTATATATACAAGCCTTCTCACTTGTAGTGTCTCACTCAAACTCGCTCTTTTTCTCTCTATTTTATTTTCTCTCGCAATCTTCTTCATTTTATATCCACCGAAACGCACCGCTTCACGTGAAAATGCAGCCGTCCAGCGTTCCAGCAACAGCGGCAGAGAAGGAGAAGGAGAGGCCAAGTGTGTCAGTGTTTAAGCTCTTCTCATTTGCTGATTTCTACGATTGCGTTCTGATGGTTCTTGGATCCATTGGTGCGTGCATTCACGGAGCCTCCGTTCCAGTTTTCTTCATTTTCTTCGGCAAACTCATCAACATCATCGGCCTTGCTTACCTTTTCCCACAACAAGCGTCTCACAAAGTCGCAAAGGTTCTTATATATGTTTTCATAACCATTTATCGAAAACTTTTAGTTGTTACTTGTTAGGGTTTGTTCATATTCTTCCTTCTGATTAAATATGACATTAGAATAGCTATATATATTGTAACTGCACTGAGTAGTTACATTTGGTTAAGAAACAAATGAAGATTTCAACTTGAAGATTGCGTTGATTCGAATCTTATTGACGACACTAATGTTAACATGACGAGTCACAAATTCAAAGGAGATTAAGATCTAATAAATCCATTTTTTTAGGAAATTAAAATATGATATTTTGGGGTTCAACGTATATGAGATATACATCAAATGAATTGCAGGGTCAAAATTTGTTTAAAAGCTAATTAATTTATATCTGGAAGTACATCTGCATTAAACTAAAATACAAATATGATGCTAAGAAATCATGTGTTTTATAGTATATTATTTTTGATTATGTTGTTTGCTCCGTTTAATTTTTCTTTTCTTTGATTATGCAGTACTCGTTGGATTTTGTATATCTGAGTGTGGTGATACTCTTTTCATCATGGCTAGGTAAATAACATAATAACTAATATATAAATTTAAAAGTTTTGAAGATACAAATGAATACATCTAAAAAGAATAATGAATGGTAACAGAGGTCGCATGTTGGATGCATACGGGAGAGAGACAAGCGGCGAAGATGAGAAAAGCTTATCTGAGGTCAATGTTAAGTCAAGACATAAGCTTATTCGACACCGAATCTTCCACCGGAGAAGTCATCTCTGCCATCACCTCTGACATACTTGTCGTCCAAGACGCTCTCTCCGAGAAGGTACGTTCGACCGGTTTTAATTAGCTCGGTTCTCATACTTGTACCGGGTCTTGTATTTATTTGGTTTTTTTTTTGTGTGTGTTAGTTCACAGTAAAATTTACTTCAATTGATATTTGATAAAAAAAAATACAATGAATAATATTTTTTCATATGTTGTTTAATTAATCCGACCAATAATAAGAAAAAGAGAGTGTAGCATGCATAATTTTTGCATGTTATCAATACCATGAACCGGATTTGGTTGCAGGTAGGGAATTTCTTGCACTGCATGAGCCGGTTTATAGCCGGTTTTGTAATCGGATTCACGAGCGTATGGCAAATAAGTCTTGTCACTCTCTCCATAGTCCCACTCATTGCTCTCGCCGGAGGTATCTACGCTTTTATCGGCACCGGACTTGTTGTTCGTGTCCGCAAATCATACGTCAAGGCCGGCGAGATTGCAGAAGAGGTTGGTAACTTGTACCACAAGGAAACTATCTACATTTGATTTTTTTGTTGCCTTTTTGTATTTCCTTTCATATATATTTCTCTTTTCAAAATCAGGTGATCGGTAATGTGAGGACCGTACAAGCGTTCACGGGAGAAGAAAAGGCTGTGGGATCGTACCGAGAAGCCTTGAAGAATACGTACTCGTACGGGAGGAAAGCCGGTTTAGCCAAGGGACTAGGACTCGGTTCGATGCACTGTGTCCTGTTTTTGTCTTGGGCTTTGCTCGTTTGGTTCACAAGCATCATTGTTCACAAGGGAATCGCTAATGGCGGCGAATCTTTCACTACCATGCTCAACGTTGTCATCGCTGGCCTGTAATATACAAAAGTTTAATTTTCCATCTTGCTCAATTTCTCGTTCTACACGTTTTCCTTTTTCCTCTGTTTTTTTCATAACAAAGTCTCTGTTTTTGAGGTTTTGTGTAGGTCTCTTGGTCAGGCAGCGCCAGATATCTCCACCTTTATACGAGCGAGAGCTGCTGCGTATCCGATTTTTCAGATGATCGAGCGGAACCAGGAGCCGAAAACGGGTCGTAAACTTGGGAAAGTAGACGGAGAGATACAATTCAAGGACGTGACTTTCACATACCCGTCTCGCCCTGACGTGGTGATCTTTGACAAGCTCAACTTGGTGATTCCTGCGGGGAAAGTTGTGGCACTTGTTGGAGGAAGCGGGTCCGGTAAAAGCACAATGATATCTCTAATCGAGCGCTTCTACGAGCCTACGGAAGGGGCGGTGTTGCTTGACGGGAACGATATCAGATACCTGGATCTTAAGTGGCTAAGAGAACACATCGGTCTGGTTAACCAAGAGCCTGCCCTGTTTGCAACCACGATTCGCGAGAACATTCTGTATGGTAAAGATGACGCGACTACTGAGGAAATTACCAATGCAGCAAGGCTCTCGGAAGCTCTTTCATTCATCAACAATCTCCCTGAAGGATTTGAAACCCAGGTCTGTCGAAAAGTCAGATAGCTTAGAATACAAGAAACAACTATAAACCCTAAAAAATTTGCTTGTCATTATCTTTTACAGGTTGGAGAGAGAGGGATTCAGCTATCTGGTGGGCAGAAACAGAGGATAACAATTTCGAGAGCGATCGTGAAAAACCCTTCGATACTCTTGCTTGACGAAGCGACAAGCGCTCTAGACTCAGAGTCGGAAAAAAGCGTACAAGAAGCTTTGGACAGAGTGATGGTTGGGAGGACTACGGTTGTGGTGGCTCATAGACTCTCCACCGTGAGAAATGCTGACATCATATCCGTCGTTCAAGGAGGTAAGATCATCGAGTCTGGAAGCCACGACGAACTCATCTCCAACCCTGATGGAGCTTACTCTTCTCTCCTACGTATCCAAGAATCTGTCAACCCTAACTTGAACCACACTCCAAGCTTACCAATCAGGTACTCACAAATAAAACCAAACAGTAAACCGGAAACACCACTCTGTCTCGTGGAAAACTCACTTGAAGGTTCTTTCAATTTTGCAGTACAGAATCCTTGCCGGAACAACAAATACCAAAGAGGAACTTGTGTTCCTTTCATCAATCAGCAAATCAACTAGACACGACCCAACAGGGCAAAGTAACGTTGAGACGTCTCTACTCTATGATCCGTCCTGACTGGAAGTATGGAATCTTTGGGACGTTAGGTTCCTTGATCGCGGGATCTCAGATGCCACTTTTCGCGCTTGGAATCTCGCAGGCTTTGGTTTCTTATTACATGGACTGGGAGACGACTCAACACGAGGTCAAGAGAATCTCTATCTTCTTCTGTTGTGCCTCGGTCATAACCGTCATCGCACACGCCATTGAGCATACCACCTTCGGTATTATGGGTGAGCGTCTCACTCTCCGTGTTAGGCAAATGATGTTTTCAGGTACGCACAAATACAAAACCACGGTCTGATAATCCTACCATTTATTGTCTTTCAAATTGGTTAAAAAGATTTTTTTTTTCCCTCGCTTTGTAGCAATCTTGAGGAATGAAATCGGGTGGTTTGATAAGGTCGACAACACTAGCTCGATGTTAGCGTCACGGCTTGAAAGCGATGCGACTTTGCTTAGGACCATTGTGGTCGATAGATCGACGATTCTACTGGAGAATTTTGGTCTTGTTGTGACCTCTTTCATTATTTCTTTCATACTCAACTGGCGTCTCACTCTCGTTGTCTTGGCCACATACCCATTGATCATTAGCGGTCATATCAGCGAGGTAAAATGCTTCTCTTCGTGTTTTCTTTTTTCTTAATTAATTTCAGCGATTGCGTTTATATACTAGTGTTTTTTGGTGTTTAAATTTTTACTTCATTGTTCTGTTATATTTGTTAGAAACTTTTCATGCAAGGCTACGGAGGAAACTTGAGTAAAGCGTATATGAAGGCTAACATGCTGGCCGGAGAGTCTGTTAGCAACATCCGAACAGTGGCCGCCTTTTGTGCAGAGGAGAAAGTTCTAGACCTTTATTCCAAAGAGCTTTTAGAACCTTCCAAACGTTCTTTCAAGCGTGGACAGATCGCAGGGATTTTGTATGGCGTCTCTCAGTTCTTCATCTTCTCCTCCTACGGCCTTGCACTCTGGTAACTAATCAAACAGTTTCACACAGACAAATTTAAGTATATATATAGAAGATTGGAAGTATTGAAACCTTAGATATGTGTTTACAGGTATGGATCGATCTTGATGGGGCAAGGATTATCAAGTTTCGAATCGGTTATGAAAACATTCATGGTTTTGATCGTAACGGCGTTAGTGATGGGTGAAGTGTTGGCTCTAGCTCCTGATCTGCTTAAAGGAAACCAGATGGTTGCTTCGGTTTTTGAGCTATTGGACCGAAGAACTCAGGTCTTTGGAGATACCGGCGAGGAGCTTAGTAATGTGGAAGGCACCATTGAGCTCAAAGGTGTCCATTTCAGCTACCCGTCACGGCCAGATGTGACTATCTTCCGCGATTTTAATCTGACAGTTCCTTCCGGAAAAAGCATGGCGCTCGTGGGACAAAGTGGGTCGGGGAAAAGTTCTGTCCTTTCCCTCATTCTCCGGTTCTATGATCCTACCGCCGGGAAAATCATGATAGACGGTGAGTGCCAAGCTCTTGACTTGATTACTTCAGCCACAAGAAACTCTGGCCTCATGTTTTTTATTGCATCACAAGGTATTTGTTATTTGGTTGAGTAAGCTGTTTTTATTTTCTTTCAACCCACTACTGTTACAGGAAAAGACATCAAGAGCCTGAGATTGAAATCGCTGCGAAGACACATTGGTCTGGTTCAACAAGAGCCGGCTCTTCTTGCGACAACTATCTACGAGAACATCTTGTACGGCAAAGAAGGAGCTTCTGAATCTGAAGTCATGGAAGCAGCTAAGCTTGCAAACGCTCACAGCTTCATCAGCTCTCTCCCGGAAGGTTACTTAACCAAAGTCGGTGAACGCGGCATTCAGATGTCGGGCGGCCAGAGACAGAGGATCGCTATCGCTAGAGCCGTCCTCAAGAGTCCAGAGATTCTGCTTCTTGACGAAGCCACAAGCGCCTTGGACGTTGAATCAGAGCGTGTGGTAAAGCTTTTTCTCTTCTCTCCTCTATAACATTAGGATTTTAGGGTAGAGATTTTTCACATAGAATCTTTACGGGTTTTATACTATGCATTGTTAGGTGCAAGAAGCATTGGATCGGCTAATGATGAACCGGACCACGGTGGTGGTGGCTCACCGGCTATCGACGATCAAGAACTCAGATATGATTAGTGTAATCCAAGAAGGCAAGATCATAGAGCAAGGCAGCCACAATAGCCTCGTTGAGAACGAGAATGGACCTTACTCTAAACTAATCAATCTTCAGCAGCAGCTGCAACCTCAACACCCCGAATAGTTTTTATCATCGAATTGTCAAAACTCTTGTTTGTTCTCTCTTTTGAACATCGCTCGTACTTTCATTCATGTTTAAGTTTATTTTGATTATGTTTTTCGTATTATTTATCGTTGTGGGATTATGCAATTCAAATAATGAAGATGTTCTTCAATTTCAAATGAATCCTTTAAGTTATTTGTTAAACGTGAAAAATCTAACTCTTACAGCTACAAGAGTTCTCAAGAAATTTAGTAAGAGATCTTGAAGACTTGAACACAAAGTAGAAAGAGGGCTCAAGAAAAATTTTACTGTTGGATGGACTTGTAAGGGAAAAAAAATGCAGAGATTCTCTCAGTAATGATTCTTTTAGGGAACATACGGTATCCGCATAGATGACACTTGCTCCTCCTCCAGCAACCATAGTCCAAATCCGTCCCTTGGGATTCAGAACGGTAAACTTCAAGGATGCACTTGTCTGCAACCATAGAAAAAGCTCTTTACTAGTCACAGAAAGATGAAGCAGACAGGTGTTTCCATTTTTCTCAATGATACCTTCTCATCTAATCCGTGGATAAAGCTTTCAGTGGGACTCATTACTCTTCCGAATGGCATAGGAAATTCAATGTCGCCCCATCTGCAAGCTCAAGGGCTTAATTATGTGCACCTTTCTCTAACTTCATAATCTCAAAAGGGTTTGGAAATCCAAGAGTCAAACACTTACTTTTTAAAGTTTTTGAAGGCGGCAGTATCATCAAGCTCACCCCTCATATCCAGAGGATATGGCCTTCCATCAACTAGTGTGAAAGGATTCATCTCCAGGAAAGTGAAATCAAGATCTATAGCGAACCAAAGGATACAAAGACTAAAAGTTTAGGTTTTGTATCACAGTAAAAGTAATTTGATCTGTAAGTAGGCTCAGCTATCCCTTGGCATACCTTGGAATAGGTGAAAATGACTTTGGATAAATTCGTCAATTTCCGCCTTGATCTGAATGTGGTAATGGTATAAGTTGGAGGCAGGAGTTCATATTCTATGTCATCATGTTCACAATTTTATCACCATTAAAAGAAAAGTTGATGTACGTACCTCCAAGGGAAGAGTTGCCACAAGAGGAGCACATATTTCAGGTGTCAAAGAAGCACCCGTTGGTAAAAATATAGTCTTCACCTGCAGAAAAATGGAGCTTCAGCTTCATGATTAAAGATATTGAAATAGACACTTGCAGGCATGTGAACGAAGAAAAAAAAACTCAAGTGAAAACTCTTCCAAAATACCTTGTCCCAGTTCTCCTCGATCTCAATACCTCCACACTCTGAAAAGCTTATGCTACACCCAAGGCGATCCGAGACAACATTAAGATAATACTCTTCATTGTGTGGGACAAATGGTTCAACAATGAATGTTGTTATGGGTCCTTTGCATCCACTCATCTCTACCTACGAATGATAGATGAAAAAGTTGAGTGGAAAATGTTCTCACAAGATTGGCTTACAAAGCGCACTACCAAAAAAAAAAAGTTACCTCTTTGCCCAAACGCTCTTTCACAAAAGTGGCAGCTTCAGCAAAATCTAATTTCAAGGCAACCAAACCACTCTTGCCACGCTTTCCAAACAACATATCAGGTTTCACCACCAGCTTCTCAGACGAGAGCCAAGGTTCTTTTTCTACCAGCTCATTTAAATCAGTTGTTTGGTTGATCTACACACACAAGGATTAAGAAAGAAAGCTACATGAAGCCTTAAAAGAACAAGAATCTAAATTTCCAGTAATCTTTTGAAGCGTTTAGAACTCGAAAAATGGCAAAAAGCTGCAATCTTTATAGCTTGGCAAACACAAATGATCATTTGCTACATGTCGGAGAAACCAATGCAAAATAGTTTTCTTATAATTTTGGACATATGCTTTATGTCGGAGAAACCGATGCACTAAGCTATAGAGAGACAAAGATCCGAGGAAATCGATCTAACCTGGACGGATCTGATAGGAAGCTCTTTGCCAGAAAGCCTTTTGAAGTGTTCCTTCACTAATCTCTTTGAGTCGTATTCTCTGATCTTCTTCCTCGCCATTTTCGAAACGAAGCTGGAGAAAACAACCAAGAGGAACGAAATCAAAACCACCGCCTACACTGACAAATCTCACAGATCCAGACTCAATCAAAATCGATTCGAACCCAGATTCCGAAATCAAACAGAAAACTTTTGAATCCCAAAGACTCCCAAAGATTACGCAATGAGAACAAACTTTCAAATTCAAAAGAGAATGTTGACAAATTGCATACAGATCAAAGGAATGTAGCAGAGATCCCTGAAAAATGGCGGATCTTTACCGTTTGAGAGTTGAAGGAAGGAAGGAAGGAGAGAGAAAATGGTAGCTTCAGGTTCGGTAGTTAGCTCACCAATTCGACTCTTTTATAGTTGCAACTTACAAATGATCATTTCCCTCATAAAACATAAAAATAAAGTATTACAATAATTCAAAAATCATAGTCATTTCTCACAATTAATTGTTTTATAAGTATATATATATATATATATATTCGGACCAAAAATCTTATTTTCTCTGTTAAAAACATTTGCATGACTTTGCAGGTACTCCTTCCCTGAAAAAAGCTGGTGGTTGCTCGTTTGTTCATTCAATTTCAGAGTATACTACCTAACTTGTAAACGAACGTTTCAGCTTCAACCATTTGATTTGTATAACATAGAAAATCTGTCAAACGTTTATTTTGTTTTTTCTTACAAGACCTAAATAAACGTTTGGACTTGAGATCCCATGACATTTACTCTTCTTTCTTCCGGCTAACCTCTTATCCACAAAGAAAAGTTTGACCTTTTCTGACTTATGTGTTTGCCTTGACCATCCATGAGTCCATGACCATCGTCTCCCGTCTCCTCGAGTGTGAATCTCAACAGATAGAAATATGAATAATTGGACTCGGGGAACCCAAAACCATCACGACCTGTAACGCTGTAGCAAGAAATTCTTCAGCTTTATGATCAAAGCAAATACGCCGAAGCACGGTAAATGCATCACAGCCACTCCCAAGTACCTGTAGAAACATTAGTAAGTGTCTTTCTTTTGATCAATGAATTTCAATACGAAGTGTGTGAGTTTATGACCGTACCATAAGGGTGCATACGGTGAGGACAGATCAAGAAATTGGTATGGCCACCTGCAAAAGATGTATATAACAAGATCCCTTAAAACTCTTAAGCCATTGTGTTTTGTGTGTTGTTAAGACTTCACGTGGATCCTTACGCGTATTCGGAAAGTCATAGTACAATTAATCGTTACAATGAGTGAAGATCAGAAAACGGAAGAACTGTGTGTACCATAAGTTCTTGAAGGCATGGATTATCCATTGGTAAGTCACGAAAATGCAGCTCCAAATTACAAAGTAAGAGATCCGGAACATCGGGAATCGCTGGATAAGGAAGTAAGAAAACCGCTGTTATGTTCTAGCTAAAGGCGGGAGATTCGTGTATCAGCAGAATTCAGTTTTGTTGACTTACCAAGGAATTGAGACATGTGTCACCGAGGAGAAAAACAGCGTTGAGAGAATGCATACAAACATCGAGCTGCAACAGAAATAATACATGTAAGGGATAAATATATTCATTACCCACTTCTGAATTAAAGATTTCAAGAGAGAGTGATCAGATAAAAATGAATCCAAGTCTCTCTAAAAAACGAAGATCTATTAGAGCCAGAGCTTACAAAACTCAGCCTGTAACCTTTAGTAAAGGGGTAGATTAACGCCCAAAACACAATATCTGTAAGCACAACAGCACCGGCACAAGTCTGCCACAACACAAAACTTTGTTTAGTCATTTTGAAGCTTTGAGATGTCACTTGTACAGTCTTCACTCTCAACAAGATGATTTAGCAGAAGGAGAAAAAAGAAGAGAGACTTACTTGGAAATGGACCTGAAAGATGTAAACCCAAAAACCCGCTGTTTCTCGGACTGATACTTCTGAATGTGTATTGGCAGGTTTTGACGTATTTCCCGCACCATCAAGGGTGGTGACTGGTGGTCTATAAGTTCCTTGTTCAGCATCACCTATACTTATATAACTCTCTATGTTACCACCAGCTTCTTTATTGTAGAAGCAGCATCCGTAAATAGATAACAACGAAGCATACTGCAGGAAAATGAAAGGATCAAGGATTCATTGTCTGAAACTAAGACAGTAACCTTAACATCGGAATTTCCAAGAGATATACCCCAAAGTAGAGTGTGACAAGAGTAAATGTCCACCTGTTTCAGCAAAAAGATTGGATCTTTCTCATTCGTTTCAAAGATTCAGAAATGTGAGGAGAAGGAACTGAAATGGTTAAAATCTCACTGAGTATAGAAGTAAAATATGCCTCCTCCATCGCGCACAACATTGGAAATAAGTAGAGATAGCATTGCAACAAATGAGAACACTCTAAAGGCAAGCAACCAACGAGGGTGGAGTCTTTTGAGACATGTGATCCAAGCTTCGTCTTGGAACAATGTCCCGGGTAATTCTCGCTGGCCTTCGCGTTCTCTTCTTTTGCCTTCATATCTCCATATGAGAATAGCTGCTGCAACTAGTGGAGCTAAGAGGATTAATGCACAGAGAAGAACCCTCCAATTCAACCAGTAGCTTGAAGCTGTGGTATCAGCAGCCATGCCTAGTCAGTAGAGTCCTGAGATCCCACCAAAAAGGAAAGAAATAAACAATATCACTACGAATCATGTTAATTTCATTGGTTTTCTTTTTTTAAAGATCATTCTCATACTTTTGTATTGCAATGAGTGAAAAATGTCTCTGTAAAAATCAAAATTGGATATATTTGAGCTATTCACATCACTGTAATGGCGAAAAAGGTTAGACCTTTTCGCATTAGCGGACAAAAACCAGAATACCCAAGTATAACTGGAACAAGAATTTGCGAGACAACCAACTAAAATTTTCCTGAATAAAAAAATCAGCCCATAAATTAAGTAATATACTTGAAATTTCCCCCAAAGCTATTACGTAAAGCAGATTCAGGAAATATAAGAGAACAAGAAAGGAGAATCCAAAAACAGAAGATTACAAAATATTACTTCGAGATTTGAAGACTCTTCTGTTCCGAAGATTCAGAGCAGACTCTCTAACGCATCTTCTGAATGATTCGAAGATGCTGAAAGCCTCCACAAAACCACGAAGAAACCAGAAGAGAAAAAGGAAAAGATCTTGTCGGGTATTATTCGTTGGTTGACAGAGGAAGAGGAAGGTCGAAACTTTTTGTCGTGCAGTCTCATTTTTTATCCGATCTAAACGGGAATCTCGGAACCGCCCAGACAAATCGCAATTATTTTGTTACACGCCCGGTTATTTTCGGTTTAAGAAATGTCTCTTTCGTCTTTTTTTTGTTGGTTCAAATTTCGGTTACCTACCAAAAACCGGACTTAACCAGGCTTGAATGTCTTATTACAACCTTCTGAAGACTCTCAAAGTTGTCCCTCCCACACCTTTTGCTGAACAGGTAAAACAGAAGCTACACATATTAGATGATTCTTTGCATATAAGACTGCCTCAATAATATACTAGATCAGGTCCTGTATCTTTAATCTAAAAATGCCCCAAAATGGTGTCATATAAATGTTTTATTATAAAAAAGTAAACGTTATTTTTTTTCATGTCCATGCCACCAATAATCAAACCCTTCTTCCTGGAGGACCAAAACCATATTCTCTAGGATCCAATTCAGGAGCATTGTCCAGAAATCGATCGGGACCAAATCAGAGAAAACTCAAACTTCTTAGCCATATCTAAATACATCTGCCACGTAGCGGCTGGCTCGTACACGATACCAGTCCGTAACTTGTGTCACTGCTGATTACAACAACCACACCTGAAGTGTCGTGAAACCTTTTCCACTTGTTGATTCTGTTGTAAATACTCACCGCGATGCTCGGCTCACAACTCACATTCACAGGTGACCATCGTATCCCGGTAGCCGTGAGCCTTGAGATAGTGTCCCTCTTAACCTCTCCGTCCTCTGCAACTGCATCAACGCTAAGACGACCGCAGAACCCTAACTCATTCATGGCTGACTTTATGGCGTCGTAGACTCGGAGCGCGTCGTAGCCACTTGGAAGGGGACAGCTCCCTAAATCCCACCATACAAATATTGGCGATTCACGATCCATTGGTTGCCACGGTTTAGGGTTTAGGATTGTTTTCTAGGGTTTTCACCCAAGTTTAGAGACGACCTCGATATATCCTCCTTACAATGATTTTTTTTTTCTTTTGGGCCACGCATTCGCATTAGGCCTCACACTTTCTTTTTGATATGTTATTGACATATATTGGTTTTTGTTTAATGTAGAGTTTATCAACTTTCCTTTAACATAGATTGCTATATAACAACAATTGAATCATAAAATCTCCAATAATTCGGAGTTTTGCAGATGAGGGAGTGTGTGCCCATTCTTAATCCACTGCTAAAAGATGCCAACTTGGATATATCTTGATATAGTGAACTGGATAAACATGTTTCTAATTAATAACCTTTTGGATGAATGAAGAGTTGATGTTGAGCCCAATAAAATAAAGAATCCAGAGTTTTCAATTACTAGACTGGTCTCAAAAGTCTTTTCTTTGACTGCATCTAAATAAGCAACCTTAGAAGTAGTTTACACAAAACAGGTTCTCTGCTTAACTTTATAGTGAAACCTTTTAACAAAAAGGTCCACGTATTATATAGCATGAATATCTCTTATCTTGAGAATATGTATATTTAGCCTAGGTCTACATATATAAAGTTCAAGCATTTTCTCCTATATTTAGAAGCCTAGAGCAAAGTCTTCATTGTATCCTTCTCGCAAACCTCCGCGATCTCCGAACATATCCGCCTGCTTAAAATTCACGCCAAAAAAAGAAAAAACTCTCTTCATCAAATTTGTCCCAAAAAGATAATGTCTTGATGTTTGGTCGATATGCTGATTGAGAAACTAAATTGAAATTTATTCATAGTAAACAATTTTTTTCTTTAAAAAAAAAACAACGCATTTGATTCTTACTTAAGAAGGGCCTAGGAGATACGAAATGTCCGTACATTTCAAAGAAATCCTTATTTTCCCTTTGAAGTCCTCTCCAAACTGCAAAGAAAAAAAACAATTTTTTTTTGTAGCACTCTTGCACAATATACGCTTGGTATATAGCCGAAAAAACTACATAAATTAGTTCCATAAACATTTGTGAGCTGTGATTTCTATAATTTTATGTGTCTACTGTGAAATATAAAAATGACAAATATGATCCAAGAATCTTCACAATGCCCCTCTCATTTCTTCAATTTTCCATATAGTTATCATTTGACGTCGCGGAATCGAAAGTTATATCTATATAACATTTTTAAACTTTCTTAATGAACACTTAAAGACTAACCGGTGAGGGTAACGAGTGGTAGAATGCTTGCGTGGTGGTCTAACGCCTTGACGCATTCATCACGAGTCATACGGAGTAGAATGCATCTCTCAATCATATGTTGAACCTAACAAAATCAATCACCATTCTTGCCAAAGGATTACTACACCATATAGAAAAACGCATAATCGTACTATAAATATTTATATATATATATATATATATATATATATATGTGTATGTGTGTGTATGCACCATGCGAATGTATGAATGTGGTTGGCAATGGAGACAAGGGAGTTTGTGTTGTGATTGATCATCAAGATGAATACACATTTTCTTCTTCTCTCTTGAAGATCGGTCTTCTGCTTCTTAAATCTCCAAATGATTTGGGGACAATCCAGGAACTTTGGAAGAGAATTATGAGTTATATATAACGGAAAGGAACAAAACATGAAGATATTTTCTGAGAAAAAAATAAGAAGCTTTAAAATATAGATACACATGAATATACATACGCTGATACACATGTGGGTATATTGGATAGTGTCATTTAATGAGTTATCCAAGAGAGATCCAAGTGAAGGGCTAAAAATAGAGGAGAGGATCCAAAGGATAGATTCTCTATCTGTCACTTTTTCAACCTGATCACAATTTTTTTTTTTAGTTGGAACTGACTTTTCTTGCGACTATGACTTCACAGTTAACCTTTTTTTTCCTTAACAGATTATCAACCAAACTTGAATTAGGTTTTTTTGTCCGTGTATTTAAACCGGGCAAAATGGATTTGATAGATTAATACCGGACGAAAAACTCCAACTCTTATTCAGTTCAATTTATTGTAAGCCAGTAGAACTAATACTTCAATTTGAACTAACCAAAACTTCAATTCATCATTTGTTTTGGTCCGCCTGTAAGAAAACCGAAATTATTCTAAACCAAACCGAAATACTATCAGTCAACTATTGGGATATATATAATAGGTTAACCAATCTTGATTCAAACAGATAACAAAATATGAAATGATTTTTTAATTAACACTTGTTTTCTAAAATGTAGTGGATGTATGTTAAAATAAATAGTCAATTTATTATGACTTGAAAAGACATAACTAAATCATATCAAATCTAACAACATTTTCTCTATGGCGTATTTTCTAGTTTATATAATTTCCTAAGACCGGAACGAATAAATCGGCTATTTGGTATATAGTGCGAAAACCCTCGGTCGGGATCTGGCTTCAAACGTATCACAAAAGTGTCTGGTCCCTCGTAAACGTTATATTTTAATTTGTGTGGTCAACCAAATGCCACTTGAATCATCAATCCACGACAAGTTTTGTGTTCAAGAGGCAACTTGAAAGTTAAATTATGAGGCTCTCCGCAAGTTTAGAAGATGAGTGTTTGTGGTTTGGTTCTTGTGACTTATGAGTGTGCGTGAATTCAATGGGCCTTGCGTCTACCTACCAACAACATTAAGATTCATTAACAAATGCAATTCGGGCTTAAGTTATCGCCTATTGATAAATTTCTTCCACTATACCGAGATAATTTATGTAGTCCTTTTGATCTTCATACATCACATTAGATTAGTAGTTAATTATACTGAGCTAAAACTTGAGAAGCATAGATTCAAACATTTCATAGGCCGCAAAATAGACACTTACTAAAGTTCTAATAATATGGAGATGATATATGCATGAATCTCCATACTGACGGGCACAACGAGAGTTAATATTATTCGGATTTTTGTTTACTTTCATTATGAGAGAATGATACTAGTTCCGGTCTTCAGACCAAAAAAAAAAAAAAGATACTAGTTCCGGTCTGTAGCAAGAAGAAACATCATAGTTTTAGAAAATTTTGCATCGATTTGACTCAAATATGAAATATACGCAAATTATCATCTTTTTTTCTTTTTGTCATTTGCTACCGAAATTTTTATTCAAATTAGTCTCTTAAATTAATTGAAATGTTCAAGGTATCTTACCTTCCGTTAATTTTGGTTGGTTCAAGTTCAGTTTCTTTGTTACAAGACAGGTCAACAAATGAGTTTAAAGAAACAGTCTGAATAGAGAGAATCTCTTTTAACAACTTGAAAGGAAAGCAAAGGTTATGTGCACTGGTAAACATAGTCAAAAGTTAAATCGTATAAACATAACAAATCTTCAACCAAATATTAATTGGATATCGTGTAAACGTTACAAAAGATGGTACACATCATAATAAATTGATTGCGTCGGTGTGGTTGCAACCACTAGAAAAACCTTTTGCTTTTTTCTTTTTCCAAACACACATCTAATTGATATTCCCATTTTACGAAGGTTACTAACTAGTATATCTTCTTCCATAAACGGGTCTTAACTCTCTTAACAGTTTATATATCCATCTACTAACTCCGATGGATTATGAACCTACTGATATTTATAGTAACCAGAAAACCGAAACTGAACCAAATTGAATACGAACCAAACTAAATCATAAACCAAAAATTATTCCTTTACATGTTTGAAGTTATCATCGAAAATTTTTGTATAAAATTCTCGTCAACTAACAAATAAAAACAAGCCTGTCCCACCGTTTGCTTCTTTTCCAACTAGTCTATGCTTTTTCCAGATTATTTTTTATACAAAACTTACGATTGATTATTGCAATATTGTATAGTAAGTACTAAGTAATATTTATTTTCCTCTTCAACGAAAATTCATAAGAAAACAAAAAAAATCGACAGACCTGGCGTGTGACGGTTTGGTCCGGTCCAAATTTCCAGAAAGTCATATCATATAGTAAGTAAACCAAAGAGGGCTCTCGCTTCCTTGTTCGATAATTACTTTTTTATCCCCGCCAAAAATCTACCCGCCATATTTGCCCAACGACCAAGCGCGTGGGTCCCACTTGCAATTAAAACGGCTCCTTCTCCTTCCTCTTCTTCCGTTACCCTCGCGCATGATAACATAAAAGACCAAAATACCCCTAGGGGTTAGTTGACCATCTCTTTTCTCTTCTCTGCTGTCATAATTCTCCCCACTATGGAATCCGTGTCCTGACTTTGAATTTGACGTGTAAACTATTTTTTTTTGTTTTTTTTTCCTGACAAAACGTGAAACGATTATTCATTATTATTAGTCTCTCTCTCTTCGTATACACATACATTTTGCATTATATAACTAAATCCATACAAATATCGTTTCCCATCGAGTATACGAGGGAGACATGATATTGTGAAAAGAGCTTGACAGAGTTTGATTTCTCTAGTCTTTTTTTATTCTTTTCATATTTATCTAGCAATTCGTAGCATTTGATTAATCGGTGGGATTACTTTGAATTATACTTAAATAACGTCTCTCGTGGTGGTATTGACTTCGGGAGAATTAAATTTGAAATTTCCACATGTAACATCGTCGATGCAATATAAATAGTAGAATATTAAAAGGACTCAATTCTCAATGGTACAATAAATTCATATTTTCAAACAATACATTTTTAAAAACGAGCAGTCTCTCATGGTTTTGACTAGATACATGTGAAAACATGAAATGAGGCTTTCTAATCACAAATTTTGTTGCCATATTATCAACCATGTGCACTTATAAACAGTTGTTCCTTCGACGCGATCACACAACTGCTATATGTGCATTCAACTGTATTATCTTATGAAATTAATCACATTCCATATGTTTTGTCAACAATCTTGATTTCAATATATTCCTTATTTACGTTAGTCAACAATTTCACATTTAAATGTATTGTTAAGTGTATTCTATTTAGATGTTTAAAAATGCCTCATTAATGAAGTCAATATATCAGAAAACGCAATTAAGTTAAATAACTTGAGGTAGTAAGTAATCTCATTCGGCCAATTTAATCACAGTACCTATTTATCATACGTTTACTTATCACATTTCACGTTTTGAAATAGTACTACTAACATGCCAAAAAAATATCATCAAGAAAAAGATACATCATAATCTACTAAACTTTTTTTTTTTCACAAAGTGTTATGTTTATTTCACAGAAACTTATTCAAGCTAAAAAGGTATTCGACCATTTCGTTAATTTTCCCATTTGATTTGATCAGTTATTGTAATGAATATGTTTGTTATACCATTCAAACCAATAAGGCAGTGGCGGAGCTAGGAAAAAAATTTCGGGGGCAGTTATAGTTTATAATGTACTATGAATAAATTTTACAGGGGTCATTTAAATGAATTATTATATTTTATTTTTTTTTGGATAAAAATAAGTATATATAAAAAATTTTTTTATTTCACTTGGCTATAATTTTTTCGGATTTAGCAAAAAAGAAGGAAAAGAGAGAAAGGAATAATGAAAAACTGAAAAAGTTGGCGTAACGAGGGAGAGATACACAACTCACGACGTAAGCAAAGACGAGAAAGCAGCACCACCGGTTCTTGTTTGGTGTCTACATTTACTTATCAACCATTTTTTTTTGTTTTTTTTTTTCAATTTTAAAAACTTTTTTTAATAATAATACTGTAATTTTGTTATTCAAGTAATATCGAAATTAGCACCCAACTTCCCCCACTTCTTCATCACTGTCCCGCTCCATCGCACCCGCTCAATTGCTCACATCCATCATCATTCATTTTCTTTCTTTCTTTCTTCTTCCGTTTCTTTTGCCTCTTTTCTTTTGTCTTCTTCCTTTCTTTTTTTTCTTAATATATATTGTTTAAAAGAAGGAAATTTTTTGTGGCTTTTAATTTATTGGGTCTTGTTCTTCTTTAGCCGTTTCATCTCATCAAAGGCATCTTCTTTTCTGTCAAGATCCTGAATCATCGGTTCGTCTCTCTTTATCTCTCTCGATTTCTCAACTTGTTTTTATCAGTTTTGAATAATTCTGGGCTATGTGATAAAAAAGGAAGGGATTTAAGAAAAATCAAACTTATTTTTTTAGAGTCGATGATGATGATGATTATGATTTGTTTCTTTCTTAGCAGGATCTGAAAGGAAAGTAGGGTTTGGTAAATCGGATGAATCTGAATCTGGTGGGAAATTTCTGAAAAAGGTCATTTTTTTTTTCCTCTTCTTCTGGCTCTCATTTTTGGAAAATTACAATTCTTTTATTAGGGTTTCTACTTCTGGGCTATATGAATCGTTCTTTGAACTTTTGTCATCTTTCCATGTTCCCAGAGATTTGCCTTAATTCAATAACTTCAGATATATATTTATATTGGAGCTTTGACTATTGAACATATGAATCAATCAATCAATCTGTCTCTCTTTTGTGTCCCGATTTATCAGGCACAAATTAGTTCATAAAGGTTATATTTTTTTCCTTAGATTCGGTTTAATAGAGAGACTTAACATCATATCTGTTATATGATCCAGCATTGTCCTCTTTACATTTCTCTCCTCTGTAAATCTAGTTGGTATTTGGAGACAAAATGTCAAAGTTATATAGACTGTGTTTGAAAATCTTGTTAGATTGGTAATTGGTTGCTTAAGACAGGTCGAATCTTGATTTGTCTCTGCTAATGTCTTCTTCTTTTTTAATTGCAGGCTTCATACTTGTGTTAGTAACTCTAATTCTACTCAGAGAGTCACCGTCTGTATAGTTAAATACACCATTCATTGAAGAAGAAGATGCTTAGTGGAAACAATGGAAACACTGTACCACCGGTTTTCATGAATGAGAACCAGTTGCAATACCAGACAAACACACAATCCAATCAGCTTCACTTGCTCGGAACCAGTAAGTTTCTGGTTTATCATAATTGTCCTAATCTCAAAGTAAAACATTATTCAACTCGAGAAATTGAGAATCCTGTCTTTTTTTTTGTGTGTGTGCAGTGGGAGGTGGGTGCACTGTTGATCCAGTTAACTATTTTGCTAACGATAATCTCGTTCCAATGATTCGGCCTAACAAAAGAGGAAGGGAAGCCGAAAGCATTAGTAATATACAAAGACAACAGAAGCTTCAGATATCTCTGAACTATAATCAGAACAACATTAGTTTTCCAGAAGAAGTCCCTAAGGAGAACCTAGTCTCCACTGGTCTTAGACTATCTTATGATGACGATGAACGCAACTCTTCGGTGACTTCTGCTAGTGGTAGCATTGTAGCTGCTTCTCCAATCTTTCAGTCACTTGATGATAGTCTTCGGATTGACCTCCATAGACAAAAAGATGAGCTTGACCAGTTCATCAAAATCCAGGTACTGATTAACTCTGCTTTTGCTCTGTTTTGCGCTCTAAGTTTATTCGGATTTGTAATGTATCTGTCTGGTTCAGGCAGCTCAAATGGCGAAAGGAGTGAGGGATATGAAACAGAGACAGATTGCGTCTTTTCTCAGCACAATAGAGGAAGGAGTGAGCAAGAAGCTACGAGACAAAGATCTCGAGATCGATAACATGAACAAGAAGAATAAGGAGCTCGTGGAGCGGATAAAGCAAGTGGCAATGGAAGCTCAGAATTGGCACTACAGAGCAAAGTACAACGAGTCTGTGGTTAATGCCTTGAAGACAAATCTACAACAAGCGATGTCACACAACAACAACAACAACAACAAGGTGATTGCTGCTGCAGATCAAGGCAAAGAAGGGTTTGGAGACAGCGAGATAGATGATGCAGCTTCATTATACATTGATCCAAACAACAATAACAACATGGGGACTCAGAGGATGAGATGCAAAATGTGCAATGCCAAGGAAGTATCGGTGTTACTTGTGCCGTGTAGGCACTTGAGTTTGTGTAAAGAATGTGACGTATTCACTGGCGTTTGTCCTGTATGCAAGTCTTTGAAAACTTCTAGCGTTCAGGTCTTCTTTTCCTGAATCTTGTGACAACAAAAAAATGGCACATAAGAAAAGAAGAATCCATTACATAAGTCTTTCAACTTTTCAAAAGTTGTTCTTGTTGATATTATTTTTAAAATATTTGTATATGTATCCTGCATATGTTTTTGAATTCATGAAGAACCCAGAAAATCATGGGAAATAATCTTAATGAGGAACTTTCACTTTATATAAAGTAAAACAAATTTGCAATTCATAAAATGTGGAAAAGATTAAATAATTTTGCAATTCCATAGATTTATACAAATCACACAATTTGAAAACATGCTTAGTGTATATATATTCAAAGTATTCTTTTTCTGATTCTTTTCTCACCCTCAGCTTCTCTCTTATTTGAAGAAAGTTACATAACAGAGAGAAATGAAAACAAAAGATCTCAACGTTGAGCTATTTTCAGATGGCATTGTTTCAAAAGGCCAAACCCTGATCTCGTCTCAAATCGTAGAAACAGTTGCAAAACCATCCGTTACAAATCCAAGTAGTATATAATATGTTTCTGTAAAACCCCCTAAAAAAAAGAAAGAAAGAAAGAAAGAAAGAAAAGCCTAAATCGAATCTCCTGATCAAACATGTTATATCGAATGCCTCCTCTCAATCACCGGGAGCAGCTCTGTGACTGCGTGACCTATCGAATGCCTCCTCTCGATCACCGGGATCAACTCTGTGACTGGGTAAGATGCAGCTTCACGAATCATGTTTTCCACAAACGCCATGCTAGGCCGTGCAAGTGCCTGTGCGTCTATACACATCCTCGTAGCAAAAAACAGGCTGTGTAAAGCATCCACCGGAAAATTATAACCGAGCGCAGTATCAATTACCAGAGGCAGATACTCCTTTCTTCCCCATATTGGCATCAACTGAACAACATAAGAAGAAAAAAATTAGAAACATTACTTAAGGGACACGAAACATATAAAAAGCGAAACCCTAGATACAAAAAGGTTTGAGTCATACCCAATCAGTGATGTTCATTTTCCCACGAGGTTTCGGTAGATCATAAGCTTCCCTTCCGGTGAAAAGCACAAGCAGAAAAACTCCATAGCTATAGACATCGGACTTGGTCGAAACCAACATGTGCTCCTCTGTTTCCGGTGCGACGTATCCTCGACTTCCCTTGATCAGATTGATCTCGCGCGGCGTCTCATCGCCTTCTTCATTTCTAATGATTTGCATCGCCAATCCAAAATCACTCAGCTTCGGAGCCAAATTCTCATCAAGTAAGATGTTTGCGACTTTGACGTCTCGGTGAATCTCTTTTACCCCCGTGTGTAGATGAACCAGAGCTTCTGCTACACCAACAGCAATTCCCATCCTCGTGCCCCAATCCAAGACCTGAGTTTCCTGCCGTAGACCCGGACTTGGCCTCGCGTTTGCTACCAGAAACAAAAAAAAAAAAACAGAGGAGGAGTGAACAAACTGAGAAATTGATTTACAAGTAAAACAGAGGAGGAGTGAACAAACAGAGAAATTGATTTACAAGTAAAACAGAGTCGATTAGGATATTGTACCAAAGAGGTGGTGGTGAAGAGAGCCGTTGGGCATGAATTCGTAGACTATGGCACTTTTATGTTCGCCGAAACTTTTGCCGATAAGGTTAATCACATTTGGGTGATAAGCTTCACCGAAGACTCTCATCTCTGCCAAGAACTCAATATTACCAGCTCGGTTCGCATGATCGTGAATCTTTGCAGCTCCAACCTAATTAATTTTAAAGTTGCTAAATTTAGCAATTGGGTTTCGTTTTTTAACCATAAAGGACAAGACTTTCGGGTTTATACCTGATTAATTCTTGGGAAGTCGCAGCGAAAGACTTCGCCGAATTTGCCTTTGCCGAGAGAACGTGTTTCCTCGAAGTTTTGGGTTCCGACTACGATTTCGCGCCATGGGAATGTAACTCCAGCACCCACATCCAGTACATCTGTAAATGAATAACTAACAACTAAGAAAGAAAGCTAACGAAGAACAACAATCCTAAATCCATTTCAAAAGATTGAGACTTGTTGCATAACGTGAGTGATTCACTCGCAGGAACGAGACTGTCAAAAACGATCAAAACTACTCGTAATTCAAAACAAAGGCAACTCTAGAAAAACGGATTTGCTTGTGATACAAGAAAGCAGAAACCAAGAAACTCGATTCCAAGAAATCGAAGAAGGGAAAAGAAGAAACGAAAACGGAACATGGAAATTCACGATCGTCAGGGAGTTCGATATTATCTCTATAAGCATTATCCCCTAAGTTCACCTTCGTCCTCATTATTTGCCGGTGGTTCTTCTTCCTCATTATTTGCCGGTGGTTCTTGTTCATTTACTTGACTTGAGCTTCCTCCTCGGAGACAGCAAAAGAAATCTTTCATCGGAGCCATCAACGAAGGTGTAAATCTTTCTTCAGACTTTATTTCCCCCGGGAAAATGTAATTAAGCAGACTCTCTCCGAGAAAAATAGAGCGAGAAAAAGTGGGAGAGAGAGAGAATATGATGTATTCACTGAGAGAGTCGGATGATGAACACTTAAAGATCTCGCCCAAGAAAATATATATATATATATATATATAGTATCATATGTATATACGGGAGCGTAAGCGCTCTATTTTCTCTTGAGAAATAGAAAATTAGATAATACAGAAATTAGTATCATATGAAATATTAAGAACACAGTATCAAGCTATCAAGCCATTTTTGTGTGTTAAAAACCCTAAATTTCCAGTGATATGTACATTGCAAGAATAAACTAAAAAAAACAAATGTGGAGAAAAAGATCCATGCGTTTGCGTTGTAAGAAGAATCAGCTAATCATCAAGTCTTTAACAATGGTCAAAAACTTTTTCAAAGTCACCCAAAGTCTTTGTTCGTTTGTTCATTTTTGTTTGTATCATCCAATTGATGCATTCCTATGCAGAGTAGGACCAAAAAACAACCCACTATAGTGCTCTGCTATAGTGTGTATTTATAAACTAAAATTCCTATAATACGCATACAAGTAACGGAAAGAACATCGCTTAATAACATAATAGCGATTTCTTTCACTATAACCTCGAGTTTTTAAGGTTGCTATTTTGAGGATTACCTGTGACTAGTCTTATTTTCGATGCAGCCGGGACTTCTGGAACATTTCAGGAGATGGATTCCCAGTGCTCAAGAGCGTCAGTAGCACAGTCAAGTTTGTCCGGTTGTGCTGAATTCCTCGACTGAAGAGGAAGAATCAACGACAGGAATCTTTCTGCGGCACGGTGTACACTGATAAACCTGGAGCAGATGGGTTATGTTACCATTGATAGTGATGCAATTGGGGTTTTACGACATTGAACATTAGCAAACATATCTCACTGTTTCAGCGTCACTCCTCTTCCGCTTCATGGAGATTTTTAAGAAGTCGTTGACAACGGGAACCTGGAAATGGGTTCATTTTGTTAGCTTAGAGAGTCAAACTCAAGCTTTTAGCTAATCCAAAAGAGCTCAAATACTTATAAAACTAAGGTACCAGTTTTCCATTTTTAGAACTCACGCTGAAGTTAACGAGCCCAGGTGTTTGAATGAGGTTCCACATAGCTTCCATATAGGCTCGGCAGAGGCTAAAGAAGCAATACGTACGTGTGATGCAAAATAGGACCAGCAGTGTCACAGAGTCTCGAATGTCAAAAACTAGAAAAAGAGATACACCTGCCACAGTTCTCTGTCGGTGCAGGCTCAGATGAAGAGGGAAGAGCAAAGACAACCCCAAATAGTTTGAAATCAGAAAGATAAGTAACTGCTGAAACATGGTCTGTTTCCAGATATCATCAAATCGATCTGCACCAGAGAATCAAGTTGTGTAAAAAATAAAACCTTTAACAGTGAGAGCCTGCCAGAAAAAATCAGTTAAATGCAGCATGTAAGAAGTGAACTTCCTTACTTCGTATCCGATCCGCTCTCTGCAAATCTTTCTTGCAAGAGCTACTTTTAGTTCTTCATCCAGAGTAAAGCCAAACTTTGCACCTCTTAATGGCAACTGTTTAGCCAGGACTGACAAAAGCATAACAACAGAGAGATGAAAACGAAAAACAGAAACACAAATACCGAAGCGAATCGACCGGAGAATAAGCTATCAAACACAAGACATCAGAAAAGATGTCACAATTTGCATTCAGTGATACTCATATCATTGTTACGTTATGCAACTTCTTTCACTGGACAAAGAAGAGAGTAACTATACATACTTTATAGTCCAGTCTCTCCTATAAGCGTCCTCTTCTGGGGTGCAAATTACTATGCAAAACAAGTAGGAAAAAATTAAAGAGAGAGAGTTTGTGTTTATGCATTCGAAGCAAAGTTACATCTCCAAATCACTAAGGGAATGAATAAGGAGCATTACCACTTTTCCAGGAAAACGATTATTTTCGCCGTAATCTTCTTCCTTTCTCAAATGCACAAAATCTATCCACTGGCTATAAAGTTCGCATCTTTCCTGTCTCCAGTTTTTTGGGATTCTCAGGGTTACTGACAAGGACAACAAAAAAAACTAGTCAGTTAACAGCAAGAAAGCTTGTCGGAATCAGACGCAGCAGGAAGCTTCACACTTTCCAAGACCTTTTAATAATATGGATTTCAACTTCTTCTCCCACTTTGGAAGAAAAATATTCCTTGCACGTATCAAGAAATTTGCAAGCAAAAACGAATCAAACATTAACATTCAAATAATCTTTTTCTCCACAAATTAACACTTTTTAAGAGGAATTTCCAAAGGAAAAATCCTCCCAGAGCGCATCAGTCAATGTTCACGCAATCTAGAAAAAGAGAGTACCTTGTCGCGCACCCAATCACTGGCGACGTAAAGCCGGTTATCGAGGTTATTTTCGTGGAGAGCATCGAGAAGCACGTCGAAAATTTGCCGTTCCTTGTCAGTGAGATCGATTCTTTCTCTCAACTCGACGGTCATCATAACCTTCATTGTCGTCGGACCAATAAGTAAGATTCAAAACCTTCTTCATAGTATCGGTTTCGTTTTGGTCAGGCGATAGGTTTGATTTGGTGGCTCGAAGAACGGCGAGCGGCGGAGCTCCGAAAGGTTTGGTCGCGTCGCGTTACACTTTTCTTCCCACCGGTTAATACCGGTTTTTGTAAAACAGATCATTTTCGGTTTATCACTAATACCAAGTCTGGTTTGGGATCTTGGTTAGGCTTTGTAATTTCGATTTTAACCCTTTTAACCAAAACACAAAAAAAGGAACTTTTTATAGGGTTGGGTAAATTTTCCGAATCGAAATTTGGATACATTTATGTTTTGATTCGGTTTAAGCTTTTAGCCGCTGACTGTATCTGTTTTTCAGTAGGCTCAGAACAATTAAGAAAAAAACCCGTGAGTTGAACCACTTTAACCGGAATAACGAAATCAAAACCGAAACTATATATTAAACGAAATTTTGTAAGACCAGAATTGTAGAAAACGTAACCGACATTGTATTCCGGCTTAAGTTCTTGTTCAATCAATGAACATAGTCGAAAGAATATGACATATCATCATTGGCAAGAATCAAGTATGGGGTTGCTTTATACTCGCCAGACATTCGCTGGTGAGCAAGAAGTAAGAACATCACACAAAAATAAAAGTTTCCTAGGAAAGAAGAGCCAAGAGTAGTTTGCAAATAATAATTTTTCATGCATCTGAATTCCGTAAGTGTTCTTTAGTCCTTAGTCTAGACTAATTTGCAAATAGTTCATAGCACAAGTGGTAAGAACTCCTCAACGTTTCCATTGTCCAAATTTGTGAGATTGGATTAGAAGTCTTGCAAGAACCGTTTTGCAATTTTGCTGTTATGTTACATGTTATTTCTAGAGATAGGTACTGTACCTGAGTTTCAAGAAATCTTGTATCCATCTTGCTAATACCGAAAGATCAATCTAAAGAAACTGATTTCGCATATCGAAATCAATTGACAATTAGTTGAGACTCTTATCATTTATAACTTATAATATAATACTCCCTTTCTATTTTTCAGCGTGGGATTCCATAATACGCATTTTTTCAAGATGATGGGTTTTTATCCATTTTATTTTATTTGAATTGTATTTCATTTTCGGTCTATTTGGGCTCTGATATATAAGATTATTAAAACATTCATTAGCTATGTCGGTAAGATAGTGTTTTGGTACAAACGTTTATTTTCCAGGTAATACTCGAAGATCGTCGAGAATCATTGGCTCCTTCTATTAACATAAATAATATACATGTGATCATCACTGACATTTGTATTTAATTTGATATACCGTATAATATATATGCATGTGCACAGATATTCATTTAGCATCCAAATGTTGAACGCTGATTGGATGGTGGTCTAGTGTAATGATAACAAATTGGTTTGGACAAGAGAATGGGAAAAGAGACAAAAAAAAAATCTCTATGAATTTATGAAGCAACATAACAGTAAATACCCATGACCTCTCTATTATTTCACATATATCTAGAGCATATGAATAACTATATGTACACGACGTCATGTTTACATTGCATGCCAAGCTATATTTTTACTTTTGGTTTCTAGTGAACTATACAGGTCATATTAGGATTTTATCGCATGTCAAGCTAGATTTCCCTGGGATCAATTCTAGCTGGTAAGCTTTAGAATATTGGATTAATCACAAATTATTGTTTAGCTTGTTTTTAAAATGTTAAAAGAATTAGATTACTCACCGCATACTTAAATATGTTGGAAAGTGAAAAAGAAATGGAGTATAGTTTTTCTTCAGAAGAAAAGATTAGAAAATGACCATGGAAGGGAAGGACAATTACGTAAATTCTAAGGCCGTTGCATGGAGTTCGGAGTTCACGGGCAAGTCAATAAAAGAATAAATAAAACACAAGAGAAAAAAAGGTTCACGAGCAGATATGCGCTTGGAGACGGCATATATAACTCACCTTTAAATTTCGTAAAGCCAAAAGATAAAACAAAAACAAAAGAAATTAATCCAAAATCAAAGAAACAATAGGCGTCAATAGCCACACCCACATGTAAATAATGTACTCCAACTATATATTCTTACGGTTTAAAAAGAGCTTAGAAGGTTTTCAATATGAACGTGATCTCTCCAATGCAAGAAACTAAAATATATACGATGAATCATTAATATAGAGTATACAACCGTATCAAGTCGTGGATTGACACTGGATAATCTCGCTAGGTTTAAGCGTCTGAGTATAGAGACGATGATTGAGATTAAAAAAATATATATTATAATATTTTCTTATTCAATATCATTTCCGCCTATGAACATATTTTCGTCGATTTCTCCGATTCTTCAGCATACAATATACTATACAACATAATTATTCCCACTTAGTGACTACGTGTATTACCATAATTATACTACACATAATTGTGCTTTTTTGTCAAATCCGTTAATTTAATTAAAAACGTAGAAGACAGGTAAGTTGTGATATAATATACATTTGGCGTATCAGAGAAATGGTACGGTCCACAAAATATAAGTTTCGCTTATTTACAACAAGAAAAGAGATTGGCAGTTGGCACGAGATCATAAAGAGTCGAGCTGTGAAGTCAAAGGGCATACATTTTTGTTATTATTATCCAAAATTTACAAAACTCTCGTGCACCTTACAGATTCGTCCATAAAATTTATCTATATCTAATAGTAATAGATACATAAAATAGTCGCATTGATTCTTGACTTTTTCGATGTATGAGTTGTTTGTTGTATACGTAAAAGTGGAAAATAAAACAAGATTTATAAGCATCCACGTATATAAGATTTCTTGATGATCGATCTCTTTATAGGTTTAATAAATAAAATACGTAATACATACATTAAACTTCCAAACAATTTAGAGTAAAACCAAAAATTTAAATAATTCATATTTTGCGGTATACTGCACGTTATTGAGCGACCATATGGTACTGGAACAGATTAAATTCAATTTTTTGTATAATTCACATACCACCATGACCAGTTTACCATATACTTGACTTTAACTGGTGACACGAAAACGCATTAAAAATTAACTGATTGATCAGTTTAGGATACCGTGTAAATTATTCTTTAAATTGAATTCCAAAATTTATTCTTAAAAGTTGGTAAAAATTAAGTTTAGATAGCCTTGTAATATGATTGTTTTGGTTATAATTTTTTTTTTATAAAAATATATTACAAAAAAAGGTGACAGTAATTTACGCACATACGTCTAAACTCTAAATTCTTAACATTTTATATGAACGACTGGTTAATGTGTAACGAGCTTTTAAACATTATTGTTTTTTACCGCCTGGGTAACTAACAAAGGTAGGCAACATGTTTGGTCCACCTATAAGTCTTGGATTTTATAAATGCAACGTTAGCTTTAGGCTTAGTTTTAATAAATGTTTTGTCTGACACATCTCTTGATTCTTCAGGATCCTTTCCTTAGTTTTAATAAAAGTATTGAAATAAATAAGGGTTATTTTGTACTTATTTGTCGCGTGCAGCAATGGACAGTGGCATCTTCGATAATGTTAATGAAAGAGAGGGTGATTTAGAGGCATCTATTTGGACCTATGTATCTGCTGCGTAAGTAAAACTGAAACTAACTGTAATCTCAGCAAAGAAGCCAGCAGCATTGTCTCTCTGGTTTCTGACTAGCTTCGCATATTATAATTAAAATTAACGAAAACGATTTTAACTTTCAGGCTTTCTTGTGTACCGTGACAGGATAGTAATAACACTATTGCGACTAGTATTATTGACAAATGTTGATTATCGCTAGAACATCATATATTATGATTATTTATTAGGAATCATGTTCACGCAAAATCGCCATTTGAGCAGAAGCAACACAAAGGGGCGTTCCCGTTGCGTCTGAAATGTGAGAATAAACCATAATTAACAATGTTAAAAGATTATAATTCACCAGCAAACTACGTTTAAATTTAAGTTTATAGAAAAAAATATAATGAATATCGGATTATTATTTTACTAACTATATCAAGAACTGAATTAGGACCAACGTTTCATTCATGTGATGATATTCTTGGCACAATGACATTTAAAAAAAATTTTTTTTGAAGAATCAGAAATATTAGATAGCCAACAGCTTTTTGGCTGTCAAGAAGGGGACTGTCGAATCACAAATATGTGTATTCATCTCACATGCTACATTACTATTTGCAGAATAGTAAATCAATATTTAATAAATTATCATATAGAATTATAATTCTGAAAGACTATTACAGAAATACAACATAAAAATAATAGTTGCTTATTCATCTATTTTTTTCTATTAGGACAAAACAACAACATACTTTTTTCCAGCTTGCAACAGTTGAAATGAGCAGCATTCTTTTGTATTTCTTCCTTAATTTTAGTTTTATTTGACAGATATATTGTGTGAAACTATGAGCGCCCAAAACTTTTTCGGAATCCCAAAGATGGTTTATGTCTATCCGTACATCACTGCATAATTGCGTATATTAATTCTGTACTTTTTAAAAAATCTCTACATTTGGTTCATAATATAATTATTTTTATTTGACGTATCGAAGTTCAATGAGTGACAAAGAAATTATTTATTTAAGGGAATAAAAATAAAAGGTAGTGAATAACTAACAATTATTTTTAAGTGAATAACTTAAAGTGCTAACAAAATTCGAGTAAATATATAAAACCAAATTGTTCGTCGTCCCATTTTCTTAGAACGCCAACTCTTGGATTCTTTAATTAATCATCAATATACATTTAATCTTTGTCACTCAATTCCAACAAAATAGATAACAATTACCATGTATAGCTCAATATTGCCTATCGAAGTCTTTAGCTACTTGTTATACTAAATTAATTTTTTTTATCATTCACAAACAATGCCGACAGCTCGTGAAGAAAAACAATGCCGACAGCATTTTGTTTCAAATTTTCATTATATCTAGTGTATATACAGATATGAGAAAAAAAAAAAACAAAGGAAAAGAAAATAGTGAGGACCTAAAGAAACAAGCTTCGGTTACTTTCTGTTTTCTGTTTCTGCCCTTTCCTTTAATAGCAGTCTTTTTTTTTGTTCTTGAATAATAAATGAACTTTAAGCTAGAATGGATTCACATGAAATGTAGATATCTTATTTATAGAAAAGCAATAAAAAGAGGAATAATTAAATAAGTAGTAAATAATAATTGGAGGAGTTGTGAATATAAAAGCAATGTCCGTGAAGTGGTGCATGTGAGTACCAGAAGAGATGTTATAATCAGTGCCCATTGACAACATATAGACCCACTCACGAGTTTCTTTCGTTTTATATATTCTTATCTATACATATATATATATATATATATGTTTTTATATATGGATTTATTAAGAAAACTAATGAGACAAAACAATTTCTCAACAAACTTTTATTTCTGTCCTTTTCTTATTCTTAAATCTAGTTTTGAGATTTTGATTATCCACTTTTTTTTTTGTTGAAGATTTTGATTATCCATTTGGAATCCTAATTGCGAATATGTGATGTTCTAGGTTATATATATATTGGGAGATCGATGAGATCGACCATACTGATAAGGATCCAGAAGATTATGAAAGATCTTAGTTTAGGAAATTTACTTTTATCTCTAAATATATTATTTACATTTATGTTTATTTTAAATTAGGAAAGTTAAGTTTAATTTATCTCTATATAAGAGAATATATCTTGTAATATTATTTTTATGAGAGTCTAATATAATTCTTCCTAAACACTTTTGTGTTCTTATTCTCATCAGTTTATCAACGCAATGAATGATGAATCATTTACATAATGACTAAATAATTATTTCGTAAATTTATATATAAATATCATTAAAAATGTTCATTTGTTTTTTGTTTTTCTACATGCCCTTTCGAATTTCTACACCACACTGAATGGGAAAATTATAGGACACTCTTATCATGTTAATACGACAGATCCTTCCCATGCCTATAGGCCAATGTTACATACACTCATGCTTGTATCGTTCTAATTGTATTTATTTCGAAAAAACAAAAGTAAAAGCTTAAAACTGAATGAATGAATATACATGTGTTTGAATATGTGTTATTATGTGAGGTCTTGGGGCTATCCATGTTCGCAACCAAATTAGATGAGGTCTCAACCAACCTATACTGTCCACGTGGCATACATATTGCCCCTGGCTAATATTTACTCCACAATTCAGGTTTTGGCCGTTTGGAACTTTTACCAACGGTGAAAAATAACAACTACTCCGTTTTTCAAATTCCATTTTATGCCTTTGGAATGTGTCTTTCACTCACAACTTCCAAATACTAATTCACGAGTGATAACTTTATATCACTGTCAATATCATCATTATTTTAAGATAATCCAACAAAACAAAATCGAACATTATGGTCTTATTATCATATACAGGGAACTTAGACTAAATAAGCTTACTTATTTAATTTTTGTAAATAAGATTGTCAATCAACATTCAACAATATGGAAAATAAAGGACATTATTGAGCGAATTTTGTTTTAGATGTTAAAAAAAAAATTCTATTTTGAAACCCGTGAGTCTCTCTACATTCTTGGACTGCTGCTTCCTTATTTAAATCCCTCAGAATCCTTCTCTTTCTTCAACTTAAACCAACCAAAAAAAAAAAAAACAGTGTCTTAGTCTCAACCACCACAAAACACACTTCGTCCACACAGAGAAAAATGACTATGAGAAGAAGTCTAAAGCTGAGAAGCTTCACGATGATGATATTAATGGCGGTCTTGGTCTGGTCTGTAACTCTAGAGACCTGCATTGCAAGAAGAGGGAGACATTGGAGACATAAACACCGAAGCTCCTCTTCATCATCTGACGTGTCTGGTTCCTTGTCAGGCAAGAAACCTAAGAGCCATGGGAACAGTCATCACAGCTCTCACCACAACAACAACAATCATCATCACAAGTCTAAACCGAAACCGAAACCGAAGCTGAAAATGCCGCCAAAATCTCACCACGATAACTCTCCGGTGGTTTCAGGGCCACCAAAAGTCCAACCACCGTCTCTTCCGCCGCAAAAGGGATCTCAAGTTTTCAATGTGATGGATTTTGGCGCAAAGGGTGATGGTAAATGTGATGACACTAAGGTACAAATAAAAATTAAAAGCTCATTTATTTCATTATCCGTAAAGTTCTCAATCCTAGTGGTTGTATTTGATTTAATTAGAACATTTTCTATTTCCTTTTCATGAGATTTTTTTTTTTTTTTTAAAAAAAAGACAAATTACGGTTGAGAGACATTGAGACAGAACACGAGAAAGAATAAGAGAAAAAAAAAACAGAGCTAAGAAAATAGGTTTCTCTGTCTGTAAAGTCACTTGAAAACTTTTTAAATATTTTTTCTGTCACAAATACAAAAATTGCGCCAAGAAAAGACAAACGAATATAAAGTGACAACAGAAATAACAGATTACAAATGGGACCACAATCATTCACATGCCTTAATAACCATAAGTATAATGGTGATTGAGGTTATAACTTTGGTTAATGAAATATTGACCGAGTTTTATAATGCTTGCAGGCGTTTGAAGCGACTTGGGCTGAGGCTTGCAAAATCGAAGCATCGATGATGATCGTACCGTCTGAATACATTTTCCTTGTCGGTCCCATCACATTCTCTGGTCCTTATTGTCAAGCTAACATTGTGTTTCAGGTGAGAGTTGGTCTTTTGAATTAAAAAAAATTGTAACTCTTAATTAGGTGAAAAAAATCTAAACTTTTTGTTGTTTTGTGCGGTTGCAAGCTTGAGGGTACGATTATAGCTCCAACGGATTCAAAATCATGGGGAAAAGGGTTAATGTGGTGGATCGATTTCACAAAGCTGAAAGGGATTAAAGTACAAGGGAAAGGTGTGATTGATGGAAGAGGCTCTGGTTGGTGGCAACAAGATTACCCTTTTATTGATGGTGAAACCAAGCTCATCGTTCCACTCAACAATTCTGTTCACCAAAACCCTCCAATGCCGGTATGTTCATCTTCTTCTTCAGTGTCTCTTTTGCAGCATATTCGTTCCAAGATCAAACCCTTTTTGTTTCACGTTTGACAGATAAGAAGTGAGCTTGATTGGAAAATGCCAAGCATCAAACCAACGGTGAGAGATAAAGAGTTTGGGAATGTGAAATTGTGAGCATTGGTTTGTTTACTGATGATCTGTGCTTCTGGTTAATATAGGCATTGCGATTCTCCGGGAGTACTGGCGTGGAAGTTTCGGGTATAACGATCCAAAACAGTCCACAGTGTCACCTTAAATTCGATAACTGCGTCGACGTTCTGGTACATGACATGTCCGTTTCTTCACCCGGTGACAGTCCAAACACCGATGGGATTCACCTCCAGAACACCAGAGAAGTCCTCATCCACAGCACAACACTCGCTTGCGGTATGAATCTTGATTCTTGATTCTTGAGTTCTTGAATAATCTGAATTTTCGATTAACGGTGTCTCCTCTCGACGTTTGTGTGTGTGTGTGTGTGCAGGAGATGATTGTATCTCGATCCAAACAGGTTGCTCGAATGTATACGTACACAACGTGAACTGTGGACCAGGTCACGGGATAAGCATTGGTAGTCTCGGCAAGGACAGCACAAAAGCTTGCGTCTCGAACATAACAGTGCGAGACGTGACAATGCACAACACGATGACAGGTGTCCGGATAAAGACATGGCAAGGAGGAGTGGGATCAGTGAAAGGGATACTCTTCTCAAACATTCAACTCAACGAAGTCCAGCTTCCAATAGTGATAGACCAATTCTACTGTGACCATAGCAAATGTAAGAACCAGACATCAGCAGTTGCAGTTGAAGGAGTGACTTACGAGAGGATTAAAGGCACTTACACCGTGAAACCTGTGCACCTCGCTTGCAGCGATAACTTCCCTTGTGTAGATGTGCACTTATCTGCAATTGAGCTTAAACCGGTTCAAGAACGGTATCATATGTATGATCCTTTTTGCTGGCAGACATTTGGTGAGCTCAACACTCCTACGCTTCCTCCCATTGATTGTTTACAGATTGGGAAGCCCCCGAGAAACAGAGTTCATGATTCCGATCATGATCAATGTTGATGTATCTTGCAACAACTAAAGAGTGTGAAGAAAAAAAAATGTAGATGAATGTATATCTTTCTTTAGCCTAAAAAAGCCTGCTACTATTACTACTACTTCATACGAGTTACGGTTTAGTTTGATTTGGTTACAAAATGGATGTAAGAAAGTCAAAATCCAACAAACATGTTGATTTCGTGCACATTTTGATGATAGTTATAACAAAAGAACGAGATTCAATTGGCAATAACAAAATCTTTGACTCGGATTCTTGAATGTCCTAGAAGAAAATTGTTCACTGGCAAGAGAAAAATCGAAGATATCAACGGTTGTTACAAGGAATTGGTCTAAGACTTAAAAACATTTTCTGGGCTGGGCTGGGCTGGGCTGGGCCTTTTTATTTATTTAACAGAAAATCATCGGTTGTTAAACTACAAATAAAAGATTGATTGATGGACATGATATGCACTGTGCAAATAAAAGGGGTCTTTATTTAAAGAAAAAAGTTTTCGTTTGGGTGCTTTTTTCGTAATATGCAATAGTAGGAGGGTGTTAGTGAAATTTCACATTCACAAGACCAAGAAAATCACGACGTACGTTTTTCCATCATTTCACAAAAATCGCGTCTTCTGCTAATTTTGAAGCTTCAGATCCCTTGCGATTTTTCGAAAGGTAAGCTGCTAAGCTCTCAGATCGTTCTTGATTCATTCGTTTTTCTGGATCTGCATATTCTAATTTCATGACGATTCCCTTGATGAGCTGCTCCCCAAATATCTGAATTTTGATGTTCCAGAGAAATTGAAAATTTCGTCTTTTAGTTTTCCTTTTTCCTCGTTTTACTTGCATTGGTGATCTGAGGTATAATTTTCGCCATTCCCCGTTGAACGATCGTGTATCTTGGGTATAGATTTTGCTTTGTTTCTCTATCTAATTTGGTGTTAAAAATATCCATAAAGGAATAATTTTTAGGAAGAAAGTAGAAATGTGAGTTTGATAAGATGCAAGGTGATTCAATTTTGTTATGAGTATAAAATCTGTTTTTCATCTTTTGGCATTTCAGGATCAACATTTACAAGGAAAATGGGGCTTTCATTTGCTAAGCTTTTCAGCCGGCTTTTCGCCAAGAAGGAGATGCGAATCCTAATGGTTGGTCTTGATGCTGCTGGTAAGACAACCATTTTGTACAAGCTCAAGCTTGGTGAGATTGTAACCACCATTCCCACCATTGGTAAGTCTTCCAAACAGACGCGTTAGATCGCATTGTATTTGTATTTCTCTCTTCTTGACTTTGATCAGATCAGCTGAATAGCTTAGGCTGTTGGAAAGTTAAAACTTTCCTTTAGACGTCTCTTTGAATTTGTCTTTTTCTATGTCACTTTTAGAGAAGATGTTGTTTATGGTTTTCTGAATCCCAATGTTCTAGCTGACTTAGAATGAAACATTGTTGGAAACTCATTTAACCGGTGGCTGAACCAATGTCTTACAGGGTTTAATGTGGAGACGGTTGAGTACAAAAACATCAGCTTCACTGTCTGGGATGTCGGGGGTCAGGACAAGGTTTGTACTATATTATGGTTCTCACAAAAAATCTCTTTGAAAAGATCAACAAGCAAGAGACAAACACTTATCCACTTATTCTCTCTTACAGATCCGTCCCTTGTGGAGGCACTACTTCCAAAACACTCAAGGTCTGATTTTCGTGGTTGATAGCAATGACAGAGACCGAGTTGTTGAGGCGAGAGATGAACTTCACAGGATGCTGAATGAAGTATGATAAAATTTTGGTGCTACACAAATACGATCATTTTTCGCTTGTTCCAAATGAGTTTGTGCTATTGATGCTTTGTAAATGCAGGATGAGCTTCGGGATGCAGTATTGCTTGTGTTCGCCAACAAACAAGATCTTCCAAACGCAATGAATGCTGCTGAGATAACTGATAAGCTTGGCCTTCACTCTCTCCGACAACGCCACTGGTGAGTTATAAATTTTATCCCAGCCAGGATTCGTTATTTATATTGCATACATGCTTGAAATTACATTGCTTGCTCTCTTTTTCAGGTACATCCAAAGCACATGCGCAACCACTGGTGAAGGGTTGTATGAAGGTCTGGATTGGCTCTCCAACAACATTGCTAACAAAGTAAGAGTTCTGATTTCAATAGTCTTGTTCTGTTCAGGTTGTCAACATTTTGTTACACTGTTGATAAAATGTTATTGATGTTTGTGTGCTGATTTGATTTCGGTTCTCTTTTACTCGATTCGCAGGCTTGAGGTTATCTCGACCAGATATTTTTGTGAGAGAATTGGAAGCTTCTTCTTCGGAGTGAACTTTGTTTCTTGTGTTTTAAGACCTATTATTGGAGTCACATTTGTTTAATTTCTTCAAGGGGTGAAAATGATTTGATTTCTCCTACTTGGTTACTTTTCTCGAATGTTTGGATTCTTTCAGGCTTAAAAAATGTTTTTATTTCTAAATGAGTAGAAATTTCATATCATTTATTTCTTCTGCATTGAATAAACGAAAATGCTGGCGCGAATTAACTATCGTATAGTGACTTTATAGGATTAATTATTCTAAACGCATACACAAAGACGATCTCTAAGACAAAAGAAAGATCAGATATTTTTGGAAAGGAAGAACATATACAAAAGTATATGGATTGCTTGATTGAATGTCTTTTTAGTGAGTTGGATTTTTTTTTTTTTTTTAAGTTAGATGAATAGAAAACTCTTTTAAATATATGACATATAAATTCAACTTATAGTGTATAAATTTGTCTTAATTCTGAATGCATGGAGGTTTATATTTAATGTTTGTGAGTTTTATTTTCAGAAATTTCAAGGAAAGAGCTTAAAATAATCATTTAGATCTGTTGTATATAAAAAAAAAATCATTTCGATAGAATAATTACGCGGCATTCCGACAATGAAGCTGCATGGTGGATCTTCCAGATATTGGTACTCTTATTTTCCTACAATTATTTACTGTAAAAGAAACCATAAAGTGAATTTTTAGCCAATTTTCTGAGTAATTGTTAGAATTCAATTGTTGAGATTTGGGAGACTCTCTATTTTTACACAAAAAAACGCGAAATGAGAAAAAATCATCAACCAACAAAATCCGAATCGACTTTGATCAAAAACTGTCCTCTTCCCATCTTCCTTGAGTATCAAGAAACCCTATAGCCCTGGATTTCTTTCCTCTCTCTTTCGTTAATTACGTACGACGCATCTTGGTAGTCCCATAAACACATGATCTACATTGTTTGATATTTAGATCGTGGGATCTGTGCGGAACATTAAAACTCATTTTGGTCGGATCCCAAAGTACTTAGATCATTTCTTGTATCACAAGGCACCCCTGTAAGAGCAAATTCAAATATGTAAAAAAAAAAAAAAAAAAAAAGAGAGAAGCTGGAAAAGGTGAATACAATAATGGACAAAGTCCAGGAACAAGCAGATTTGATCGGAAAGAAGATATCTCCGTTTGTAGCTTCACAGCCAACAAACGTCGGAGGATTAACTGATCAGAAAAGCACCGGCGGTTCCGAGACGACGCAACCTCCAGCTACCTCACCTCCTTCTCCTCCATCTCCGGCCAGTGGCGGCTCACAATCATCTCCGCCGCCGGTAACGGTTTCTCCTCCACCGCCGAATCAATCAACTGTTACAACTCCACCTCCAACACCTCCTTCTTCGCCTCCACCTTCTATAACTCCACCTCCGTCACCTCCTCAGCCTCAACCTCCGCCTCAACCCACCCCAGCCGCCGGAGATTCTCCGGTGGTGATTCCTTCTCCAAAGCCTCAACTTCCTCTTCCTTCTCTTCCTCCTCCGACCTTAGTTACTCAGCAACCAGAGACAAGACCTAATGAAAACGGCCTCCAACAACCAAACAACCCTGTTTCTCCTCCGTCTCCACCTTCTACTCCTTTCTCTCCGCCGTCCACGAAAGATTCCGGTAGCAAAGGGTCTCCTCCATTGTCATCTCCATCGCTTCCGGTTATTCCACTAAGCCCTAATTCCCCAAGAAACCCTTCACAGCCGTTGGATTCACCTCCTGCAGGAGGATCAAATCGTGTTCCATCGTCTTCTTCGACCTTCCCGTCTCCTCCTTCCATCTCTGGCTCCGATAACAATTCCGGAGGTTCTAACAGAAATAATGCGAATAGTAACGGAAATGGTGGTAATGGACAGCAAAACAATGAATCTAACTACACCGAGAAGACAATGATCGGTGTTGGGATCGCAGGTATCTTGGTCGTTATTTTCATTGCTGCCGTTTTCTTCGTTAGGAGGAAACAAAAGAAATCTGCTTCCCCTCGCTCTAACCAGAAGTATTTGCCATCGGCTAATGTCTCTGTTAATACAGGTAAAAAGCAAATAAAAAAATATTTACTTTCGGTGTGATCTTAAATGGTTCTTGAAATCATGTCTTTTTCTTGATCCTTAATTCCATGTTATTGACAACTGATTTCTTGTTCTTGTTTTTAATGTGATTCTTGAATGTTGGTTCTTGAAGAGGAGTCCCAGTTTTCATTTAGACTCATAAACCTTGTTCTTGATTCTAGATTCTGTGTGTTTAGTTCTTGTTCTAACCTTGTTCTTGATTCTGTGTTCTAACTCTTGTTCTTGTGTTCTTGATTATTGGTTCTTGGTCCTTGTTTTATTTATTTATTTGATAAGCCTAACCTTGATCTTGGCGCAGAGGGATTCATTCAGTACAGGCAAAAACCAGGAAACGGGAACAGCTCGACGACGCAGAACTCATCACCGGATACTAATAAAAGTTTCGGGAATCCGAAACCAGGTAGAGGAACTCCTGACTCCGCAGTAATAGGGACTTCGAAGATCCTTTTCACCTACGAGGAGCTAAGCCAGATAACAGAAGGATTTTGCAAGAAGTTTGTCATAGGAGAAGGCGGGTTCGGGTGCGTCTACAAGGGCATCCTTTGCGAGGGAAAGCCAATTGCTATCAAACAGCTAAAGTCGATCAGCGCAGAAGGATATAGAGAGTTTAAAGCTGAAGTAGAGATCATAAGTAGAGTGCATCATAGGCACTTGGTGTCTCTTGTTGGTTATTGCATATCTGAGCAACATAGATTCCTCATCTATGAGTTTGTCCCAAACAATACTTTGGATTACCACTTGCATGGTAATTGTTTTACAACCACTCCTTTTCTTTTAATCTATTCAGACTCGTTGGTCATGAGAATTGCATTGTTACTGAACTCGGATGCGGGTTGCTTAGTTATTACAATATCGAACCGGAATGAGTTTGTGGTCAAGATAATTTGTTATGTTGTTGTCAGGCAAAGACTTACCGGTTTTGGATTGGACTAGAAGAGTCAAGATTGCAATAGGCGCAGCCAAAGGACTTGCTTATCTACATGAAGATTGTGAGTTGTATTCTCCACTTACATTTTTTATTTATTTTTCTTAAAACTGTGAGTTATGGTAGAAAACTAAATAATTAACGAAGATTTAGATTCAAATGCCTAAGATAGGAGCTGATTTAGCTTTTTATCAATTTCACAGGTCACCCGAAGATTATCCATAGGGACATCAAATCGTCAAATATTCTGTTGGATGATGAATTCGAAGCTCAGGCAAAGTCAATATTTCATTTTTTTTTTTTTTTTGATAACTACATTATTTGTAGTCCCTAGAAATCATTATGATTTTCTTCACCGAGCATTTGATTAGTTCCGTACAGGTTGCAGATTTCGGACTCGCCAGACTCAACGATACTGCCCAGTCCCACATATCGACACGTGTCATGGGCACATTTGGGTACTGTTGTTTATTCCTCCTTTTTTTCATGAAAGCAAAAATAACCAACTAAAGAAAACAAGTTTTCACACTGGAAATTTTGTAGTTTAGTGACTTCCATCTAAAAAAAGTACATTGACATAATGACATATAAAAGTAAAGGATTTTGATCCCCGTTTTCCTTTTGGTGCGATAAAAATATACATACTCTGAATTGTCCAAGAAACAATTTATGATTTTCACATGTTTGTTTTCATTGGATATCTCCAAATGAACACATTCGCGTACAATGTATATCACCATAAAACATTTGAATATGAAATAAAAAATGAGCCAGCATTCCTCATTTTTTCACATACCATTCATTCATTCTTATCATGAGATTTACAATAAAATTATTTTAGTAGCTAAAAACTTGTGATGTCATCATCCATATATTGCAAATTGCTAAGATCTATTTGTGTGAATAGAAAAATCGTTATTATTGTATAAGTTAGTGATATCACATGAGATGATGTATTTGCAGGTATTTAGCGCCAGAATATGCATCAAGCGGAAAATTAACGGATAGATCAGATGTGTTTTCATTTGGAGTTGTGCTTCTCGAACTCATCACCGGTCGCAAACCTGTTGACACCTCTCAACCTCTGGGTGAAGAAAGTCTCGTTGAATGGGTACTTTTCATTCTTTTTCTTTTTTGGTTTTTTTGCGGGGGTTTTAAAAAAAAAAAGTAAATATGAGAAAATGGGCTGGGCAGGCACGTCCGCGGCTAATCGAAGCCATTGAGAAGGGTGACATCAGCGAAGTAGTGGATCCACGGCTGGAAAAACATTACGTTGAAGGCGAAGTCTATAGGATGATCGAAACGGCGGCGTCTTGTGTTCGGCATTCAGCTCTAAAACGACCTCGTATGGTTCAGGTCAGCATTATAAAAAAAACTTTATTAGTTGCTTACTCGACATTACTAAGAGACAACCTCTGACCGATCCAGAGGGTCTATGACTTACAAATATACAACAGGTCGTAAGAGCTCTGGACACGAGAGACGATTTGTCGGATCTGACCAATGGAGTGAAAGTGGGTCAAAGTACGGTCTATAACTCTGGTCAATACAGTAATGAGATTCGTATTTTCAGAAGAGCCTCTGAAGATTCCTCGGATCTCGGTACTAATAATGGCTACTACACAAGCCAAGACTTCACAAGCCATGAATCTGAGAGAGCCTTCAACACTACTCACCGGTCAAATCACTGAATCGATTCACCGGATTGATTAATCATCGGAAGTTGTGTTTTTCTTTTTTTTTTCTGGGTTCATTTTGGAACCTGTAGAATTTTTGTGAAGGTCTTAACGAACTCAAAATTCAATACCCCCCGAAGAATGTATAGTTTCAAACATGTAAAATTTGTCACCAAAAGCTTGTGAGTTTCAAATCCTAACAGTAACTTGTGTCTGAAGCAAACAAAACATTTGACTTTTGTTTTTGTTGTTGGTTATGTACTACTCTGTTTTACGGACTCTGCATTTGGATTGTTTGAAGCTATCATCCTCTTGAGCAGCAAATCTCTTAGATTTCCAGCTGAAATTCCGTCTTTGTTCGCCTAAAATCCAAACTTTTATCAGGTGTTAAGAATCTATGATTAAGTACAGGCCATGAGATGTGATTAAAGTTATACCTTGACATTGAGTACGGTCATGACCGTGAGATCGAGCCTGGTGAAATTAACGTCGATGATCTCAAGTCCACAAGAATCTACAGCTTCTATCAGCCTCTTGAATCCATCTCGTTTATGCTCCTGCGCAACCCGAATCAAGAAGTCTCGCTCACCAATCTCGTGGACTTCAAAATTCACCTGAAGGAAGCCAGAAAACAAAGGAGTTATGTGGGGGTTTTTTTTTACAGGTCAGATATAGGGATATGATCTTGAGAGGCTCTATATTCGATAGTCGATACCTCGTCGTTCACTTTCTTGTTGACCTTAGAGGAAACTTTTTCAGCTTCTGGATTAGCTATTGCAGATTCTTCCTCTGCAGCGATTTCTCTGCATTCTATCTCGTTGATTCCACTCAGCTCATCTTCAAGTTTCTGCTTCTCCACTAGCAGTTCATTGATGTAATCAACCGCATCACTGAAAATTCCAATTTTGTTCATCTGCATCGCACAAATAAAATGGAATCAAAAGGGCTATCGATCACAAGAAGAGTGATCAAGAAACCAAAAATGAGTTTTAAAAGAACCTTTGTAATTCTAGGGACTACAGCTCTTAAAGCATACATCCTCTGATTAATTCTGTCTCTTCTCTTTCTCTCTGAATGAAGATTCTTTGATTTGAAGTTTTCCTTTGGAGGCTTCTTATTATCTTTGAGGTCGATAGTGTCTTGCATCACGACATCTTCTTCCTTGTTCACTACCAAGCAAGGCAGATGTTCCCCACAACGAGCATTCTGATTTCCGAAAAGAGTCTGATTTTCACTTAAGGGATTGGAAACGCTTGATGAGCCGCCTCCCTCAAAGCTGAGATTCACACCGCTACTCATAGACTCTTCTGCTTTAGAAATGATCCTAAATTGCAGTTTTTGTTCAGGGAATGGTTCAAAGCAAGCGTTACAACGCCGTATGATCATATCGACCATGCTTTCATCAACAGGTTTCTGAAACGACCAAAATAGAGAGGACACATTAATTTTACGAAGCTACCACAAAACACTGTCACTGACTTTTATGCTACTAAATGGTAACATATTCTTTTACCATTGTGAAGGAGAAAAGCTCAACTAGACCATCACGCACAGGGATAAGAACCCGTGTGCTGAATATGTCCTGCGGAAAATCATCGAGATCAGATTGTTCTTATGATCAAACCCGAATTTTGCAGTTATGATTTAAATTAGTGAAAAAAAAGGGTGAAGCAAAGAGTTTTGTAGTTTTTACCTTTTTAGATCCTGGACCTGAATTAACCAACCATTTGGGAGATTTTGACATCACTACTTCTCCATGAATCCTGTGATTGAAAGGAAGCTTCATCTCATTTTTTTTTATAAAAAAAAAAAGTGAACTTTCAGTATCTCAAGGTTAATTGAATTGTTGAATAAACAGACCCGGGGTAGAGAGGCATGAAAAGAGGAAAATGAGTTAGAGCTTCACAAGCTAGGCTTCTAATATAATGCTTGTTGTGTTCATCTCTGCATATAGAACCCGTTTGTTTTCTCTCAATTCCTTCTTCCACCTTTTCATGCTTGATGTTCTTATCAATATGACTACCACTGCAACAGCATCCCACCCATTCAATAAACCTGCGGATTATATGGAATTAACGGCTGATTTAGGAACTAGAGAGGCCAAAAACCAAGAACAGAAAGAAAAAATGTAAAGTCGGAACCTTTGGTAGATGTCAACAGATAGATGGCACGAATAAACACCCAGAAACTTCTTTATCAAAAAAAAAAAAAAAAAAAAACACCCAGAAACCAGAAAATTTGACGGTTTTGTCAAATTTGTGTCACTAAGAACACAAAAGATTCGGAAAGCCGACACATTTGGATAAAGACCAGAGGCAGAAACTATTAGGGACTACTCTCAAACTGTAAACTTTAGAGACAAAATGATTCAGGAACCCAAGAGAAAATGAAATCAAACAACAGAGCCAAAACCAAATAAAATCTCAAAGTAAATGTTGAGTGAGTGAGTACCTAGAAGGATCATCGCCGAGTTTCCAGATAACGCAAAGGTCCCAATCCCTGGAATCGACAAAGGGTCGAAGAAACTCCTTCACTCTCTCCCCACTTTTCATCATTTCTCTCGCTCTCTCACTCTTCTGCAAAAACAAGGAAAGCCAAACAAAAAGCCTGAACTTTTGTGATCTCTTTTGTTCTTACTTATATATTTAGTGTCAGGAGAGAGAGGGAGAGATGTTTGGCATATATACACAGCAGTTACTCTGTCAAAACAAATCATAACGCAAATATACGATCGTACAAGACAATATTAACCAACTTCGCTTTTTGAATTTAAACCCAGAGAGAGAAGGAAGAGTGAATCGTCTGCGAGTTTGTACCCAAATCCGTGACAGGGATGACTGACATCTGTAGAACTCTTAGAGAGAGAAGGTTGTACTCTGACTGTACGAAGAAACTTATCATGTGCTCGAAAACGGCCATAAAGGGTTTTTGAAGCAAACAAAAGCAAAAAAAGGACTCTATGGTTTTGATAGCTACCCTTAACAACAAAAAATGATCAAGCTTTTTGATAAGATCACCCTCTGTACTATTTATGAGAAGAAACGAGCTTGAGAGCTTTAATACTTTCAAAAAAAGATTGGATCTTTGATTCTGTTTTTGGTTTTGTACTTTTGTTTCATGTGAACAAGGTATTTACAAGAAAAAAAAAACAGATTTGAAGGAAAATTTTAAAAACTTATTTTCAGGGTAAATTTCGGTATTTAATTAATGAATCAAATCAAGTAAGAACAATAAAAAAATGAAGAATGAAACCGGAATGGATAAAAGTCGTGAAAAATGAACACATTGTTTTCGAAAATGTTGAAGCCGAAGTTTCAAAAATAGTCGTTTTCAGAAGCTCAACTTTTTTTCATCAGTCAGCAATCACTAGCTTGGCAGAAAATAAATGCGAAATTGTGGTACATTATTTACATAGTTACAGTATATGGACAAAGAGAAGCAACGATATTCATTTATACTATTAATTTTTTAATACTATTTAGTTATATAGGTTTTATACACAAGTATATACGCCAGACAATCTCAATGTTTACGTGTATGGAACCAAATGATTCACTTACATTAAATAATTAACATTGCTGTAGCTTAATAGAAGGTGATCTTTGCTTATACCCCGAATCGGACAGCCTTCTCAGACTATGTATACAGTTCCGGTTAGGTTTATGGTTATGATCTGTTACTATTGACATCCTTTGCCCACAGTGGATAAAGCTTGAACCTTTTTTTACTGACAAGGCCATGGAAGGGTCTTTACCTTAGCGCAGATCAAAAATCTCGAACCTAAGGTTCGAGTTCTTGTAAACGTTTGAGCAATGTTCATAAACCGGGTTCCCATCTTCTGGTTCTTCGTGCAGGTGGAACCCAGTCTCCGAGCAGCCTCTCAATACCTCCATTCCTCCCGGGTCCGTTAGCTTAAATATCCCGTAACTCCTACCAAAATAATCAGTTTTAGAGTTCATCAGGAAATAGGTTGACTACTAATTGACTCCACGGTAACACGTGAAGATAGCTTTTGGAAACACATACCTAGAGCTATCGGTTGGAGCCACTACGACTGCAAAAGCCTCTGGCACCATTACCTAAAACGGACAAGATGGAAAACCGAGAACGAAATTGTGTCAAATCTTGTATATATGCAATACAGGGAGAAAAAAGGCATAAAAATTCTTGGATTTGTCTGCCAGATGTTCGAATATAGCACAGATGTGTCATGTGGTGAGTTAGAAAAGTTAAGGAAATTTATTATTCAGAAACTCAAATACCTGATAAGAGTAATGTGTATGCAGATCTACTGATGACATGAAACAACCTTGAGAAGGATGAGTCTGTAAAACACGCATAAACTCGTTCTAGTAAGCCAAGACAAAGCAGATCAAAAGATTAGTAACCATCTCAAAGCATGGAGGGAGAGGAGATATGTACATGAATCCATCCTACAGGATGAAGTTCTCTTTCGTTTTGTATGGAAAACACGTCCACTTCATTCATAGCTTGACACTGCCATTTTTTAGCACTGACTTAGTACCCATTCTTACATTGAACACCACGAAATGATCGAGAAAGTCTTTATAAGATACTCACTGAATTAGCAGTTGATTCTTGCTTAGGTATGATCAGAGTGGTTACATAAAAAATTCCTCTTTCCTAAAGCATGAACAGAAATAGCAAATTAATTAGCATATCAGGTCCTTAAACTCCCCAAAAAAGTAAGAATCTTGAGACAGGAAACCAGTTAAATGAACTTAGAACAATAAAGTCGGTGACTTCCAAGAATTTGTTTCAAGATACTCTTTTTCAGCGAAAATATAACTTCTATTTTTGATATCTCGAATGTGAAGAAAGCAAAATAATCTTACAAGAAAGGCAGCGAGAGTTCCACAAGTCTCGAGGTCCTTCTCAGTGTTTTCTCTCGCAAGCTCAGTGAAATCCTCCATCAACCTTTCTGACTTAGAAGAACAAACACAACAACAGTCACTCAGCTCGAAATCCGAAATCAATCCGAAAAACTACATCAAAAACCGATTTTGAAGAAAGGAGAAAAATACTTACGATATGAACATCTCTCAGTATCTTGGGCTCCGACGATTCGCCGAGATTGTTATCAGGACCAGAGATTAGGACACGAGAAACGTGAGACGATTTACATGTCCCGCTCTCTACACAAGAGATTGAGGGAGATGGAGATGAGAGCGTGACCATGATGGAAGCAGAAGCATCGGCTCTAATGGATGAGCTCGATGAGTGGAAGACGAATCCACCGAAGAACAGAAAATTTACTAACCAGTAAACCGGTTCCTGATAGACCGGTATATCGGGTTTTAATATTAGGGTGTAATTTGTATTGGTCAAAGTTTTGAGGCCAATCTTAAATATGTACAAACATATAAGGCGCTGGTTTTTTATAAAGACTTTCGAAGGACGTGACACGTGTTCAGATCACGGATCGACGGTGAATATTAATACCTGAGTTTTAGACATATAGACCGCCGCGTCTTTGTGTATATCGCCTCAACAGATCTAATCGCTAAGTCGTCTCTCTTCTCCGAAACGAAAACGTAAGTGAGCTCAAGAACCCTAAGCTTCTTGTTCTCAATTCGATCTTCCTTTGTCTTCAATTTTATCTGCTCGATCGGAGATTCCATGATTTTGTTTGATCAAAATATTACATTTTTGTGTGATTAGCTTCGGTCATCGATTTTTCTCATCTGTATATCGACTTGTGTCGATATTGCTGTTTTAATAGCTGTGTTTGGGTTTGACGAATGAAATTTTTTTGATCTCGTGCTTTTGGCTAATGTCGGAGATTGAATTTGATGGTTTGATCATCAGATTTGAAATTGTTGTTGTTGCTTGTGAATTGAATTGCTCTTAGTGCCTGATCTGAGCAAGTGTGTTCTTAATGGCTAATCTCTAGGGTTGCTCTAAAAATGACTGAGGCAACGTCTGCTTTGAGGAAGCCTGTGTTCACCAAGGTTAATGAGCTGAGACCAGGAACCAACGGTCACTCACTGAACGTGAAAGTTGTGAGCACGAAGATGGTGATGCAGAGAGGAGGTCGTCCAAGCGGTCCTCAGGCTCGTCAGATGCGGATCGCAGAATGTCTAGTTGGAGACGAGACTGGAATCATTATCTTTACTGCTAGAAACGATCAAGGTGAGAACTTGTGCTTCTGTGTCTTTACATTTACATATAAGAAAACTCCTTATGTTCTCAGTTAGCATCTTCAATGGCACTTGTCAAATTTGATAGTGTACTGCTAGACTTAAAGCCTATTTCTTGTTGCAAGTATAGAGAGGGAAAACACAGATTGTAGGTTTTGTGGAAATTCGTTAGATCTTGGCAGGTTTTTGGGTATTGATCAGGTGATTTAGAGATTTCTGATTGATGTTTATAACTCATTTTTGATCAGTGGATTTGATGAAAGAGGGAAAGATAGTGACCCTGCGTAATGCGAAGATTGATATGTACAAGGGGTCTATGAGGCTCGCTGTTGATAGATGGGGCCGCGTTGAAGTCGCTGAGGAGCCCACAGACATCACCGTGAAGGAAGATAACAATCTCTCGCTTATCGAGTATGAGCTTGTAAGTGTTGAAGCTTGATTTGCTTCTCCCACCCAAAAGAAAGCAGAGTGACTCAAAAGACCCATTCACTAGTTGGAGAAGCTGTAGCATCTATCTGCTTTGAGTTTTGCTTATCAGAATTTGCAGGTGGGTTTGTTGCTGGTTTGAGTCTTATGTATTATCAGGCTTACCTCTGATTTACCGTTCTCGTTTTGAAAATCAGTTTTTTTTTTTTTTTTTGTAGATTGATTTTCTCTTTAAATATCATTGGATCATTCTCTTGTTTTAGTTTTCGTTTTTTCTCGTTATTGTTCTTCGTTATACATCGAAGAATTATTTCATTGTGTTTCTGTTATTCTATCAATTAAGTTGTAACGTCAGAGGTGCATAGAAACAATCAACCCTTCAATTTGCACAAGACCAGGCTAGTCAGCTCAAGCATGTGATTAGACCAATAGTCGGCTCAAATAGATGATCCATCATATTCGTTGGATATGTTGGGAGTATATATCAACAATTAGATTTGACTAAGGACATTTACAATTGGTTCAAGATATACATAATTTTCTTAAGTTGATGTATATCATGAAATTCTTTAATTTATCCAAGAGTCAGGTAAGAAGAATACAAAAGCAAGGATTAGATTGAGAAGACTTTGCGCAACAGTCCATTCTACATCACCTAAAGTGATTGGTCTCAATGAAAACAAAGCTAAGAAAAAGAAACCTTGACAGGATTTATTCTTGATATATTTAACGATTAGAGATAAGTATACGTACGTAGGGGATGAACTAAAAGTTAGGTATGGTTCTGTTATGGTGAGATTTAATTAAACCTCACTCTTTTGAACGATCATGTCTCTCCTAAGCTTTTGTCGCTCCTTTGAGCGATCTTGTCTCCTCTAAAAGCTATCATAGCTCCTGTGAGCGATACTAGCTTCCATGAGCTACCTTCCCATCATAATATACGTGTGTAATAGATACTAATCAAGATATTAATTAGTTTTATTGCCAAGATCTCTCATATTTTCATATATTTAGCTTACAGCTTTTATTTCATACATCAAAACATAATTGTCATGAATATTTTTCCATACATATAGAGATGTTATATATGTAAGTGATGACGATGATCATCAAAAAATAAATATGTAAATCAAGGGCACTTGGGACCGCCTTTGGAGTTTTTCAAATCGCGGTAGCAAGGACATTCATCCTTGTTTCCAAAAGTGCCAGACGGAACACAACCATTACACTTCTCGCAACATATATTGCAATACTTGAGGCACTCTTCATGTTGTGAAGCTTTTGAGCATCTCACATCGCACTTTCCACCACATGCTGCGATTTCATTCATCATCTCACATTAAATGTTGTATAATATAATTTTGGACAAACCAGAGATCCAAATGATAAATTGTACCTAAAACTAAAACAGTTAATCAAACTATACACTTACACGAATCAGCGGTTGAAAGTTCGCAAAATGAAGATGTGAGGAGAATAAAGATTATGGATAATTGTACAACCACTAGCTTCATCTTCTGTTTTGGCTAAACTTTGAACTTTGAAGTTTGTTACCTATGAAGGATGAGGAAAAAAACAAAAGAAGTGGTGATGACTTGGGGGAAGATGAAACTGTGGGTACAGTGAGAGGATTACTTATATTGAGAAAATTTGGAGTGAAATGTTTGTTATCTGTTTCTCTACTATTAAATTAAAAATCTACAAATAATGATTATTATTTTCAGAATTCTACAGAATCTAACCATATTCATATACTTAATTTTATCAATTGTAAATTTGTTTCTTATTCTTATAGCACATATTTCTCTAACCCATAATTATAACAATATCTTCTAATTATTAAAAAAGTCTATAGATTTTTATAATTATTGGTTTCTTTTTTCAAAAGCTTACATATTTTAAATTAACAAGATATTGAACCAATGGCATATTAATTTATATATTTATAATATAGCTTATAAGTTATAACAAATAATGAAAGGGAGATTATGTAAAATAGTATCCAGTCAGCTTTTGTCACATAAGTTTTATTTTAAATTATTAAATAAATTTGATTTTTTTATATCAATTACTATCTGATAAAAGTTAATTCTTCTATATATCCTAATCTTATGATTTTTTTTTCTATAAACTAATATCTGATAAAAAAAAAGTACTTGCTTTATGATTTTTTTTCTTCAATCGTTTTGTTATAAATTTAAAAAGTAAAAAATCTTTATATGTTGAGTCGCTAAATTTGTAGATATACTATAGATAAGTCACGAAAAAGAATGTTAATTTTTACTAATAATATAGATAATCTTACTATTTATTTCCTGATATTAACTGCGGACGATATAAACTTGTCCAGGCGTACAAGTCAGATTTTCATGATGCCATGATGAAGAACCCAAATTCTTAATCATGACACATATATAGCTTGTTTAGTCGTAGTGGAAGAAGTCAAATATTTGAGGAAATAAAAAATCTTGTGGAAAATGCACCAAGAATCAAATTAAGGGTCACTTTAGCAGTGTCTACGACTACGGGTAGACGATATATATACAGTCGTTTTTCCTGAAGTAAGGTACGATTCTTCTTTGATTTTTCATTTTTTTTTTTAGTTTTGGAAACAGCCTGTTCGGCGGCAAAATGATGACTAAAATCCAGGGATGTGAAAGTGGCTTGAATTATGAAAGTTGATGACGTTGAATTTTTTTTCTTCGACGAGTTGATGACGTTGTATCGTGTATTGTAATTTGGATAATAAATATGTGCGCATTTCTATTAGTGTTATTCATTTATGGGTTTCTTAGGAATAGTTTAGTATTTTTTTTGAGAAAGAAAAAAAAGTTAAAACATTAAAAGCAAAAAAATATCTAACCAATCACAGCCTTCCACCTGGCGTAAAAGACAGTCTCTTTATCTCTTATATAAGGAGCGATCCATTAAAAGTTTGGAGAAATACCTAGGTTTTTTGTCAAAATCTGAATAAAAAACTCTAATGGAAATGCTCTAATTAGTTGAAGAAGGCTGTTTGTAATGCTCGGTCCCTTTTCAATCGGTAATAGAAAATAATTTTTCTTTATTTTTCTCGATTTGGACATTGCACACTTTCCTAAGGCATTCAATTTTCTGCTAACATATGCATTGGTTTATATCTTCTTTTACTAAGTTACGTTTGTATAAATGGTTTTTTAATTGATTTCGAGCAATTCAGTGGACCTAAACCTAGAGTTAAATAGTCCCCAAAAAAGAGAGTTTACTAACATGTAAAATTGAACCTATGAACACTGGATCTTAGCTAGTGCCAGGTAACAGTTACATGATCTTTTATCGTAATATTAGTATCTCTAAATTTACTTGTTAAGAAAAAATAACCATTATTGTACCAATTTACAAGAGTTGGATAATAGTGAACGTTTAGATCGTTCATGCAAACGTTTAAATCATCAAAGTTAAAGAGCATCTCCGGTGAATGATGTCGGCTACGGCCAAAAAGTGTTCGTGTGCTTGATATCTGTAAGGAATGGGTGTTGTCCTTTTTTTTTGTAGACTTGTTGAATATTGTTAGCTTGTTGAATATTATACTTCGTGATAATAAATATGTGCACCTAATAAATTGAACATGGAATTGGTCCCCTTTTTAAAGCGGCAATACAAAACAGTACTTCTTTTATATAACTTGTCGATCGAAAACATATATATATGGAGTAGTACTCTTTTCAGGAATTCATTTCTTTTTGTCTATCATATTATCTGACTATCTCAAGCCATTGAAATGGTCTTGATCAGAATTTCCTACAATCTTTATAGTTAATATACTTAAATGTAGTCCGATTGAAAAATAGTGTGTATATAATTATATTCTCAGGGCTAGAACCTAGAAATGAGTCCAACCATACCAACTAATCCTTTTTGTAATCTTTTGCTTCATCAAGATTTATAGTATCTCTAAGAGTGATTGAAACATAAGAAGTAAATAGAAAAAATTACTTGGTAAGAAAGAATAAACACGTGATTATCTATGAAGTAGTGTGTAAGCTCACGGACGCACACATGACTTTCTTTGAAAAACATCACTTTCCTTTAAATTACGCAGCTCTTTCTCTAAAAATTGAGATTTGTGACTCCCTAGCTGATCTCTACCTCTCTGCCTCTTTATATTTAGAGCGATGAGATGGATTTGAAAAAGATAGAAACATATATAGTAACATCAAAGCTTAAAAGAGAACAAAAATAATGGAGAGGGAGATATCAGGTGAAGGAAGCTCATTATCGTTGAGGAAACAACGTAACCTCAGAGAGAAAGACCGACGAATGCACATGAAACATCTCTTCTATTTACTCTCTTCTCATGTTTCTCCCACTCATAGGGTCCGTTTCTCTCTCTCTTTCGTCTATCTCTCCCCTTTCCTAGTTCTCTTTCTCTCTTTATATATAGTATATTTTACATTGATTTAATGTGTATATACAATAAACGTAACTACACAAGTAACACAACTTTTTGTTAGATGTACGCATTATTCAAAAAAAAAAAAACGCGCTTAGGCGACCAAAACCATTTGAGCATTTCCATTTAGTCAAACCAGTCCAAAAACTGATATCAACGTAAAATCAATGATTCTTTTTGTTTCATTTAATAAAAATATATAATTTTATTCATACAAATTACTAAATATGAAAAAAAATATAATGAATATCAAATTTTTATATTTTACATTAATTAAATGAAAATAAAAATAACGATTATCTTGAATAGTCTCGTACCAAACATCTAGCGTCTATCAAATTTCTGAACATTGAAAATGCGTGATTCAATAGTCAATGCTAGTACACTCTGGTCAGTGCAGTATTTTATTTAGCTTGGGTGTTCAGTGTATATGTATGTGTAAAAATAATGTAGGCTTTATACCAAAAAGTGATTCTTTTTTTTATACCAAAAAGTGATTCATATCGGCTTTTTACGTTTTAGTTATATATTGATCATAACCACATCCATGCAAGAAACATAAAAGTAACTAACTTGGATTTCTCTTTATGTTGGCTCTATAACAGTTACCCGTGCCTCAACTTATAGATCAAGCGACATCATATATGATCCAATTGAAAGAGAAGATCAAGTATTTAAAGGAGAAGAAAAAGGCATTGTTAGGAGAAGTCGAAAATCACTCTGAAGGGTCCTACCTTCTGCCGCAACTCACTTTTAATTCGTGGGATTCGACCATACAAATGAATCTGATTATGGATGCGAACATGAAAAGAGTAATGCTACACGAGCTTGTTAGTGTTTTCCAAGAAGAAGGTGCTCAAGTTATGACGCTAATTTTCAGACCTTTAATGATAGGATCACTTATACAATCATAGCTCAGGCATGTATCATGAACAAATCCACCGCATATGTTTTTTTTTTTAAAATGCCGCATGTGTATGTACACGCACTTGCATGCATGTGTCACTGTCACTGTGTCACGTCTTTGCTTATGTACGATTAATCGTCTGCAGGCTATCATATTTCGGATCGGCATTGATCCATCAAGGATCGAAGAGAGAGTACGGAGTATCATCTTTTGATCAACTTTTTGAGGCATTAGTAAATTCCAAATTATTATCCTGCGCTAGCGTTTAATTTATTTACTATTTTGTGGTTTTTATTAAATAACAAATGTGTTTATTAGTTCTTTAAACATGTGATTAGTATTTTAAATGCTGCCTTTGAGTTTGATATGTAATCGTTTAAGATAAATTCTTGGTTGATGATATATCAAAACCCAATGCATATTTTCATTTGACTAATTGAAAATTTCAGTCTATTTACACGGACGATTAAACAACGATATTTTATCACTATGTTAAAACGTTGATCCATCATATAATAATTTCACAACAGTCTTTAGAACAAATGTACTATCTTATATCATTGAGATATACACAACAACAAATTAATACACATGAAACAATATCTGAAAAAAATAAACACTACTACCGAATTTGAAAATTTTCCAATTTGTAGATGCGTATTATAGCAGCGTATACATACCCCACACACCCAAAAATAACACAATGCTTGACGAAATAATCGATCGGAGCTAATTCTTTTCTTGTTAAAGAGATCGGAGCTAAATCTATAGTGGTTTGTATTTGTACTATATAGTGTGGTCACCCGAAATTAAATTCGACGATGAAGTATGTAATGTAAATTATTGAAAAAAAAAAAATCAATTTTTTGTTTTGAACTTTTGAAAAATCAATGTTAAACGATCATATTGAAATCAGACATTAAAGTGGGCACGCCGCAACGATCTAGAATAAGTAGCTGTCTTAGGAAATATACGACTTTGTGATGTTATGTTTTCAACAGACGCTTTTAAAATACATGAATACGTAAAAATACCGGGTATTTTTCTTTAAGAAAAAATCTTCTCCTTCCGGTGTTATTCGGTTTGACTTGGTATGATTTAGATTGGTTGGTATGTGGAAAGCTTCTCCATGTTATTTTTAATTTAGGAAGATAATAGGATGTAAATGATAAAATAATACACTAGCGGGGGGAATGTGAAAATAAGTCAAACGTTAGGGTTTTAGGTTTTATCTTCCAACTTTTCAAGTTTTGCACAAATTGCAAAGCTTGTTGAATTTAGGAATTTCGAAACCATTCTCGAAGAGGAAAAGAGGCAAAATCTAAGTTTTAAGACTCAGAATCAGAACTCTTTGTGAAGCAAATCTGGCAATTGTGAGATGGATCTGATTCAGTCCTACGACGAGGAAGCCGTATCTTCCTCGCCGGAATCTTCGCCGCCTCGTATTTTGAAGGCGAAGTCATCGGCGCCGGAGGTAGACGATACGGCACTGGCTCTCACAGTGGCTAACGTGAATCAGTCGAAGTCGAATCCAATCAATCCAACCCAGCACGTCGTCGCGTTTAACCCTACTTATGAGCAGCTTTGGGCTCCGATTTGCGGCCCCGCGCATCCGTACGCCAAAGACGGGATCGCACAGGGGATGCGGAACCACAAGCTAGGGTTTGTGGAGGACGCCTCGATTGGCTCCTTCGTGTTCGACGAGCAGTACAACACTTTTCACAAGTACGGTTACGCGGCGGATCCGTCCGGGATGAATTACGTCGGCGACGTGGAGGCCTTGAAGCAGAACGACGGCGTTTCTGTTTATAATATACCGCAGAGCGAGCAGAAGCGGAGGAAGCTTGAGAAGAACAAAGAGGAGAGAGAAGGGGAAGAGAAAAAGGAAGAGCTTGAGCCGGAGGCTGATAATCCTGCGACGGAGGCGTGGCTTTTGAAGAATAGGAAAAGCCCCTGGTCGAGGAAGAAGGAGGTGGTTCAGGGAGAGTTGACGGAGGAGCAGAAGAAATATGCAGAGGACCACGCGAAGAAGAAGGAAGAGAAGGGACAACAAGGCGAAGCCAAAGGAGAGCATTACGCGGACAAGAGCACTTTCCATGGCAAGGAGGAGAAAGATTATCAAGGCAGGTCATGGATTGAGGCTCCTAAAGATGCAAAGGCAAACAACGATCACTGCTACATTCCAAAACGTCTGGTTCATACATGGAGTGGTCACACGAAAGGTGTTTCTGCTATTCGGTTCTTCCCCAAGCACGGGCATTTGCTTCTCTCTGCAGGTATGGATTCTAAGGTTAAGATTTGGGATGTGTACAACTCTGGTAAATGTATGAGGACTTACATGGGTCACGCCAAAGCTGTGAGGGATATTTGCTTCTCTAATGATGGGACTAAGTTCTTAACTGCTGGATATGATAAGAACATTAAGTATTGGGACACGGAAACTGGGCAAGTTATATCGACTTTCTCGACTGGGAAGATTCCGTATGTGGTTAAGCTGAATCCAGATGATGATAAGCAGAACATTTTGTTGGCTGGTATGAGTGATAAGAAGATTGTGCAGTGGGATATTAATACAGGGGAGATTACGCAAGAGTATGACCAGCACTTGGGTGCTGTTAATACAATCACATTTGTGGACAACAACAGAAGATTTGTCACATCCAGCGATGACAAGTCTCTCCGTGTGTGGGAGTTTGGGATACCAGTGGTAATCAAGTATATCAGTGAACCTCATATGCACTCTATGCCATCCATTTCAGTTCATCCGAATGGAAATTGGCTTGCGGCACAGAGTTTGGATAACCAGATTCTGATCTACAGTACCAGAGAAAGGTTTCAGCTAAATAAGAAGAAGAGGTTCGCAGGCCACATTGTTGCCGGTTATGCATGCCAAGTGAATTTCTCGCCAGATGGACGGTTTGTAATGTCAGGAGATGGTGAGGGTAAGTGCTGGTTTTGGGACTGGAAGAGTTGCAAAGTCTTTAGGACTCTTAAATGTCACAATGGAGTATGCATCGGAGCGGAATGGCATCCTTTGGAACAGAGCAAAGTGGCAACATGCGGTTGGGACGGCTTGATTAAGTACTGGTAAGCAATCTTCTCCCAATCTATTTTGTCTAATTTATTCTGCAATTATTTATAACATAACCATTATGCATATGTTAATCAAAACAAGGCACATATCATGACAACGCTAGAGTTGTCGTTTGATTAGCCTTGCATGTAGGATGCGTCTTAGATCTTTTTGAATCAGATAATCTTAGAATTCTCAAAAGGGTTAACGATATGATTTTGCCGGTTCGATGCTGATGTTTTGTTGCATATTTGCAGGGACTAAGACAAGACAGAGCCATCACCAAGAAAGCGAGAGTCGTAGACAGTCACGGCCCTGGGTCCAACGCCCAGTTTTTTTTTTTTCTGTAATGTTTCAAAATCTGATAAAAAAAGCACATGATGTATTATCTTTTTAACTATATCGTTATAAGGATAGTTTTTCAGACTGTTCACAAACTTTTTTTTCAGACTTTCATTATTTGCTTTGTCGACTGACTGTGATTATGTTATGATGGGTGATAAAGAATATTTAGAGCAATGATCAGCCAACATTAAAGAAAATGATATGTGAAAAACCACTAATTAAAACATTTATCAATGAATTGCCTTGATATGAATCTGTTATATACAGCTTTAATTTGTTTGATTACTCTCACGGAATAGCTCAATGAGTTTGTTCCAGATTTTGATCCTCAAAGCGGAGGCTTCATCGGGTTTAAACCACTTCTTATGAATCTGTATGTGGAAACAAGACAACAAATTTTTGTTAACAACATACTCTTTAGAAGATAGAAGGAAACGGAGATAGAAGAGAAAACACACCATTCCCAAATCATGCAATTTCAGCCTCTGAGGAGCGTCTTCGATGAACTGTTTTATGAAGAAGAGCACAAACAGACCACAATCGAAATCATTCTTCTGCTGTGGAACCTGTTGAGAAGGTGATGGAATAATATTCGATGGATTCTTTAATTTATCTTTCAAGTAAAATATGCAACTTAACAAGTGAAAAAGACTAGCCTGCACTTGAGCTTCATTGATCCTATCAGGAAGGTCTCTCCATATTTTTTCTGAGATTGGTAAATCCGATAAAGAAGCATCTTGGTTAAGATAATTCCATTCCTCTCTCAGAAACCTGGAACAATAAGTTGTAAACAAGGGAATCTAATTAAGATGGTCTTTAAACTGAGAAACTGTATGCATATCCTTGGTACATATATCCTCGGGTCTCACCTTTTGACATTGTTGAAGATTACTTTTCTTGGGTGAAGTCCCAATGAATCTAAGTGAAGTAGAGTCAATCCTGATTCGTCTTCCTTGTCTGGGATGCAAATTATTACTAAGCTCCAGTGTAGACTGAAATATACAAGAAAATAAACCCATTAAACAATCTAAACAATTGGTGCTGAGATGCCATAACTTTGATCTTTTTTTTAGCATAGTTTTAACAATGCAATCATTGGGATTCAATACACAACAGTCATGAAAAAATAACTTACTCTTCATGTATTGGTATAAAGATATATGATTTACGGAATATATCAAAACCCTTCCACCACCGTCTCAACTTCACAAAAAATGCATCCTTGTCGTTACCCTAATATATTGAAAGGACAAGACCAAGAGACCAATCAAATCACAAACAGAAAAGAACTAGTCTCAATTCTTGTAACAGTTGCACATGAAATATTTAGATTCAACCTTCTATAATAAAACAATGAAACTTAAAACAAATTTAGGACTTGGATATAGTTTTTTAAACGCAGACCAATGAACCATTGATTCATTTTTTTGCCAAAGGAATAAGGTGGAAAAAGCACCTTGTATGAAACAGCTTCTATGAGCTTCTTGTAGAAAAATGTGTTAAAGAAATGAGAATCAGCAGCTGTCTGATTCGCTGAAAAGACATGGTGCTGCAAGAACCTAGCCAAACAGAAGGGAAAATAATCACATATAAGCCATAACACGAGAAAAGATAAATGTGAAAAACTGTCACTCAAAGCCACCTGATGTAGAAATTTATAACTGGCGATGTAAGATATTCTCGAGGTGAAAGACATTGGAAATCTTTAAGAGACACTTGAACGAAGTCTGGGTCGTCCCTTGATCAGCAGAAAAAGTGAAAGGAAAAATAAACAAGTCATATATCATACTGAGGATCACAGTAACTAAACCTACACCAACTACATGTTAGCTTTTTTACCAACCTTGATGGGTAGCAAATATCTTCCGGTAACCTGCAGATTTCACCAAAATTAAGTTATATCCAGCGAGAGTCAATCACTTGATAAAACTAAACATAGACACTCTTTTGTTACCCTTCAGGAAGTTCAAGAACTTCCTCTACTGTTGGAGATTGAGGTTCATCTTCATCCAAATTTATCACTTTGTTATCTGATTTCTATAGCAAAAGTGTCAGAATAGGTGCTAAGCTCCTTCTATATTAATTATGCGCAACAATACAATTGTATGGCATAAGAGAACATACCTTCCTGCAGCTTGACCTATGTGATGGCGATGCTTTCAAACTCCACTCCCTGTGAGAGAAAAAGTTAATGTCAATACACTGAATGAAGGTTAGCCACGACCAGTAGTCTTGAAATTGAAAAGACAATCTTAAAGCAGTCGCAGAGAGAAAGATATGGACCTTGGATTTTCATAGCCAATGACGGTGTTGTCGTCATCATCATCATCATCATCATCGACAAGTAAGTAAGGAGAAGATTCCTTTGGTTTTCTTTCTACAGAAGCTTTATTGGGTTTTCGATTCCCTTTTGGGTCCTTCAATCCAGAATAAAAGTTATTTTCAATGATCTGACACTTGCCTAATCTTGGCAGCGAGCGCCACCCATTGCTTTGTTTTGGTGTCGTCTCTCTACCAGCCTTGCTTTTCCAGCTTTCACGTCCCAAATATTGTAGTTCTTCATCAAATAATTTCACTGGTTGAGCATCCATCTGTTAAACAATGATTATCAAGTGTGGCATCGTGAAGCAGCAAAGAATTTAAACAACAAGGGGTGTAGAAGCAGCATACTTTGGGTTTCTCACTAAAATGAGCAGCAGGTATTGACCGAGACACGTCTTTTGATCCCGTATACTCTTGTCTAGAGTTGTCTTTTGAAGCTGTCTTCGCTTGCCTAAACACATCTGAACAACTTTCTACATGTTAGAGACTCTGCACATATAAATAATAATCAATTCATAGAGAGATTAGCTGGAACAAACTACAAACTATATACCTGAGCTTTTCGAATGTGCGAGAATCTGACATCTGTCTGCATCCTGCCAAAATCAGGGAAAGTCATCACACGGCATCGTATAAGATAAATTCATTTCATCAGTTTTGAATGTTCTGTTCTACACCACGCAAAAATTGCCTAAGAGAACCTGTGACAAAAGGATTTTACAACTATAAGGAAAAAGATAACCCAAACATAACCAGAAATTATACTAAGCAAGTAACAAATGTAAAAAGAGAAGCTTTAGCAGAATCTTGGACCAATCGAAACACTCGACCACTTATACTCGCAATACTAAATTATCTTCCACACATCAAACTCTAATTCCACTGCAGAGTAAGGATAAATGTGAAAAGCTAAAGACACTTAAATTCCAAAAGCTTTCATTTTTAAGACACAATCAACTAATTCTCTTCTTCACAAACCGTTTTGGTGCGGCGAAGCATCCTTCGCTGCTTCTCGTACTCGATGTTTCCGATTCTGGTGCGGATTCTGTTGCCCTTGTCTGGCAACTTCTCACTGAAAGCAGAAAGAAGAGATCTTTGACGCTTCAGATGATCCTCGAGTTCGCTATCACTGAGGGATTGCACGCAGACGCCGGAATCATCACCGGAGAGAGTAGTCTCACGCGGTGGAGTTTTGTCTGCACTGCCGATGATCTCCAACTCCGGCACTTCTTCATCGACCAAAACATTCTCCCAATCTATGTTGAAGCCTTTCGTCTCCACACAGTCTAACTCGATTACCTTTTGCCTCTTCATCTCTCTTCATCAAATAAAAAAACCCTTTTCGGTTTGGAATCTCCTGCTTATTTATTTTTTACATCACTCTTTCTGCATTGTTATAAAAACTTTTCGTATGGTTTGCTAACTAGAACCATAACAAAAAATATATAATGTTGTAATTAATGGGTTTCCATTTTAAAACCAATTAACAATCAGCAAAAAAGCCCATGATCATTATACTAAACTTTGTTTTAAAATAATATACATTTTCATGTTTTAATTCCAAACTTAACATCATTTATTCACATTTTTAATAATACCACAAATATAAAATGATTCGAAACTATTTTTCAGTGTGGAAAAACTAAACCATATAACCCAAACATAATGGTTTAATGTTAGTTTTAAATTATTTAGGATAAGCAAGTATTTCTGCATAAATATTGTGCTATTTTCAACATTTTAAATTTGGTGTGTGGGTTTTACATAATTGAAATAAAAATTATTTGTTTGTGTGATTTTTGGGGTATTTCTCTTATACTAATGCTAAATGTTTCTATTTTCCATAAAATAAAGAAAAAAACAGTATTCGCCATAATTGATATATTCTAATTAAAAAGCTATCATTTCATAATAATTACATCTTATACCAATAAGGCAATAATATTAGAAAATCTCTTTTTTTGGCACTTTATTCAATATTCAATATTCAATAAATTGTGGAAAATATTCGATATTTTGATAGCTTCCACATCAAAACAACAACGTTTATTTTTGTTATTATAAAACGACGCCAAACTCTACCTAGTTTTATTATACCGCGCGTACATTAATACCTTTCCTATGATCCTATCACGTACATTGTATACAATGTATATGTATCCTTGCCTTTGAAAACTAGTGAATACGCCTCATTGAACTTGGCATCCATTACTAAGTTAACGTAATTTGACAAGTTTCATATGAAAGTCTTTAGAATATGAGGCAATGCTATGCCTCAGCGATTGAGGAAGACAACACTTTCTCTTCCGAGCTGATCCTTCTCTCGGCCCATCACACAAACTTGGCCATCCTCCTTGGCCCATAATCGCACCAGGATCATTTTGTCATGGCAAAGGCAAACCAACTTTTCCGACCTGGGTTTCATAAGATTTCCAATTTGCATGTATATATCCAATTTGCATGTACATAAGATTTGATTCTTCCTCCATAAACATAGTTTATTCTGTTGCAATATGATTGTTTCGGTTCAAACCTGCTTGCTTTAGTACTTATTAGAATCTGTAAGAAATCAGTAATTTAAATGTCAAATAATGAAATAGATCTCGTAATCTTTATATACATATATATTATTTAAAGAATGATTGTGTGTTGTGAAGTTAGTTAGGGTGACATGATCAAGTTGAGAGGATACGTGATGTTGCGCGATGAATTTTATCTTAGCACCAATAATAATAAGAATAAAATCAAGAAAAAAACAAAAATAATAACACACTAATATAAATGAATGCTGAGATTGCAGATTTGATTGGTTGGTTAAGGTTTGATTACGAACCATCTGTATATTGCCAGCTTTAGTGTTGCTGTATTGAATTGCATATCAACTTGTTTATGTTTACATCATACCCTCTCTTGTCTTTTCTCTCCCTCTTCTTTTATCCTGATAATTTTTATATATATTATAACGCTTTATATTCATGTATTTTATTATTTATTATCGAAATGTTTCGCAAAAGTTTTTGTTTAATATACCAGTAGAGACAACAACAACAACAAAAATTCACTTAAGAGAATTCATCATTCGGAAAATGACTAAAAGAGTAAAAATACGTACCAGTTCAGACTTCAGAGAATTAATGTCTGAAATACTAATGTTACTTAATTCAGTTTGAAATGTTTATTGAGATTTATGAAAACAAAAATAGTGGGATTTTAACTATTCATTGATTTATTAATTTATTTTGAAATAGTAACTTACATTTCAATTGTTTGACTTCTTAACACAGTATTTATACTGTTCACTTCTAATTAATGATCATCGACTTATATTTCTTAATTTTATTTATTTTTTTGATAAAAGTTTTCATTCTTTTATAAAATTTCTCAATTTTTGTGGTCGACCTATTTAGTTTCTAGAGATATATACTATTCTTACTTTAGAATACCCTATCAAATAATTCCAAAAATGTATTCGGTGTGTCAAAAATGTTCTAATGCAATTTTCATATTAACAAAGGTAAGAGTGTGAAGAGGAAATAATTATTCTCTATAGAAAAGAGGAAATAAAACCAAAAAGTGGCAAAAGAGGAAAGGAGAAGTCAAAGCATGGTATAGCAGTATCATGCCCATTTCATCTTCATCTTAAAGTCGTTGTACACGTTAATGTGCGTGTATGTATATAATAGTGATGTTTAATCTAATAATAACTCAACCAATTAGCAAAGCTTAATTGTATCAAATCAAACATAACTGCCTTATAATTCAATGAAAGTGGAAACGGAATTGGCCACATGCATATGTTTTAAGCTGTTTAAAAATTTGATAGAAGTCTAGAACCAAATGTGTATTAGTCTGACATGTGCTGTGCATCCATTAATTCGATGTCTTCTTTTTGTTTTTGTCATATGCTCCTATATATAATTTGGATTCTGAATATATGCAATCAGTGATGCGAAATAGGCAAAATTAGTTGATTCATAAGTCGTGATAAAAATATTCGAAATATTTTTGTAATGTATTTCTATTTCTATATATATTAACATTAACATTTCGGACACAAATGTTGAATAGAGATAATCGAAATAAAACACCCAAATTTACTAATCAACTAGGGGACTCTTCAACGGAGCTAACGTCGTCACATAATTTTTTTGTATATACAATTTTTTTTTTACTTATTTTTTAATATGTTAAGAGATTTGTTTACGAACATTCTTCAGTAACAAGACAAGAGATTCCATGATGGTGGATTCTTTACTAATGAAGATCACTGCAGAGGTAAAGAGCCAGCCTATGTACAACTCATTTCACAAATACCTAATTTACCCCTAACACTTTCACACACCAGCTCTCTCTATGTATATATACACACACAGAAGCACATTTTCTACATAACACACACCAAACAGTAATCGTAAGTATCAAAGAGAAGCAGAAATGGCGTCTTTGAAGAAGTATAACAGGCAGTTTTTGTGGGAAACAGGAGTTGTGTTTTGTCTCTGTTCATTGTCTTTGGTTTCTTCACACAGCAGAAAGTTCACGACACCAAACGTGACACGCCTCACGGATCAGTTCAGTAAGATCGCCATTGAAAATGGCTTCTCCAAACGTTTCGGAGCTCCCAATATTCTCGTCAATGGCTCACTTGCCAAGCTCACTCTCGACAAATCATCTGGTACTAAAGCTCTACACACCTCTGTTCTGTTTTTGTTTCCTCTGTTTTTTTTTTTCTTTTAATGTACATTTTTGATAAACTCCTAATAATATAAATGAAACATCATTAATTGTTTGGGTCACAGGACAGGTGAAGTAAATTGCTGTCCCATATACTTTTTAATGCATAGAACAATTTTTGTTACGCAGAAAACAAAAAAGATCATAAATGGTCTAGATTCACAGAGTCATATCCTCCAAAATATAGAATATTGACACCATAAATAAAATATATGCAGGAGCTGGTTTGGTGTCAAAGAACAGGTATCACTATGGTTTCTTCAGTGCAAAACTCAAGCTTCCTGCTGGATTTGCCTCTGGTGTTGTGGTTGCTTTCTATGTAAGTCTATCGTCAACAATTGACGAATGTACAAATGACGAATGTTAGAATATCAAATATAGGATTTCTGAAACGTAAATATTCGAAATGCAGTTGTCAAACGCAGAGAGTTATCCGAAAAACCATGACGAAATAGACATAGAACTGTTGGGGAGAAGTAGAAGAGACGATTGGGTGATCCAAACGAATGTGTACGCAAATGGAAGTTTGAAAACAGGAAGAGAAGAAAAGTTCTATTTTTGGTTTGATCCAACTCAAGCCTTTCACGACTATACCCTCGTTTGGAACTCCCACCATATTGTGTAAGTCACACTCTTCTTGGCTATATTTGATCTTCGTTTTCTTCTTTTTATCTATAAGAATAGTATTTATTTATTTTTATATTCGAAGTAAGAACAATAGTTATTATAGTTAATGAAAGAAAATACAAAGTTATGGGCCAAGAAAAGTCAAGACAACAACATTGTATAGATTCATGAATCCTTAGACGATGCTTCATGGGGTGACAAGAAAATCTAGAATGTCTTTTTCTGTATTATTGTTTGAGTTGTTTTTTTCGTCAATATTGTTTGAATTGTCTTATGACAATATCACTAAGTATCAAAATGAGCTTTTGTCATCTACAAAACATACAAATTAATATTTGTAGATTAATCCAACACATTTAGGTTTTTATTTTATTATTTGTTAATAATATTTCAGTTATAAATTTTGTTAGTGAATCCAGTATTTCTTTTAAATAATAATAGTATTAATTATTTAGGATTCAATAATTCATGTTTTCATAGTACTGTATGTCCACCAATGGTATATTATTTTAACCAAACAGGTGATCAATGGATTTTTACAGATTTTTTGTAGACAACATTCCGGTTAGACAATTTCCAAACCGGGGAGCCTTCATGAGCGCGTATCCGTCTAAACCGATGTCTCTATACGTCACCGTTTGGGACGGTTCAGAGTGGGCCACTCACGGCGGTAAGTACCCCGTCAACTACAAGTACGGCCCTTTCGTGGCTTCCGTTGCTGATGTAAAGTTAAGCGGCTGCTCCGTTAATAACGGTTCTTTTACCGGGTCCGGGGCATGTACCAAGTCGGGCGGGTCGATTTCGAGTCTGGACCCTGTTGACGGTCAGGATTTTGCCACGTTGTCGAAAAATCAGATCACAGCCATGGATTGGGCTAGGAGAAAGCTAATGTTCTATTCTTATTGTAGCGATAAGTCGAGATATAAAGTCATGCCTGCTGAGTGCAGCTAAAATTTTTATTTTTAATTTTGATTAAAACCAACTTTGTTATCTACTTAAGAGAATACTTATATAATAATATCATTTTACTTAGGATAATTAGCGGTTGAATTTGAAAGCAAATTTCATTTCTCTGTTTATTTTCTTCTTTCTAAAATTTCTTAAATGTTATTTATATACAATAAGCTAAATGTTCAATAAATTCAATCTCGTTAACTAAACTGTCACTGCGGTTAAAAGAGGTGTGAAGTGATCAACGAGAAATTGATGAAACTACTAAACTAAAGATTTTGGTATGTTATTTTTTAAATGCCCGTCTAATTTGGATATATAATAGTTAATAGCCTTTGGGTTTAGGGTTGTATTGTCTCCATGCAGTGAAACTTGTTCAATAGGCTAATGTAATTTTGTTTTGGAAAAGGTGACACATACCTTTTGAACAAAATTTCCAAAAAGAAAGAGAGAAAAATAATGTTGAAAGGAGAGTGGTTAACATGTTGTTACATCCAATTTCCAGTTATACTACAACCAAAATGTTTTACTCTATCTCTCACTCGTATGAACTGACTTGGCTTGTTTATTATTCATACGCTTTGACGATTAGTTGACAGAAACATGAATTAAGTAAGAGAAATCACGTGAAACCTTCCTTACTTGGTTTGTGGTTTTTTTATGCCTGTCTAATTTTGGATATAATCTAGTTAACAACATTGGTTTTAGGGTTGTATTGTCTCCATGCATTGTACTTGTTCAATAGGCTAATTCAATTTTGTTTTGATTAGTTAGAAGTGTTGTTAGGAAATTTGGGTTTCTTAGTTCAGTTATGTTCTCCAACATTTAATTAATTCCAAAAGGTTACATTTTACTTGTAACCATTTCCCTAAGAAAATGCTTATATTGCTAATGTACATCAAATTCGAAATAGGCGACCCATCACATTTCCAACAAAAATTACAAAAAAAAAAAAGAGAGAATAAAGAATGTTGGAAGGGGAGTTTTTTTTTCACATGTTGAAAGCAGAGTCGTTAACGTGTCACTTATCCAATATCCACTTAAAGAACCAAAGGTTTTCACTCTATCTCACTCGTCAGAATCGACTTGACGCTTAGTTGACAGAAACGTTAGGTAAGAGAAATAAGGTGAAACCTTTCTAACTTGGTTTTAGGCTTTAGTTATTTAAAAGTTATTCATAGATGGTATTAAAGTTTAATTTAATGTTAACAAACTAGCTTCTTTCTTTTTTCATGTAATAACATCTGTTAGTTGACTAGTGGTTATTTACCTTAGATAATTTTCAATTAGCTTAAAGCCACAAACCACTAGTCTCACGCTCTTCCTATCCCATTTCCGTTAAGCATTAATTTGGTTTTGCCATGGCGTTGGCTTCTTTTGGTTTTCTCAAGTAGATTCTTTCTTCTCCAATTCGTAACGTAAACATACAATACTCTCACTTTTTTGTTGTCTCTAAACGTTTATTACATTTTATTCTCCGTCATCTCTCTCTTTTTGTTTTCCTTACTATCATCATCAGTCATCTTCTCTCACTTTCGATTTCTTGAGCATTTCATTTTTTTTTTTCTTTTTAATCTCAAAACATTTTAATACCATTGTGATAGAAATATGGCAAGTGGTGGCGAAGAAAATGCAGCGGCGCCGCAGAAACAGGACGACCTTCAGCCACATCCGGTAAAGGATCAACTTTCCGGCATCACTTATTGCCTCGCAAGTCCTCCTCCTTGGCGTAAGCTCTTCTCTCATATTCCAGTACTAATCAAAAATCTGTGGTTTAACCACTAAATATTATAACTTTTTTCTCCCTCGGATCAGCGGAGACAATACTTTTAGGGTTTCAACACTACTTGGTGATGCTTGGAACGACTGTTCTCATTCCCACAATGTTAGTTTCAAAGATTGATGGAAGAAACGTAAGTCTTTTGCAGAAAAGACTGTTACAAGTCAAGAAATATAAGACTCACTGGTACCAAGAAAAATGTTGTCTTTTGAAATTTTTAACACAAATGCAGGAAGATAAGGTAAAGATGATTCAGACATTGCTCTTTGTGTCTGGACTCAACACGTTCTTACAAAGCTTCTTTGGAACTCGTCTTCCCGCGGTCATTGGAGCTTCTTACTCCTATGTGCCCACCACAGTTTCAATCTTCTTGGCTGCTCGGTACAGTGACATTATTGATCCTCATGAGGTTGGCAAAGAAAATAAAAATCACATCTTTTTCTGTCTTTTGTGTAAATGTGGTAGTTAATTGAACTCAGGAAAAAAAATGCAGAAATTTGAGAAGATCATGTGTGGAATACAAGGTGCTCTTATCGCTGCCTCGTTACTTCAGATCCTTGTTGGTTTCAGTGGCCTTTGGCGTAATGTAGCAAGGTTAGAAACCCATACATATATAAAACAGAGAGATTCCTCTGTTTCATGATGATGGCGTTTTAGGGTCTAAATTGTGAGTTGTTTAGGTTTTTGAGTCCTTTATCTGCGGTTCCTCTTGTGGCGTTTTCTGGATTTGGACTCTATGAGCAAGGATTCCCTTTGGTGTGTATCTACATATTTCGACCTCTAGAAACCGTTCTCTTGGATGGTTTTTTACTTTAAAAATCCTGAGTTTTGTGTTCTGCTCATTACAGCTAGCCAAATGCATTGAGATTGGACTTCCTGAGATCATACTGCTTGTCATATTCTCTCAGGTTAATGCTCTTCACTTAAATGGAAAAAAAAAAACATAATTTTTGTTACCAAAGCTGGTTTAGACCATTCTGTTGTGTGCAGTACATTCCTCAACTGAGGCAAGGAGAAAGACATTCCATCTTCTTCCACCGGTTTGCAGTGATAATCTCAGTGGTGATTGTATGGAGTTTTGCACACATTCTGACCATTTCTGGGGCATATAGTAACTCACGAACCAATACTCAAAATAGTTGCAGAACTGATCGCACTGGCCTCATTGACGCCTCTCCATGGTATAGACCAAAACTTATAACCTTTTTGTTATCAAGATTGCTTTTTTAATGCTAATTCTTGTTTGTGCAGGATTAGAGTGCCTTACCCTTTTCAATGGGGAACTCCAACTTTTAATGCAGGGGAAGTTTTCGCTATGATGGCTGCTTCTTTCGTTTCTCTTGTCGAGGTCTAACTCTAAACACATCTCGCCTTTAGTTTAAGAAACAATATTGTGAAAAAGAAAACTTGAGACATATACCAATGTGTTTGATTCTTGCTGTGATCAATGGAACAGTCCACAGGGACATACATTACTGTGTCGAGGTACGCAAGTGCAACGCCAATCCCACCTTCTGTGCTTAGCCGTGGAATCGGTTGGCAGGTAAAAATAAAATAGAAGAAACACTATGAAACTGAAAAAAGACTCAAGTCTTGTCAATGCTAAATGTGGTTCTCTGTTTTCTAGGGATTTGGAATTCTTCTCTGTGGATTCTTTGGAGCAGGAAACGCCACATCCGTATCTGTGTAAACACAGTTTTTTATCTCCAAGACTCAAAAAACAGACTAAAACTTTCTTATCCAAAAGCAACAATCTTTTTTTGTCAGATATTGAAAGCCTTTTCTTAAAATTGTAGGGAGAATGCCGGTTTGTTGGCGGTAACAAGAGTTGGTAACAGAAGGGTAGTTCAAATATCAGCAGGATTCATGATCTTCTTCTCCATTCTTGGTCATTCTCTTGCTTCTTCTATAGCTCGTTTTTTTCTTCTTCTTCTCATAATATGTATACTATTCTGAAGCTGTTACTATACTATATGTCACTTTGCTTCACATTACTTCAGGTAAATTCGGGGCCATCTTCGCTTCGATTCCAGCTCCTATCATCGCTGCTCTTCACTGTCTATTCTTTGCATACGTTGGTACGTTTCTTAAAACAGAATATAAGGAATCTTTTTTGGAACCGCAAATGAACACACAGAAAACAAAACTGCAGGTGCTGGTGGTCTTAGTCTACTCCAGTTCTGTAATCTAAACAGTTTCAGAACAAAGTTCATTCTTGGAATCTCCATCTTCATGGGCTTGTCAATACCTCAATACTTCTACCAGTACACAACTTTAGAACATTATGGACCTGTTCACACAAACGCAACATGGGTACAACACTAAAAACCGCATCTTTTTGAACACCAAGATCATTGGAGAAAGTAAACTAATGCTCAATTTGCTCTGTTTTTTCCCTTGGTGGGTGCAGTTCAACGATATTATCAACGTTCCTTTCTCGTCCAAAGCATTTGTTTCCGGAATCTTGGCCTTCTTTCTCGACATGACATTGCCTCCAAAGGACAAAACGACTAAGAAAGATCGAGGAGTAATATGGTGGAAACGATTTAGATCATTCAAATCCGATAATAGAAGCGAGGAGTTCTACTCTCTGCCTTTTAATCTCAGCTATTACTTCCCTTCTCATTGACTTCAAGTAAAAGCGCTTTTTTATCGATTCAGTGTCCTGTTTTCCGTGCTTGTTTTAGTACTGATCTCACATGTTTACTGGTTAAATCTGCACTTATGTTGTCCAAGTATAGGCGATGATCTCGTTTCAAGATGTTAAAATCGTTACTAAGCACTCCATCGGATTCGCTTATCCATGTTTTTCGTTTTTGAAAAAGTGATACTTCTTAATCTCTATCAAATTTACCATCATGCTTCTTCGACCAAGCCTTCTTTGAGTCATCAACTATAAGAACAGCCTCTTTATTTCCCATCATAACATCAAGACTTTTCTTAATTATGTCTTACCGAGTCAGGAGGTATATAAGGCGCCGGTTTCTCTATTTTCTTGCCACACACGGAACAGAGAACCCCAGAGGAAGTTTACGTAAAGTTTATATATAACTACATTCAAGAAAATTTCTAAAAAAAATATCTGATTAATATATGAACGTTGGATTAACTAACAACATACCCACATTTTTCGAAGTATTACAGTTTACAATGATCATCTATTGCTTAAATTCCGATAGTGCTGCGCAATTACGTTTATAATATTAGGACGAAAGCATACTCTGTTTCGCCTTGTTTATTGGATTCATGTTCATGCATGTGAACAAATTAAAATATCTGGGATACGAAATGTTACATATATTCATCGATTAATTATTACTTACTCGTAATTGTTAGCCTACTAACTGGGTTTGTTTGTGTTTAACGAAAAGGTGGAGCCCAGGTTAAACTTACGATGTCGTTTACCATAATCAAAGAAAAATGACGATCGATATTGACCCTAATAGAAAACCAAAGGACAAATATTAATTCACAATCTTAAAACTTGATTTGTTACGTGTTGGTTGCCGCATAACGTGATTTGTTCTGTTGCCGCATAACGTGATTTGTTACGTGTAAACTTGATGTCGTTTACCATAATCAAAGAAAAATGACGATCGATATGGACTTTTTTTTTTTTGCCAAACGTCTCTGTTGTAGACTTCTAGTAAACCAATCATCTCAAATCTATAAATAAATATCATCACGAATGAAATTCTCTATAATATTTTTTATTTGATTTTGTGAATCGACTTTCTGAATAGCATTTCACTAATATTGATGAGCACTACATTATTGGTTTAATTTGCACATTGGTAAATCATAACTATGATCATTAATATATCTAAATATAACTATTACATAATAATTACTTGAAGTTCACTTCTGTCACACCTAAAAACTTTATTATATGACTCCATGCGCAGATTTCAACGATTAAAGTGTTGCCGTTGTAAATTTTCTTCGAAATTATTTGATGTCAAGATAGAAAAAAGAGAAGAGAATAAGAGTTATTTTTTTTTCCCAGCAGAATAAGAGTTATATTCGACAAAGTAAGCAAGTAAATAAAAAAAAATTTTGTCGATCGGCAATAAAATTTGATCCAAAAACTATGGTTATTAATGTTTAAAAAAAACTAGGCTATTTTTGTTGGGTACGAATGAAGGGATTATACATCAATTAAGGGAGAGATGATATATTAACTTTTTCGTATATAAAATCAATTGATCCTCAGTGGAAATGCATCGGATCTTGCAAAAGAGAAAACAAAAGTCTTCATTACGTTTAATTGTATTATTTTATAACCTTCTTATTTTTGCCTATCAGAAGTTACTTGTTAACAAAAAAATGAATAAATTAAAAACAAACTGTATTGTAAATTTGTGTGTTGCGAAAAAGATTGTCTATTGTAAAATTTTCTGTAAAATAATTCATCTTGCTCACATATGTTATATATAATTAAATTCATTTTTTTGTTATAAAAATATGATTATTTTAGTACAATAAAATCAAATATCTATGACAGTATTAGTGATGTAACCAAAAAATTAAAAATACTACAATGACAAACTAAAATAATTGATATCTTAGTCATCTCCCTTATTCCGGTGCTGACACATGTCCATTCTAACCGCTTTTACATTTCGATTTCCGACCATCCCAAAACCAAAAAAAGGACGTTATAATAATAAAGTACCATCTGGTAATCACAAAAGCTCAAATATAAAATTCATACAACTGTATATGCTAATTGGGATTTTACATGTTTATAAGCAAAGCTAAAGTGAGAGTAGAGTGTGTGGACCTACACTCGCCGGAAAATAAACACACTTTTTCCCTCTGTTCCTTTTTCTTTCTTTTTTTGTTCACAGAGTCTCTTTCTACTCTGTTTTTTTTCTGTGTTAACTCATCAGAAAAAATACCTTTTTGGACATGGGAAATTGCCAGGCGGTGAACGCGGCAGCGCTGGTTCTACAGCATCCCGGCGGCAAAATTGACCGGTACTATGGCTCTATCTCCGTCAGCGAGATCATGGGTATGTATCCTGGCCACTACGTCTCTCTCATCATTCCTTTGACGGAGGAAGAAGAGAAAAATATTCCGGCGACGGTGAAGAGAGACGATAAGAAACAGAGGAAGGCTGTGAGGTTTACACGTGTCCAGCTTCTCCGGCCATCGGAGGATCTTGTGCTTGGTCACGCTTACCGGCTCATCACTTCACAAGGTTCGCCTTTTGTGTGTTTTCTTCTGTTTCCATCGCGTGATTTGGATTTTATGAGTAAATGGTAATTATAATTTCACAGAAGTGATGAAGGTCTTACGGGAAAAGAAATGTGCGAAGGCGAAGAGGCACCACACTGAGACGATGACGACGACGGTGAATAAGCCGTCTGAGAAGAAAGTTCCGGTATATTCATTCATAACTCTTTTTCCTCTAAGAAATTAGAGATTTTAGACAAAAGTAAAGTTAATGGCTTTGTGTGTTTTTTTTGGCAGGAGAAGAAACAAGGGAAGCAACTTCGTGTGCTGACAAGTTCGACTTCTTCCTTAAAGTCCAAAACATGGAAGCCTTCTCTTCAGAGCATCTCCGAAGCTACGAGCTGAATGTTTTGTGTTTTTTTTTTCAAGACTTCAAGGGACGAGAAACAGTATCTGGATCTGGAGAAATTGATCAGACACTGTACTGAATAAATTTTGGTTCTGTTCCTTTTTTTTTTCCTGGTTAGAACAGAGGATGAACAGATGAAGCTTAGATCAAGACAAAACAGAGAAATCGCAAGAAAGTCAACAGAACAGAGCTTTTTCTTCTTTCTTTTTCTTCTCTATCGTCGATGTATATATTTTCGCAGATAGAGAAATTGATCGAAGTTTGTAAAACAAAGTGAGGGTTTTGTTGATGTAAACTAGATTTAGAAGAAACAGAGCTTTTAAAACAAAGAACAATAAAAGAGCTTTTAATATCTTTCTGATCAAATATTATTAAGTAATCTTGAATACCTAACATATCTGAAGTACTTTCGTTTCTTACTGGTGCATTGGAAGAATCTATTCAAACATACACAAATCACCAAGAGAACAAATGATGCCAAAAACGATTATTAGAACAGACACTATAACAGACCAATATCTCAAAATTCAGAGTTTTACAACGACACTTCTATCCTCTGATACATCACTACTGAACTAAATGACTCCGACGAATTATATTTTGAGGATTCGAGGTTAATACTAATCAGTACCGGTCCATTCCTTCCAGTCCTTGTCTACATGATCCTGAGCCCATTTAATAGCTGCTCGAGCAGCTTGGGGACCTCCAGGCAATTCCCTTTCATTGAGAGTATCTGCCATGTCGATGAAGGGTATGACCAAGAGTGTTCCGGGTCCTCCATACTCACTGCGCAAGAATGTCCCGAATATCTGTCAAGAACCACAAATGGCGCAAAACAAAAACTGTCAACTACTTAGAGTTTGCCAAGAAATATAACTGACTTGAGAAGCCCAAAACTTAGAAACAAACACAAATTCACATTTCTATCTATCCCCAAGGCTCTTTAGCGGATTATTAGTAAGACCAAAATATCTTGGAAAGGTCTCGATCCGAGCTGCTAATTGGTAAAATGAAAACTCCCCCCTCTCATTCTCTAACCATACTAACTTTTTGCTGAACTTTCTACATAGGTTTAAACCGAAAAACCACCTCATTGCAAAGACCATTTCTTAACCAGGCATATTCATTTTCATACTAAAAAGTTATCAGATTTATAACTATCAACCTCAAATCTGTTAAAAGACTAGATAATGATTCACTGCCATGCCCTTTAATCTCTGTGCATTTGCTAGTCACATTTCAGAAAACAGTTCCACCAAATTTGACTTCCTTAAGTGGGTTTCGACTAGAAGGAGAGATAAAAAAACAAAAACGTGAACAGTATTATAACACCACAATTCAAGATAATCTTACATAAGACATATATAAAATGCAAGTGTGAAAAGTGAGAACATTTCAGATACCTCAGTGCAGACTCCGACGATTTCATCAACGGAGTCTTCAAAAAGATCTCTCTTGGATAGTTTCTTTAGCATATGGTCCCTAAATTTCTCAGTCTCCTGTATCACCCATCAATTAAGTTCAATTATCAATCAAAATTGAGTAAACAGAGGTAGAGGAAGAGAGAATCAGCTCACAGCTTCGGCGAATTCCGGTATGGGATCCGGAAATTTATACTCGGAAGCTCTGCAGACAAACCCTCTCCGAGACAGAGAAGAAAGAGAAAAGTCCGTCAATTTGGCTCTAGAACGCCGCCTAAGAAACTGGGTCGATTTGATTCCGCAAGAGCTCGCGGCTGGTGAAGAGAGATTAGAGAAAACTGGAAGAGCACAACGGAAGGACGAAGATGAAGAAGAAGTAGAGATAATGGAAGACGTATAGAATTGAAGCCGAGAAGAGAAAAGAGCTTCGTGTAAAGAAGCCATTAGTAACGGTTTTGCTTTCACTATCGAACCTTATCTTTATCTCTGCAAGAGCAACGTCTGTTTGGTCATACCAAGTAAGAAAGCCAAGGGTTTTAGCGAGGTTTCAATATTGGTAATGGAAAAAAAAAGTTGAGGGTGATAAGATAACAAATGAAAAGTTTGAGGATGATTTAAGGAAATAAAAAAATGAATCTGTCTGGGTGAAAAAAAAAGGGAACCTGTCAGACAACCGTGCGACCACCCTGGCTAGGTCAAGACCAGACCAGGTAGCGATCCTCTACAGCGCGGAGACTCCGAGGAGAATCGTAGCCGTCAATCACACTCAAGTCGCACGGCTATGATTCATCAACCAGGTTTTGAGGGCCTGTCTCCTTAGAAATCTAGGATACAGAGGTACGAGCCTATAGAACTGATCCTGTTCAAGTAAGGTCGTGACCATTGATGCTTTTTTCTCATATATAAACAACCTATATTTTCTCCGAGTTTCCGATGTGGGACTCTTTACTCTTTCTTTGCCACTTTATACAAGCTTTTAATGACACGTGTAATTATTTTTATCTACAAAAAGGGTTAATTAAATTGAAGTGGTCACAAAAACGTCATTAGAAAAAGCTAAAATTAAATTAAAAATTCTTCTATTTCGTAAGATAGAGAAATATGAGAAGAAGTTTTCAGTAACCTATATTACATTGCATTTATATTACAACTGTCCATAGTTATGCAATTACAAAAAGAACCGATTACTTACAGAACATATTCATAACTAGCCAACTGCAAAAGATCTGTTTTTGTAGCAAGAAGCCTAGAGATTCCTCTCGTGTGGCTCGAGCCAAGGAAACCCCAGGAAGTCGAAAACTTGTTTCTCCGTGGAGAGTTTCAGGCTTGCACTTGCTCTAGCACCCTGACAATGAATCACAGGTTCAAAATGATCACTCATTCACTTTCAAACCAAAGATGATGAAAACAAAAAATATCACTAATTCTATTTTCTCACTTACCCGGTTACCACTTGAGCTGTGAGTAGCAGGGAATAGTCCAGTGTCATCGAGTCGATATCCTTTGGATTCTGCTAGCAATCTCAGCCTGCAGGTTCCATGGTTATATATATCAATACGGTCTGTATGTGTTTTTTTCTTTACACACAATCTATTTAATGACATGCATATGGTTCATACCTTCTGTTCAGGACGTCGTTCCCTGTCCATGCTATGAGGCCGAATGCATAGATATCCCTTGGATAAACCTGTGGAAAGAGAGTAGTTATTGAATGATTTATCAGATGAATGATCCATCATTTGCAATGGTCAATAGAGAATCCATAATTAGAAGAGAGCAGCCTAGACATAGCTGAATCAATCATGATTCAAGGCAACGGATCTAAGTATGTTGTCGCTTTTTGTTTGATTAACCCAAGTTAGAGCTTTTTTTGCATTGAGCGTGAATCCGGGAGTTTTCAGCATTACTTTGAAATCGATACGGCGCCGGAGCTCTTGCCCAGGATAAGTGCAGAGACCAAAATACGTATCAACCCCTGCATCAGTACCCTGCACGATAAGAGCAATCATTGAAGAGAGCTGTAGTTGAACAAAGCATTTTGGTTACACAACATTCTGGGATAAGAGTATTTTCTCTAATACTGAAAAGAGATCAGTTTCTACGATTAATGATGTGCTTTTGATGATTTACCAACCAGATGAAGAAAAAACTTGAAATATTCAAAGTTACCTCTTCACTGTGGGTGCTGAAAATGAGATCTTCTCTCAGAAAATTGATATCCTTCAAACGCTTTACGAACTTTGTCAAGAAACCTTTGTGACTGGTCAGGACAATCAGCAATGTCTGGTGTTAGTACATTTTGCTACTGGAAACCACAAGATGCGAAAAAAGATATTTAACAACTAAAGCAGGAAGAAGAGGAAAGAAGATTGTATATACCTTTGTCCATCAGGATGTGTGACAACGATATCTAGATCTCCACAAGTAGCCTTCCCACGTCTATATGATCCTCCACATACAATATTCACCTGCAGGAAAGGTGTCCAAATGCCATTGTTAAGATTCCATCGAAATTTGCACATCCAAATATGGAGCAAATCGATAAACTGCAAAGTTCATACACCAGGCAAAATTTCCTCGCCAACTCTCTGTAGAAGTTGTTCCATCTCTTGCACCTACAACACAGAAAGTGTGAAAACATGAAGGAGAAAACTACATCAAGGATTAGAAAAGACAAACAAAATTCACGTCCAAGTCTAAGAATCACACCTCCTGTCGTGGGATCCTTGTTCTAATATCATCAAAATATTTCAATCCCAACCTCTGCGCATGCGTTAGTGAATCCTCGTTCTTCAAGTCTTCTAGTGTGCGATGTCCTTTGTCATATAGCTTGAGTGCAGTTGCAGGACCAATACCCCAAACCTCCCCAAACAAACTGATTGTACGTACCTTCAATCAAAGTAAGGCAACATTCCAAGTGGTAAACAATCAACGAAGGAAAAATATCAGACATCGTCATTTCTTATATTTTCTTAAGGAAATATAGAACAAGAAAGAATAGCAAACGGCCTCTACCTGTGAGCTTATGTTTTACTGAAAATGAAAATGGTAGAATAACTTTGAGTTTAACCGAGGACTTCAAAATTACCTTCTCATCTGTTTCAAAGTGTTCCAACTTGGACAACTTCCCTGTTGTCACGATCTCTTGAATCTGTCAAACTCAGGTAGAAGAATATAGTTACGTTCTCACAGAAATGCATAACAAAGGTTGTAGTTAGGTACTTGGAAAAGAGAATGCATCACTCTATGTAGTGCTTGCCAAAAGCTTATCAAACTAATCCACAGTGAAGCCTTCACAAAATATGCAGCGATACAGGATGAACATATTGCTTCACTCACATGATCTTTCATTGCCTTTCCAATTCCAGGGAGGTGTTGGAGCTGATCAACGCTTTCAATCTTAGTGGGGAGCTTTTCAATGACCGGGATAGCTTTGTAATAGCTAAAGGACCGCCTATCATCACCCAAAGCTTTCGATATAAAAAAGAAGTTATGTTACTTAAGATCTTGTCAAGAGCAGTATACCAAAAAAAAAACACCAGAGATCTTACCTCTATATATGTTTATTAGCTTTCCAAATATCTCGGTAATGTTTCTGTTCAAATCGGGTGGTTTGTACACTGATGTGGACTATAAATAGAAAGAAGATAAATCAGAACTTGCAGTAGCAACAACATTCCAGGTGAGAGAGCAGAAATAGCAAATAGCATCTATTCTCATATAATAAACTTCCTAAAAACCAAAAAAAAATCATCATCAAACGACTCAGCCAGGCTAACCTCTGATTGTGGACTAGTGGGAGTCTCTGCAGTGCCTTCTCCAGGATTAGCACTAGTCGATGGAACACTGCAACTTGTAGGTGAATTCGGTGATCCTTGTGTATTGGTTTGGTTTTCGACGCCTACAATATCACCAGCATCAGGGGAGTATCTAGTTCGTTTTTGTGTTGATGGTTGATCCTCACTAACACTATCTTCAGGCAAAGACTTGTTCGGCTCTTCAGTTTCTTCTGAGTCAATTTTGAGAACATACAAGTCTTCATTAGCCTTCTCTCCTGCAGTTAAGCTATCTTCTAACCATTGGTAAAGCAGAAAGTGCTGCAAGAACCAATTTATAAGAAAAAATAACTCTTCTTTTCTCTACAGTCTCTTCCATCTTGCAGATAAATACTATGCACGACCAAATGACAACAGAAATAAAAGGTAACATTAAAGGCTACAAAAGACTAAAGCAAGAAGGAAACTTTTTTATTAGACCCGGATTCAGACTAACTCATCAGAAGAAAAATGGCACAGCACTCAATAAAGAGCAACAAGGGAGAAAGAAACCAAAACCGCACACTTGAACTGTCTCAAGGAAAGATCAGAAATGATTACCAATGTTTAACATAAGCATTGAACTCTTTGCCTATAACCACTCTAATCGTCAAAACATCTCATGAGAAACACACAACAGATATAGTTATCAAACATTTGCATTGTGATGATGAAGTTCATGTTTTAGTAGTGCAAAAAGTGCAGAAAGCTCAGAAAAAAAGAAAAAAGGAGAGAAAAGAAAACCCAACTCACTCCTCTAAATTCCGACAGAGATTCTTTCCCAAATTTTTCAAGAAGGGCTTCGAGATTCAAGGCGAGAACATGAGTGACTTTCTTCGTTAACCGATTTTCCTCGATCACTGCTCCCATTTGAACCAGCTTCTGCTTCCAGATCTTCACCCAAATAGAAAGGAAATAAAAAAAAAGGCATAGCATGTAACAAGCAGAAAAATTTGTCGAAAATGATGAAGCAAAAACAAGACACTGAGCAATTCGTTTTTTTTTCTTTCTTTTCCTAGTAAAACCTCTAATCGACGACGCTGGACTCCAGTTTGCACCATAAAAACTACCATTCCGGCGAACATCCCCGCCGGGTCCGGAGACGGCGACCGGTTTCTCCCTCGCTTTGGCGCCATTTTTCTTGCTCTTTACTCGCAAACTCTCTCGGCAGTATAACCAATGCGCTACAAAACGGAACAGCGAATTTTGTGAACTGCTGTGCCGTTCGAATCAGGAGTAACTCAATTACGCTGGTTCCAACGAACCGAATAACCGGGGAAATCTGTTCTAAACCGGATTTTATTTGTTTGTGACAATGTGCCACGACAACCCGAGAACAAAACCGTAGGCTAATTGCTGGTTTAATAACGTTAATCAACTCAATTTTCTTTATTTCATTTGGGTATTGATAATCTCCAATTCAAAACCCGAGATTAACACTATTTCATGAAATTTCGATACGTAAATACTCCGAACCCTACCAACTTCGTTTCGAGGAGGTGTTCGTCTTGTTAACCTCCCGGTAAATTGGCCCGGACATGATAAAACTTTTCTCTGAAATAATATTTGAATCGTTACCGTAAAACAACAAAAAAGGAAAAAAATTTAGTGCCCCCGATTCCAACAACACATAGAGGGACAAAACTTTCACTTGAATCTCTCTCTAGAAGAAGATTTCTACTTCCTTTTCAGTCATCTCAAGAACATGGTCTCTAGCGTCAGTGAGCGCACTCTGGATAAAAACAAAGAGCAAACTCTCAGCAACCAGAATCTTTTAACAAGGGGCCTGCAAGGAGATATGTTCTTATTACCTGTCCAAACTTGGTGATGAAGTTGTTCCCAAGGTTTATAGATGTAACCGTGACATCTTCGTTGGCCTTTAGAGCTTGAGCAATGGCGAATGCCCCATCATCCTACATATTAGGCAGAGTAATAAGATCGAGCGGTTTACAACGTTTAAAACAAGACACGGTGTTGAAGAACAAAGTAGTATTCTTTTTACCCGTATTTCATTGAATCCTAGATCCACGGATGTTAGAGCTTCATTAACTACTTTTAAACTCCGAGCTAAGCAGGAAGCGCCCTGAAAATAACGTATCATATAGTACATTATGAAAAAGAACATTTGGTAGATATATTGCAAGTACCACATGATTCAAGCTGAATACTGATAAAATCTGTCTCCAGGAACCTCATCTCTAAGCCCATTTGCCCGCAAGTCCAAAACTGAGATTGTGTTGTTATATCTCAACATGTCTGCAACGTATTCAGCACCCTTAGCAGCTATCTGCAGGACATAGGAATGAAAGTGAACAATGTTAAAAACAAAACACGCAATCGTGATGAAATATTTTCTTTTCATTGATATAGAGACTAGAGTTATGGACTGGCTTTACCTGACACCAACCAAGTTTGAGCGTCTTTACATTTCCATGGAACTTGAGAATCTCGGATAATGCTTTAGCTCCGTCGGGTCCTATGGGATTATAACCAACCTCTAACTGAGGAAATAATGAGACTGGCAGTGTCATTATCTTCCAAGTTATAAGTAAACAAGGAAATAAAGATAAAAAAAAAAAGATTTTATGGCAGTATGGTACTGACCGTTGTAATAATTGCATTATCCTTCAGAGCTTGAGCTATAGCATTAACCCCCTCCGCGTGGATGTTATTTCCCCCCTATTTTACAAAACACGTTAGCATCCACAAATAGCTCGATCTGGATGCAACGTAAAACTCACGGAGATGGAGAAAAAGATGGTCACTTCTCACCATGTCAATGGTTGCAATTGAACGGTTTTGCTTAAGAGCATCTGCAACCTTTTCAGCTCCCTAGAACCATTGAAAATCATTAATATAGACAGTAGAGTATAAAGAAACATGGTTTTCCGAGATTGAAGATGCGATGCTCACGATCCAGCTCCATTGTTATGCATTGGATTTGTAATAGTACCTCATCGCCTATATCATTCATGTACAGGTTCAACCAAACCAAGCTCTTGCTTCTCTTGATGTACTCTGCTACATAGAAGGCACCCTTTGCGGTGATGGAGTTGTTACCGAGGTCTAGCAGGGCCAGTTTCCCTGCACAAAAAATTGCATCTCAGCCTAACTACAGAATTTTCCAGTAGAGGTCAGAAAGACTTAATTTTGACATATGAAGAGTGTTCTAGTGAAACTGCTAAAAGAAAAACCTTTATGGGAAGATAGACCAGCCATCAAAGCACGAATCCCTTCATCTCCAATGGAGTTTCCATGCAAATGAAGTTCCTGCACGTAGAATGGCCAAGGGCTTAAACGGATTAACTCTTGAAGACATAAATGCATCGGGATTCACCTTCAATGCATCATAGAAAGTGAAATGAGGAGTATGTGTACCCGTAAAGACTTGTTACCCTCAAGCCCTTTAGCTAAAGCATTGGCCCCCAAAGCACCACCATAGTTTCCACTGAAAGAGATTACCATTTAGAGATATGATATATACAAACCAAAAAATAAGCAACACAAAAGTAAAACATCCATGTATGATCCTAAACTCACTTGAGATGTAAATTTCGAATTGTATTGTTCTCAGCAAGAGCTCCAGCAAGACCTGTGAATCCCTACCTCCATTTCAAAAGAAAAGACACAACAGGTTCAATTCAGAAACCTGGGTGCTTAATCCGCGATATAAAGGTACACCACATGAATAGAAAACACTTACAGAATAGTCAATCATGTTATTATTCAGCTCAATAACCCTCAAGGTTGAATTTCTCTTCAACAACTCTGCAATTTCCTTCGCACCCTGCACAGAAAAATTGGAACTAGTTGAAGCATGGATTTAATTAAAAGCATTGTGGCTAACTAAGGAGATTGAAGATCATGTAAATTACAGCATCTGCTTAGACAAACCTCGTCTCCTAAGTCAGTACTGTTCAGCTGAAGTATCTCGATGCTAGAATTTTCCATCAATGTAGCACATAAAGTCTGTCAATACAAGACAAAACGAAGGGAAACTATATCTCAGAAAGAAACATACACCTCGAAAATAAGCTCCGTGTGATTTTTAGAGCTAAAGATATTGCCAGAAACCGATGTATTCTCCTCTCTTGTTTAGGTTGAGGATACTTTTACCATCAGACATCCGAAAAAGAAGTTTAATGCTAGTACATCATATTTCCACTAACCTTAGCTCCTTCATCACCGATAGGGTTTCCAGAGAGGTTAAGAACCTTCAACATAATATTAGATTGAAGAACACCATCAAAGGCTTTAACTCCTGCAGCTGTAATTCCATTTGCAGAAAAACTGACTTCCTCTACGGTCTGAAACACAATATAGGTATGGTTACTCAATCAACATAAGAAGATCAAGGCTCTTATGAGTTGGCAGATTAGAGATGTGAAAGAGAGGGGGAGATTTAACCTGATTATACCCAAGGCTTTCAGCAAGAAAGAACAGTCCTTCATCTCCAAAGTTGCATCCTGCAACATAATACTCAAAGGTGAGCTACATCCAATGTCATAAACTTCAACCATATCTCTTAATACTAAAAAACCAGTCAAAATTAGATTGCACTCTCGACTACAATTTCTACACCCAGCAAGGGTACGTTCCGTATCGAAAGAACATGATAAGGAATATAAATCACTCAATGCACCTGACATGTCAACACTTCTGAACGACCTGAGTTCTTTTGCGAATTCATTAAGCCTCTGCTTGGCCTCCCTATCAACCTTTGCAGCAAATCCCTGTAACAGATTTGTACCAGCCCCGATTGACCATTTCACTCCCTGTCCCTGAGTAGAAGTTTTGCTTTCTCCAGCAGAAGTCTTTGGAGACTTTGGCGACATGAACTTCTCAACCACTTTCCACAAAACTGTCAGCTGAATACACAAATTAGTATTGACGATTTTGGGAGAATATGATAACATAAGAAGACATTCATTTTCGATGCTCTTGATCACTAGATGCCAACACAGTGTGCGTACCGAAAGTGACGACAACAAATGAGCCCACGGGCAAGACGGAAGACGCAATCTGCTGCACTTTAGCATTGGGAAAACCACTAGCCGCCTGTGACTCCTTGTAAGCCCTACGCCTAGAGCCTCCCTCCGAGCTATTCGCCGCTCTGATCGCCGGAAGTCGCGGACTTCGGTGAAAGAACACCACCGGAGAAAGAAACAACCGGTGGCTAGAAACGGACCCACCTAACGATTCGAACCGTAGCCCACTCCTCCATTGGGGCAACCCGGAAGAAGCCTTCAACTTCAGAGAAAATAAATGGAATAAGGACCCAAAGTAATTGAATTGAAAAACGGATTACTAGTAGAATTACCTTGGGGAGAGAGTGGAGATAGAGAGAGCTGGTGGAAGAGGACGCCATGAAGAGCAGTTAAATATGCATAGAGGCGCGAAAGTCTTACTGTGAGAACCCACCTATGAAGGAGATGAAGAAGAAGAAGAAGAATGAACAGAAGATTGATGCGGCGAATTGGAGAAGACAAGAGAAAGATGAAGAAGATGAAGTTTGTTTCTTCGCGCTATGCGTGTGCCTTTAGGTTCGGGTATAACCCAACTCCCCACCGGGTCAAAAAATCGGGTTTAAAATTTTAGGACCCGATTGAGACTGGGTTCAAATAATCAATCCCTTTTATTGAAACGAATAACATGTGGACTTCAAATTATTAAGCGAAAAGAGATTTTTTTTGTGTTCTTCCTGGTCTTCTTCGAAAGGACGTTTCCTCAGCTCGGCGATTCTATTCCGGGATGATGGCGTTCACTGGAATCACGACCTCAAATCCAACTCTTCTTCAGCTTAGGATCTCCAGTACAAGTTTACGCTCTGTGATTCCTTGTAATTCGATTTCATTTCCTCGTTCATCATACGTGAAACTCAATCGGAGAAACCGCCTCTATGTTCGATCCAGTTCAGTTCCAGGTTCGAACTGATCTCGAAATTTCTCTGCTTTATCTTTCAATAAGAGATCTTTTTTTCTTTTTCATTCTGGGTTGTAATTTTTTTGATTCGCGCGTCATATATAGAAATAATCAGAAATTATCGATTAATTCTTCCTGCAAGTTTTTCGTTATGCCTTTACGATTCTAGTAAATAAAAATAGAGTTTTTTGTTTTCTTTAATCGATAACTTATTTATGTCTGAGAATTTTTCTCGGTGGAGAGGATTTTTATTTGCGTCTTTGTATATTCAGAAGTGTACTGAGCTCTGCTCTAGTTTGGTTTGTGTGTCTCACGAGAACTCAATAAGGCTTTCTGAATTTGTCAGTGGCACCTGCAATGGAGGGACTGAAACCGGCGATATCCCTGACGGATAATGCACTGAAGCATCTGAATAAGATGAGATCAGAACGCGGGGAAGATTTGTGCTTGAGAATTGGTGTCAAACAGGGAGGATGCTCGGGGATGTCTTACACGATGGACTTCGAGAACAGAGCCAACGCACGACCAGATGATTCTACCATTGAATACCAAGGATTTGCTATAGGTAACTCTTTCGGTTTCTTCCCTTGCTTTGTTTTGGATTGTCCTTCCATTCTGATGCAATAAGGTCCAAGAGTTAGCTCAGTTACTTATTTGATGATGTAGACTCGTCATGTTACTGACTTACTTATGAGCTGTTCGGTAACATTCATAAGAGAAAGCTCTTGGCTAATCTCTTTTTGAGCCTATAGTTAGACGGGGTATGGTCGGTAGATTCTTCGGATCTGCAGCTTGAATCCATTAATATATCTGCAAACTTTTCTTTTAAACTGATTCTTGTTCTCAGACTTCAAGTCTCTTTAGTCTATTGTTGTTTGCTGTCAAGTGTTTATATATCTGTAAAATGAAAGCTCGTAACACATTTCTTTTTTTTGCAGTTTGTGATCCGAAGAGCATGCTCTTCCTCTTCGGGATGCAGCTTGATTACAGCGATGCCTTAATCGGTGGAGGCTTCTCTTTCTCGAATCCTAATGCTACGCAGACCTGTGGATGTGGGAAGTCTTTTGCTGCCGAGATGTGAAACATTTTGACATATGGCAGTAATGATATATGTAGTCAGACTTATAATTGATGGAACACTTTGTATTGTGGCTGTAGAATTCCCCAGCAAAATCAGAAACACTGTAAGCAATTTCATCTATGATGATCACACCAAAATTACACTAAATAATTCAAATTTTGGTTACAAATTCAAAAGGAAAAGAATGATCAAAATTTTCTGGTCACTGTTACACATTAGCTCAAGATCAAGCTCTTCTCTTCTTGTTGGATCTGGAGGATTGCTTATCATTGCCTCTCTTTTTGGTAGATTTATCAAAACCACTTGGCTTTACCTTGTCAACAGATTTAGTGGTCTTGATACTGATGACACCACTTGAAGAGATCTTAGACTTTTGCAAAGCCTCAGCTTCTTTGTCCCCAATAGCATATTGTTCAAGCAGCTCAGGATCCAATTCTATCCTTGCCCTCATTTGTTCCTTTAAACCAAATGATCACGTGTGAATGACTATTCGACCTTATATGGAAATGAAAACAAAATATACGCATGAAGAGAAGTGAATACCTCGACTTCTTTTGCTCCTTCCCTGAGATCTTCGTCTACCGATACATTGTGAGGTTCAAGCACTCTCTGCAACCAAAAGTCAACATGAATCATATCAATCAGATATTCGTGTATTTTTTTATGCTCAAAGACAAGGATTATAATTACTGAGCAAAGGAACATAGAAGGATTTTGTTAGTTATGCTATCTGAACTTACTTCTTTCAACCGAGGGAAGGTGACTTCAATCTCCTTTGTTGCGATTCCATTCAAATATTTGTATAACTTCTTTGCAACCTTCAACAGAAGAGAGTGTATTTGCCCCCTCTCTAACTGCATTTGTCTCTGTAAGTGCAACGTAATGATACAATTTAGAACATCCAGATGTGTCTACAAGTTATGTCGGATGAGACATGACGAGAGGAGTCCAAATCATTGAAGTTATCTGAAGAGTAAAAATGTTATCACCTCGATGGTAGAGAAATCCGACTCCTGCAAGCCCAAGCATAGGATCACAGATGCTTGAACATATGAAAGCGAGACCGGGAGTTTCTCTTGGAAATAATGATGTGCTAGAGTTTTGCAGAGGTCATAAACCTTGAAAAGATAAGAAACAAATAATTACTAAACATAAAAGTTTAAAACTCAATCTATTACTTGAGAAAAATGAGTGTCCTCATGTAAATATTTCCCCCAAAAATAGAATCTGACATTTTAATACTAACCAGATTGAAGTCAACAAGATTGTCAGTGTATGCTCTGAGTCTCTCCATATCATAAGGTGAAAAGATTCCACCGAGTTTCTTCAAAAATCCGTTTGCTGAACTCTCGGGAGCATCAACCTCTGGGAAGTTGATCTTAGGGTTTAAGACACTAGACAAAAGAGTGATATGAAAATATGATCAAATCCCCCAGAAAAGGATAATGTCGTCCTAAAATAGTATTACAGATGAAGTCCAAAATGGCATAGGAAGATAAAAGGTTTAGTGCTAACCTCATTGCAAGTTTGTAATCCATTTTCTTGAATTTGTCGCTCAACAGCTTAGAGAACCTTATCCTGAAATCTGAACAGAAGAGAAGAAGTGGCCATAAACCAAGCATGACATATTTGGAAGATACAGAAAAGTTAGATTCTTGTTTAAAAATCAACAAACCTTTATAAAAGGGAGCAAAGAAGCCCAATTCATCTGACTCACTAACTTCGAACTCATTGTTGTTTAACGGTTTCAGAAGCATACATGTGTGCTCACCAGTCACAGCGCTCTGATCCAACCAAATAGAGAAATTGTGTTATTAGCTACTATAAAGCCAAGAATAAGCAAATCAGTAGAAGTATAGAGATATTCTTAACTGGTATCTGACTGATATAGAATGGTGCAAATTTATGTTTCCTCCAGAAACGGAAAAGTTCCAGAGTAAGACCAAAAGAGACACCGAGGTAGTGGAGTCTCTCAGGTCGTCGATCACGAAGAGGAACCAGCAAAGGTGGAAGATTGGCGCGAGGTTTTATTTGTTCCTCAAGCAAAGAAACCTATGGAAAAGAAATCAACTAAGAAGTTGAATGCATAATACAAACAAAATAAGGCACATGGTTAGGTGGAAGACCCACGAACCTTTTCAGCAGCTTCGGTAACTCTAACTGGTGAAGCCTCCACATCAAGTTCATCATCACCTTCTGATATTGAAGCTAGCTGGCCCTCAAAATATCTGCCCATATTAATCAATTAAGTCATAATCATTAGGCATTGATCACAACTTGATGCTTAATTATGTACATTTTCATGCATTTACCTGGTCAATAGTTCAACCGCAGCAGAGCCATATCCCATCTACATAGAATGCTGTCAAGAATTTGTTAATCGCTCACGGAACTTAGGAGATGAAAATATGAAAAGCCAAAGCAAATTCACCTTCATGGCGTTGGGATGGACTGCTATGCGTACTATACGAGCACCCGAAAGGGTTGGAAAGACAAGGTCCCGGAACTGTTCACAGAACTTCCATGGTATTTGATCTCCATGTGGTGAATGACCATCTCTTAAACTTTTGATGGCTGATTTCTCAGATATCTGTCCTTCAAGACAGACCTGCAAAGTACATCCAGAATCAGTCACAATGTTGCTTAAGAGAAGTTACGCCAGAATCAGTTACAAAAGAACGTCAAGATTAAAAAGATTCATGATTTTACCAACCAAGCAAAAAAAAAAAATTTGCTGCAAAACGAACAACTAAAGCAGAAGGATAACTCTTGTTTTATTCTTTAATAGTCCAAGTAGCAGTTTTTCTCCAAACAAAACAGAGAGTATGAGCCTATACCTGGACAACACATAGTATATCAGGAAGCTGGTTTTTGGACTCATCAACAGGACCTGTACCAAATAGAAATTTAAGGCAATTCTCTAAATCTGGTGATTGTGTCTAGCTATGAAAAGGAAGAGCAGTTATATACCGAGCAGCACAAACAAATGATGAGCAGGAGCATCCGCCAGCAATTGAAGATCATTAGGAGAATTCTTGTAGTGAGAAGAGACACAAAGTGCCATCATTCGCTGTAGAATACCGCTTAATGTCAAGTTATTATTATCAAAACAAAGCTAGAAAAAACTTAGATTGTAAAATCAACTATAGTTACCTGTAAAAACAGCTCACTGTCTTTGTGATAAGAAAATAGAGTGTCTCGGTTGACATAGTAGAGATCACACTGACTTGGCAGAGGATGGCTACGAATCACAGAAGAAACAGTCAAACCAAAAAATCGGTTTGCAAGAAAGGGAAGGAAACATTGTATTATTTTCCATGAAATCTCCATACCAGGCAGGATTTGGGAGACAGTTAGCAACATCAAGGCATAGTAACCCATTGAGCCAGGATTCAATGGGATCTCCAGAAGCGTATCTTATAGACTCATTAAGTTCTATCTTCTTGAAAAGGCAACCTGAATCCAAGAAACTTCAGACAGTCAGAATATTCCCCAAGGTAACGATTCACATCAACTAGAAAGCCAAAAACAAAAAACAATTTCTAGTACTAAATACTAAGACAATAAAGTAGGCCCTGCAAGAAAGAAACATTAGCTCTAGTAATCATGAACACCCATCAGATACAGTGATCTAAAATCACAATAGGGGTCTACTGTGCATGAAGTTTTGATAAAAAAATCTGGACACCATTTAGGCCGGACTTGACAACAAAACCTACGTTCTTGGAAAAACACACATATATACCTCAAAACTAGGCGCTGAATGATGGTTTACATGAAACATAAAAGAAAATTATTAAAAAAAATGATAGCAGCACGTTTTCCTTCTTAAACTAGTACGCAAGGGCAATGGAGCGATGCTTAAAAAAGATGAGCTTTATGTTCTTAAGGATAATATTGGGATCTCTACAAAATCTCCTGATTGTGTCACATGCCAAAAGTGGAAGCAATATGTAGCAGTAAGTACCAGAAAGAGAGCCTTCAACAGCAGTAACAGGGGCTCGGCTTTGCTCTTCTAACTGTTGGAGGAGTTTCAGGGACAAGGATCTACCAGTGCCTTCGTAGCTTTAATAAAGGAAGAGAAACGAAACGAAAATCAGTAGCCTGACTGACCCAAATTATGACCACGACACACATAAAAACTTTCGACATTATGGTAGTGTTAGCATAAAATCCTGTTTCACATACCCACTGACAGTAGATGATAAGAAAACTAGGTAAGGGCCAAGTAAAGACTTCACAACTGGCAAAGGTATAGCTGCTGCTTCATCAATAACCAACAGCTCCACTTGTGAGAGCTTCTCGTGTTCATGCGGTTGTATATACTGCATGAAAGAACAAGAAAGCAATTTAGGGAGAGTGAGTGATCGACAAGCTTATTAGAAAAGCAGGAATAAACAAACCTGGATAGTTTGCCTGTGCTGCTTGAAGATATTTATTCGTACGATTGCTTTCTTGAAGTCAGGATTTACACTTCTCACAACATCATATTCAAGATGTTCCTTCAAAAACATATAGTTGAAGATAGTGTTTAGGATATTATATGGATGTCTCAACTAACATGCCAAAAAAAAAAAACGTAACTCTTTCTTCTTGCCTCGAGATAGTGCAGATCTAATTCAAATTTATGACTATCCCAACAAACAGGTAGAACAAATTGGAAGCGCAACATTAAAAATTCCTTGAAAATGCCTTTAATAAATGATGCAGTAGAAGTTCATATTACCTTATATTCAAGACCGTCAAAACCTTTGCAGATAAACTCGAACAATGTTTTCAAGTTATCTGGGCTTGGTGCTGTTACGTAAATATTAGAATACCTAACAGCAAATAAGATCAAGTACCAATAAATTAACAAATCCTATCAGAACATTCATGAATAAAATAGTATATATAACTCCAAGCCTACCCAGCAGCAACAGCCCCGGCAACAGCTAGACCAAGTGCAGCAGATTTTCCACGCCCTCGACTAGCAATCAGAGCAACTATGCTCCGGAGGGTCTTATCCAATATTGCATCAAAAAATGTGACAACAGCTTTACCCTAAAATACAAGAAAAAGCAGGTATTCAGTCCTGATCCTATGTGCAACACTTCTTCATCCAATGTACACAAGTGACAAAACAACATACCTGATCCAATGTACAG